AGAGAAGCAAGAACTTATCAAGAGGAACACAACCTCATGGAAATAACCAGCAAAACTCAACATCAACATTCTTTATCTCTAAAATAACACACATGCTAAAACTAGAAAAGATGCAAAACGAAGATTACAAAATAATAAAACAAGCTCCCAGAATTAATTATGCAAAAGGAGGCTTATGGTATGTGCATGAAATAGTAACCACTAACCAGGTAAAGACTACTTAGAGGCTAGAACCTAGGTTAATAACTATTGCTTTATTTGCTCCATTATTTTTATCACATCAACATGAATAAAATACCACTATAAACTTGCACATGCGATGCAAGCACTAGTTGAGGAAAAAGATGAAACTCCAGTTCAGAGATATTATTTAGCTTCATGCAAGCTTATGCCCTAGTTGCTTTTCAATGTTGAATGTAATCTTAATTTATCCAGACCATCATATCATGAAAAACTAACTGCATGCATAGAGGACCTGTCATGACTACCATGATGATATTTAAAGCAGCAACCTGGTATAATTATCAATAGAATGGCTCTTAGTCTCTTACCACTTGAATAAGTCCTACACGGTAATGGTGAGGGATATCCCCCATCATCTCAAAGTCTAAATATGCAAGGGAGCCACTACTTGTAGCAAAAAGGTTTCCTGGATGTGGATCAGCATGGAAAAACCCAACCTCAAGCAATTGTCTCAAAGGGCAGTATACTTCCCCAACATCCCATAAACAGGTGGGTAAAGTCAGGTTATACACAGTTAGACCATACATTAGGAGCAAAACTAATTACTGAATGGCCAAAAGCTCAAACAAAACAACGAATTAAACCTCGTCAATCAGTTCCCTTTTGTTCAGCCAAGCCTCCTTCAGGGAAGTTTCATCCGTAAGCTTAATTCCATCTACCCATTCCATTGTAAGCACAGCTTTTCGTGTCAGGTCCCAATATATTTTAGACATTTTTATTCCCTTCGCAATTTTGGTTTTGTTGGCAGTCCCATCTTTATCATTTTTGATCAAAAATTTGACCATGGCCTGTACTCATAAGGAATTTGTATAGATATAAATAACCACTTATAAATCATTAGGACAAAGTGCAACAAAAGGTTATACTAACGGGATCAAATACAAAAGCATGCTGTGGGAACAGTTTCACGCAATATCATATAACATTTTTTCACTATAATCCCAACATCTACCCTTAAAAACTTTTCCTTCCTTTAAAGTGAAGCTGTGAAGTTGACTCCTCGGAATACTAAATCAGATTAAAACAACCAATGACACACAAAAGATGATGCCAGGACAAGAGTCACAAGTTAACCCCTTTAATAGTTCTACTCTTGAAGAAGCCTAAACAATTCAATATATTCCATATCATTTGATCACTTTAAAATTACTTAACATGAACCCTAGGGTCCACACACAACTATATAATACTTACTAGGACAGTCACCATAAAGAGAGGCAAAGCGTTCAGCATTTCTTGCCTCCAAGATGTAATCGATTTCATCAAACATGTGTCTTACCTGTTCATTTAAGAGAGACCTGAAGATGTCCATAAGCATGTACAATTTCATTAATGAAAAGATGATAGTGCAAATGCAGGTACTATACAGAAACAATATGAAAATGAATAATGAGCTGCATTGTACACAAAATAGCAAGTCATAAAATCCAGATGCTAGGCACCTCTATTGCGAAGATCAAAACCTGTGCATATTATTTACAAAGGCATATAATAACTGATTATAAAATAAACGTACACATTATTGGAACATCTACGCACTCAACATGGAGAACTCACCACTTCATTTACAGCAACTAACAAATCTTTCCGGGCTTTTGCAAATCGCTTTAATTGACCACCGATCATATGGAATAACAATGCATCAAGGGTCAACAAGAGTGACATACCAGGCCTCTGTACTTTAACAGCTACAAGTTCTCCAGAAAGAAGGTGAGCTGCAAGACTTAAAGCAATGAAGCAAACATTCAACTTTACAATTCTCAAAAGTGTTGTACTGAAAAAAGCGCTATTAGAAAGCTGTAATGCTTTTGACATGAGAAAATGATATGATGGAAAGCTAAGCAAAATATATTGTTTTCCGTTTTCGGAAATGGTTGTCTGACCTTTATACACCTGTCCTATAGATGCAGCTGCAATAGGTTCAGGGCTTATATCAGCAAATATTTCTGAAATTGGGGTACCCAGTTCATTTTCAATAGATTTTATTGCGACATGGGTGGGAAATGGGGGAATCTGATCCTGGCATTAACAAAAGAACGAAGATCAATGCCAATGTCAATAAGTAACAGATCTCGATATGAGTCCTAATTATAGGAGCAGAGATGGTTGTGTACCTGTAACTTAGCAAGTTCTTGGCAATAAACAGGTGCAATATATCTGGTCTAGTGCTCAGAGCCTGCCCAAGCTGTATACCCAAATAAAAGTAGGCCAATATTTTAAGTTCTACCCGGGAGGATTAAGATATAAAATGGGTAAGACTTTGTTTCTTTGCTACTTATTTCTTCTTCCAGTAGTAAAATGCAAAAAGAAGTTGACATCAATATTCAGAGGTCAGATTCATATTGAAAATTTCATGCAATTGGTTTCAACTTCACAAAAGGGCAGTATTGAACAGTCAGGTTTGCTACATTTTGCAAACTCTGGTAAAGTGAAGCTAGAAGTCTAGAACAAACAAAGCCCAATAAACAACCTAATAAAAGTTATTCAGAAAATGATAAAGCAAAGATAAAGTAGCTTGCCTTAACATAAAAAGGACCCAAGCGAATTAGTGTCTCCCGAAACTGAAATTGTACGAGTTGCAATAAGGTTGTACTGTCCAAAAGATAACAGGCTTATTCTTAAAATAACATGAAATTGCAACTTTTAAAACATGTAGCATAAAGTTTGCCAGACTATGCGGCTATGCCTAGGTCTAGTATTTTAGATGCTCCATATATAGTGCATATGTATGCATCAATGAATAACAGAAACAATTCAATTTATTCAACAAAACAAGTTTAAGAATCTAATTCTTACTATACCTTGGAAGCACGCTTATTAATGTCCCTAAAAAGGAATTGCCAAAGGGTCAACTTTAATACATGAAAAGAAACAATCACTGCTCTATACAACGCCAAAAATGGACCAAATCGATAGACAGCAGAGACACTTTTTGAGCCGTGTTCCAACTATATGCCCAAATTCACTTTCCAGTGATTCTTTCCTCAACTTTGCATACTCGGAAGAAGGCCTCTCCCCATGCACACTGACAAAACCCTCAAAAAACCTGCACAAAAGACTTACACCAAAGCGCTAAAGAAGCTCCACATTCACAACACCAATTTATTTAATCATTAGCACTTGCTGAATGCAATTCCAGGCATCAAAGTAAGTGGTAAATATCCATGCACTTACACATTTCGTTGCAACAAGTATGACGGGTGCCTAGTGTCCGGTGTCCTTGAAGTTCCAATTTCCATGTGAACTTGCAGAGAAATGGAACGACGCAAGATAGATCCAACAGGTCTATCATGGTGTACTGCTGCAACAGGTAATGTTGAACTAACGTAAACGTAAAAATTACACCCCAGTAAGGTCGCAAAGACAAATTGCAATAATATATAACTAAATAAACAGAGTAAAATGTCCTCTTTACTCCAGTTAGAAACAATAACGATCCAACCAAATATCAGAACAGTGGGAAGTTCCGAAAATGCCCAACTTGATGCTATAATAGGAGCTTCATAATTATGTTTTTCCTAGAAACAAAGTACATTGTAATACTAAGTACTAACATCAATTGAAATTAAGCTCGGAAGAGACTTCAAATCAAATTATTGTATATACTGATGCAGACGGAATGAATAGTGGATAAAATAAGAATAACAGAAAGAATAACACCGCTAACCGGTGAAGAGACGGCGATGAAGGTTGAGAGTGGCGAAGGCATGCCTCATTGAGTCAATCAAAATAAATAAGTGGAAAATAGGTCAGGCACCCATAGTAAGCTTTAACCAGTGAACACTATTCGTTCGTGAAAATGAATCATTGAAGGAACCGTGTGATCCGGGGCTGGCTTGCGAAACAAATATGGCTGCCGACTGCGGGAAATTTTGGCTTCCGACACTAGATTCTCCGGTTTCAACATAAAAAATGGATTAGACTCGAAGAGAGGTCGGCCCACTCTCATTATAATGGATTTAGATTCGGCTGGATTATCACCCGAGGCCCACATGATAGAGTTACAGTTAATTTTTTAGGAAAAGTAATAGTACACTTTATTTTATGGAAAATTATATAAATAATTATTAAATTAAAATTTCATTTTATTAGTAATTATTAAAAACTATATTATAATCATGCAAATTATTATATTTTATTCACACATATTTTAACTTGTTATTAAGGTTAGCGACAAGCTGATATTATTAAATATTTAAATTTTATTTTTGTGTAATTAACTGTTCAATATTTTTTAAAATTACATATGTTTAAATTTAAAATTTTCGTGTTTAATTTATATTATTTATTTAAATAAATAATATTAAAATTATAAGTATAAATTAATATCAATTGAATATTTAAAAATATAAAATATTTAATTGTATCAAATAAAATTTAAATACTCAATTATACCAAAATAAATAAATTTGTAATTAAAATTAAAATTAAATCCCAAGAATGTTTACCTTTTAAAAATATAAACATATTTATTTTATAAAAAATTATATATCGTTAATAACCATCATAAATATTAACCTAATTAAATTTAACATATAATAAAAATGAGAACCGCCGATTATTTTAATTAATAAAAAATATTTTCCGCCTCTGAGGTGCCCTGCCCCCGTAATAAATAAAGTGGCACTATCGTAGTTTTTGGAGAAATCCAGGGGCCCTTTCTCTTCAACTTTTGATCACGCCTCTCCCATCATCCCTCCTTATATTACAACCGACTCTACTCCAAAATATAACAAATAAAAAAAACAACCTTTTTGATCTCTGCCTCAACTTTGTCTTCCTATTAAAAAGGCGGGTGAAAGAACGGCGAGAAGAAGAGTTCTTTTTCTTCGTCTTTCTTTAAATTAAAAAAGAAAATTATAATGTGCCCGACCACCGAAAATCACCAGGGCTCCGCCGAGGAATCCGACATCGAATACCCTAGATCCCGATCAACGGATGATACTACGTCGATTCCTGATTGGATGACCGAGTCTATCGGCGGTGGTGGCTTGCCACAAGTTGACCTTGAAAACGGAACCAACGGTTGGGCCTCTCCTCCAGGTGATCTCTTCTTTCTCCGTTCTAAAACCTACTTGACCAAACGTCAAAAATGTCCCGCCGGCGATTACTTACTGTCTCCCATCGGTATGGACTGGCTCAAGTCCACTTCCAAGCTCGAAAACATACTCTCCCGTCCCGATAACCGTGTTTCTCAAGCCCTTAAAAATGCTCAATCCGAAGGCGAATCTATGAAATCCTTCGTTTTTGCAGTCAATATCCAGGTCCCAAGTAAAGATAATTATAGCGCTGTTTTTTATTTTGCCACGGAGGATCCTATCCCTCCCAATACGTTATTTTATCGGTTCCTTCATGCCGACGATGCCTTCAAGAATCAACGGTTCAAGATGGTTAACCGGATTGTTGAGGGACCGTGGGTCGTCAAAAGAACGGTGGGCAACTATGCGGCGTGCTTGATAGGTAAAGCTTTGACGTGTAATTATCATAGAGGAGCTAATTACTTGGAAATCGATGTTGACATTGCCAGCTCGGCGATTGCCAGCACGATTTTACACCTTGCATTGGGATACGCGACGAGTGTAATAATCGATATGGGATTTGTGGTGGAAGGACAGGCCGAGGATGAGTTGCCGGAAAAATTAATTGGTGCGGTTAGGGTTTGTAGGATGGAGATGTCATCTGCGACTGCGATTGACTCAGGTACGTCCCCGATTGAGACAGCGGCGGCCGGCCGTGCAATAGGATCCGCTAAGGTTAATCACCATGCATCCTATGACGGCGACGATGATGACAAATTATGCAAATGCAACGAAGGTTAATGCAGTAACGCCGTCGATTCAAACAACGACAGGCAATGAAATCGGAGTACGTAAATCCGGGGGTGGTGATGATAATGACAAATGATGCGACAGAGGTTAATTATAAAATTTTCTTCGTTCTTTCTTTCCTTTCACGTTACGAGAATTCGGGTCCCTCTTTGGAGGGGATTGATGGGTTGTAGATGATAAGATGGGCTCTGATTTTCGTAGATGGAAAAAAAAAATTACAGTTTCTTAAACGGAGCATGGATGGATTGGATTTAAATGTTTTAACACAATTCTTTCCTGTTATTAATATTTGAATCTTCACTGAACACTGATTACATATTGTTATTGAATTCCGGGGCATTGTTTCTCTCATGCATTGAGAAGATACTGACGGCTCTCCTCACATTAACAGTGTGCAAATCTTGCCCGCATTGCTAATTTTGCATCTTAAATGGAATTCCCAATGATATAACAATCTCTTGATAAATAAAGATATATATTTTGGTTATCTACATGTTGGACTGAATAAAAAATAAATTAATTTTTTTATAATGTTCAAAACATATATATTAAAAACTATGCAGATATTATTTATGTGCTTTAATATATTAAGAACTGATACATCTTAAAAATATATGCGGATGGTTAATTTGTTAAGAATGTAACTCATAAATAATAACTATATTTATAGATATGAAACTAGAGATTGATTAAAAGAATAACTTATGAAAATGAAGCAGGTTTAGTAATCATTCATATAGGATGAATGATTTAATTACTATTTTGTGTAATAATCATTTTCTTCATATGATTTATAATATAATATTGAGATAAAAGTGGTTAAATCAGGTAGATAAAACTTAAAAGATCATAAATATCTTGCGAGAGTAATATTCATAATAAGGTCGTTGGACAAAGAATACGAATAAACTTATCTTTCGGTAATTTTATATGAATGAGAGTTCGATCATGATGCTTTAACGGTATGACTTTGTGACTTAAGTAATCGTGCAAACTCTAAACATATACGATTTTGAAAATAGCGCAATATTTATATTTTTTGGGTAATCCAAGTATTCAAAGACCTCTCCGGATAAGATTTTTGTCAACCACCATTGTTCTCATAACATCGAACATAAAATGTCAATAAATTTATGATATTAAATATCATAACTGATATGATTTTAAAATAAGAAAATAAAATTTATTTATATAATTTTTAATTTGTCATCTTCGAGATAAAAAAAGATAAATATTTTGATATCTTACAAATAAATATCTCTTCACTTAGCTCCTTTGCTTCCTTCTCTGTATTCATTGTGTAAAAAAACACACCCTATTGCCAATCAAATATAGAGTTCATTTTCCTTGGTAAACTATACCAATATTATTGAATTTAAAAAAATATTTAAACCATTAACCTTTAAAAATTTCCATTTTAATCCTCCATGATAATTTTGCAATCAAAAAAATATACGTTGAATTCCCCATTAACAGAGGGAAGGAAAGTATAAAACTAACCTGGAATAATTAATTATAATATTAAGTACGAGAGCAGTTCTTGACGTGCAGCTTACTCATGTTGTAAAATTCCTTTAGTCAATTCTCAGTGGTGGTCTACCTTAGTGTTTGGGTTCGGAAAAATCAAGCAACAAATTGATAATGGAACGTCAGGTCCATTTCAGCTAGACGTGGTTCAAGGGGCAGAATCAAAGGACAAGACGGTCACAGTATATTAACAATGTTCGAGTGGCTGAAATATAACGTACAACAAATTTTTTTGAATTGAATTGTGACATGATTTGGCCGTGTAATATTAACAAAGACGAGAGGAGACTTGTAAAGAGATTGATTGTTTTTTCTTCTACACCAAAACTTGGATCTTTTGGGCCTCAAAGTCTTCCGCGTGCTTTTAAGTAGTTGTCCCATTTTTTTTGAATCTTTTGGTCTGGTGGAGATTTCATTTGATCTCTCATTCTATAAATACCTGTTAGTAAAATAAGATATTATTGTACTCACGCAAATAGAGGTGCAGTCATAAGAAATATGAATGGTTCCTCTGCGTTGATGGCCATCGCTCATATTTTCTTCTGCTATATCCTTTTTTCCTCTTTTAATAAGCCATTTGGTTATGGTGCTATTGTGGCGGAAAAAAGCAAGTCACACACTATTCCATCCATCTGCTCAGGTAATTTACCCTACTCTCGGTGGATGGGACAATCGCCCCATAAAAACTTAAAATGCTCATACATTTTATACATTTTTTGTATTTTATTCTCATAATTTATTTTCGATCTCAAAATTTTATAACTTCATCTCAAATATAAAATATAAATATTATCGATGTTCATCTTTACTATTCATCTTTGAGCATTAAGATTATTATATTAGCATATATAGAATAACGTCCCCTTTTCTTTAGGTCCTGAGACTGGTTTGCGGGTAGTCCATAAATATGGACCCTGCTCACCATTCGGCCTGAACAGAACAGCAGCCACTTCAAGTCAGATCCTGGTCCAAGATGAACACAGGGTTCATGTTTTGAATTCTAGGTCACACAAAAGGCGTACAGGTGGCGGGAAAAAGAAAGGGAGAGGGAGAAGGCGTACAGGCGGTGGAAAAAAGAAAGGCAAAGAGGAAGCGGTGACGGAACTTGATCTTCTAAATGATTCAATAGGTGCTGCCAATTATTTGGTGGAAGTTGGTTTTGGCACACCCGCAAAATACTTTAATTTGGCTTTGGACACTGGCAGTTACATAACCTGGGTACGGTGCCAACGTTGTACAGGGTCTTCTTGTCCACAACAACACAACGAGTCGCTGTATTATCCTTCTTCTTCCTCAACTTCCTCAAATGCTCCGTGTTATCCGTTGTGTACTTATACTCAACCCTATTTGGACCATTCCTACGCAATTGGATTTTTTGTGGCCGATACGGTTTCCATAGAGCACGAGGATGAGATTCCTGGATTTGTTTTCCTTTGTTCCGATGAGCAAGCCGGGGATTTCGGAAAAGCAGATGGGATACTAGGCTTAGGCCTGGGCAGCGCTAGCGTTGACTTTGGTAGCTATTCTCTTACATCCATGTTTGACAATGTATTTTGTCATTGTCTTCCCACTTCTGATAAATCAATGGGATATGTTTATTTTGGTGACAAAGCTCATGAGAAGTGCCCGTTTTCCGGTTCTTACACACCGCTTCTAACAGGCTCTGACCCCAGCCTTTATTTTGTAAATCTTATTGCCATAACAATAGGCCAGACAAGAGTGGAGATTTCTTCGGATGGATCATCCCCGAGAGCCATTATAGATTCGGGAACCGTCATTACCCGTCTACCTTCTTCGGTCTATTCGGCATTGCGCACCGAATTCCAAAGATTGATGTCGGGATACCCGAGTGCACTTCCGGATCATTCATTGGATACGTGCTACAACCTGGAGGGATATAATGATCCAGAAATACCTATGGTACTGCATTTTGAAAATTTGGATGTAAGTTTGGATCAAGCAGCAGTTACCTCGAAAGGCAATGGAAGGTCTCAAGTTTGCTTGGCGTTTGCTGAAAAAGAGAATGAGGATGATCTCACGATCATTGGTAATCATCAACAACAGAATCTGAACATACTCTATAACATCCCAGATCAGAGGGTGGAAATTGGACCCGGTAGTTGCCTATAAGTCGATGGTTATTTTCTGACTGGGTGTCTTGTTTTTATTACTATTTCTTTTGGGTTTGGTTCACTGGTTATTTTCTGAGTTGGTGTATCTTTCTTTTGTGGTGCTTTTATGGCGTTTTCAGCGGCAATCCAAATATCATATCAGAATCTTGTTCATGTACAAGAGGATACTGGATTTCTGCACTGTATGTATTAGTTTCGAGCATATTTCAAAAGATTGTGTTTTTTAATGGAGTATTAAAAATTTAACTGTACTGGAATCTGTTAACTTTGTTGATGTGTAGTTTGAAATTAAAAAGTTTGACTAGACAGTGATGTAAAAATAGTTTGTACCTAAAAAAATAAGTACACTAATAATTAATTAATTAAACAGCTGCCACTTCAAGCTAGATTTTGATCCGCTTCTAAGTAAACCAAGTGATGAACCCACCAGCTTTTATCGTTTCAACTCTTATTGCCATAACAACAAAGCAGAAAAGAGTCGGTATTCCCTCCCATGAAGCATTTTAGATTCAGGAACTATCATTACTCGTCTACCTTCCTCGGTCTATTCGGTGCTGCGCTCAGAGTTTCGAGGATGGATGACGGAATACCCCACAGTTTTGTGCTCCTCCCCATGAACTATTAGATTCCTGCTATAACTTAAAGCGGCATGCTAATCCGGAAATACCTAAGATGGTACTACATGTTGAAATTTTGGACCAAACAGCAGTTACCTGGAAAGCTAATGGCATGCATGTCTCAAGTTTGATGGGCATCTGCTCAGAATGAGGATGGCCTCATAAGAATTTTTTTAAAAAGAATCTAAATTTGGATTTATCCAATTCAGAAAATTAAAGTATTACAAATTTACTAGAACGATTCGAAATGACATGAAATTGAGATTGTTTCAAAATGTGCATGTTACCAATCAAGCATAACTTCAATTTTGAAATTAACAAAATATGCGTTTTTTTTTCGTTGTTTAATTTTATTTGCCTTCAACATATGAACAGTTGGGTCTTCCCCGCGCATAATAAATCGTCATAAAACAAAAGGATGAGACTGGTTCTTAGAAGTCCAACATACGCAATGTTTAGATCATATAATCTAAATTATTATGTGAATCCCCTTCGTGTAAATTTGCTCTGTATTCTCATTCACCAAAATGAGTCAAAGGTTGCAGTAATACTAACAAAGTATTCAAGTGGGTGTGGGGATGAGTAGAAAATCATAAACTATCGAATTTTGATTTTATTTAATTTTATAGAGTTGTTTTTCCACAAAAAAAAAGATTTGAGAAGGTTTTGTTTGAAGGAGGGGTCAGTATCGGATTCGGGACAAAAAGAAATGCCCGTAATGTTTACGGAACTAAGACAAGATGAGACTTATAAAGACGCATGCTTTATATCAACACCAAGACTTGGTTTATTGGGCCTCCAAGTCTTCAGCGTGTTCCTTGACCCCAAATAGAATTTTCAAGTTTCGAATATTTTGGCCATTGCAATTGCAAACAATTCAATTTCATAGTTTCCTGGAAACAACGATTTCACTTCATTTCTCACTCTATATATGCTTGTCCAAACTAGGATAACAACATCAAGTGGAACTGCAATCATAAGAAATACGAGTGGTTCCTCACCTTTTATGGCCATTGCTTATACTTTCTTGTGCTATATCCTTTTCATCTCTTTTAATAACCCATTTGGTCATGGTGCTACCGTGTTGGAGAAAAACAACTCACACTCCATTCCATTTCACTGCTTAGTAATTTACCTCATCCTCTAGCATTATCATTATTACATAACGTATATGAATAACATCACATTTTTCAGGTCCTGAAAAAGGTTTGCGGGTGGTCCATAAATATGGACCTGCTCACCATTTGGCCTAAAGAGATCGACCACGGTTTCAAGCCAGATTCCTGCCCAAGAGGATCGTCGGGGTTCGAGTCATGTATTCCAGGGTATACAATAGGCGTGCAGGTGTCTGGAATAGTGGAAGGGTGGGAGAGCATGATGTTCTAAAAGACTAACTAGGTTCTAGCAATTATCTGGTGCAAGCTGGTTTTGGCACACCCGTACAAACTTTTAATTTGACTATGGACACGGGCAGTTGCAAAACCTGGGTACAGTGCCAACCTTCTACGACGTTACCCTACCCGCAACAACAAAACCAGTCGTTGTATTATCCTTCTTGTTCCTTAACTTACTCCAATTCCACATGTTCGGCGCCACCTTGTAAAGGAAATGATGGAGAGAAATACAATGACAAAACCAAAGTCGATGGAACTTAATATGGTGGATACGCTTCATATAGAGGACGAGTATGAGATTCCTAATTTTTTTTCCCTTTGTGCCGATCATGTAAAAAGGGACTTTGACGACGCAAATGGGATACTAGGCTTAGGTTTGGGCAGCACAGGATATGGTGGTAGCTATGCTCTTACATCTCAAACTGCGATAATGTTTCACAAGGTATTTTGTTATTGTCTCCCTCACTCTTGAGGAGAATTCGGAGCTATTTTCATCGCCCGTGTGGAGGGTCACGGCGAGGCATATTCCACGCGAAGCGAATAAGCTGGCCAACAGTCTTGCCAGAATCGATCGGAAAAGGTCTCTTGGACGAACGGTGTTTACACACCCTCCCACAGAAGTTTTAAGCTTTCTCAATTCTGACATGCTAGAGTCGAGAAGAAGATCCTCCCACTGACTTTAGTAGCCCCATTTGCTACAAAAAAGAAAAAGAAAAAAGGGATATGTTTATTTTGGGGACAAAGCCCGTGGAAACGGCCCATATTTTTATTCTTACACACCGCTTCTAAGGGGCAAATTAGATCCCTACTTTTATTATGTAAATCTTACTGCCATAACAATAGGCCAGAAAAGAGTCGATATTGGCACTGGTTATTGTGTATCATCTCTCAGAACCATTTTAGATTCAGGAACTGTTATTACTCGCTTTCCTTCTTCGGTCTATCCAGCACTGCACTTGGAGTTCAAAGGATTGATGTCTAAATACCCTCCTGTCCCTCCTCCTTATCCTGATAATGTACTGGATACATGCTATAACTTGGAGGGGTATGATAAGTCGGTAATACCTACAATGGTACTGCATTTTGAAAATTTGGATTTAAATTTGGACGAAACATCAGTTACCTGGAAAGCCAATTGTTGAAAAGTCAAAAAAAGGGGCACCGCATTTGTTAAGTCAAATTCGATGCAGATTTACTGAAAATATGTAATGGGTAACTGTCAATTCTAGTCATTGTAATTTATGGTATTTACAAATTAGTCCTTAAGCTTCAACTATAAATACTCTGGCTCATTTAACTTTAAAATCATCCCAAAGCATTCTAGCTTTCTTCCAATACTAGAGAGAATTTAGAGAGTTTCTTGAGAGTTGTTTTCTTTTTTTTATCAAGAGAGAATTATCATTGTTTTCTCCTTGATAGATCGAGAGAAGTTGTAATTTATGTTTTCTCATAGTGAAATTCTTCTACCGTTGCCCGTGGTTTTTACCCTATATTATTTAGGAGTTTTCCACGTAAATTTTGTGTCTATTTTATCTTCATTTTTATTTTCTCAAATTATTTGTTGCGATTTTGCTCTATCCGATAGCTATCTTCTTCAACAATTGGTATCAGAGCCAGATTTGAGTGTGTAATATGCTTATTGTCTTTGTGGTTGCCACCAAAAGGTGGATCCTCAACATAAGAAAGTAAGAAGTTATTACCCATTCTTTGAAAGTTCCAGAGAACTATTCACGATAGTGAAATAGTGGGAGCTATCCGTAATAGAAGCTATGACAACGAAATTTGATATTGAAAAATTCAATGGCAGAAATTTCTCATTGTGGAAATTGAAGATAAATGTAATCCTGAGGAAAGACAGTTGTCTAGCAACTATCAGTGAAAGGCCGGTAGATTTCACAGGTGACAACAAATGGATCGAAATGGACGAGAATGCTATGGCAAACTTTCATCTGGCATTAGCAGATGAAATATTGTCAAGTATCGAGGAGAAGAAGACAACTAAGGAGATATGAGATCATCTCACCAAATTGTACGAGGTCACATCGTTGCACAATAAAATTTTCCTTAAGAGGAAATTGTACACTCTCCGGATGCCAAAATCTACTTCAGTGACGGAGCACTTAAATACAGTTAACACTTTATTTTCTCAGCTTACATCCTTAAGCTGTAAAATAGGAGAACAAGAACGTGCTGAACTTCTACTTCAAAGTCTACCGAATTCGTATGATCAACTCATCATCAACTTGACAAACAATAATGTCACCAGTCTAGTCTTCGATGACGTTGCAGCTGCTATTCTACAAGAAGAAAATCGGTGCAAGAGCAAGGAAGACGGACAAGTAAATCTGCAACAAGTAGAAGCGTTGACAACAATGAGAGGGAGATCAACAGAACGTGGCCAAAGCAGCAGTCACAAACATGGTAGATCGAAGTCGAAAAGCAAGAAGAATTTAAAGTGCTACAACTGTGGAAAGAATGGTCACTTGAAGAAAGATTGTTGGAGTCTAAATAAAAACTCCAATCCACAAGGCAATACTACAAACACTTCAGATGATGGAGATGCTCTATGCTGTGAAGCGTCAACCACCGTGGAAGGTAGAAAAAGATATGCAGATATATGGCTCATTGATTCGGGAGCAACATATCACATGATCTCAAGAAGAGAATGGTTCCATCATTATGAACCTGTCTCAAGAGGATCTGTGTATAGTTGCAATGATCATGCCTTAGAGATCGTTGGAGTGGGAACCATCAAATTGAAGATGTATGATGGAACAATCAAAGTTGTTCGAGATGTGCGGCACGTGAAAGGCCTGAAGAAAAATTTATTGTCCTACGGATTGTTGGATAATAATGCAAGCAAGATTGAAACACGGAAAGGAATCATGAAGGTGTTCCATGGAGCGCTTGTGGTGCTGAAAGGCGAAAAGATAACAGCAAACTTGTACATGCTGAAGGGAGAGACTTTGCTAGAAGCAGACGCCTCTGTTTCCTCATGTAGTTCAGATTCTACAATGCTATGGCATCAGAAACTTGGACACATGTCAGAACAAGGAATGAAAGTTCTTGTGGAGCAAAAGCTACTTCCAGGCTTAACAAAGGTATCACTTACTTTGTGTGAACATTGCATAACAAGTAAACAGCACCGGTTGAAATTCAACACATCAAATTCTAGAGGCAAAAATGTTCTAGAATTAGTTCATTCTGACGTATGGCAAGCACCAGTTACATCCCTAGGTGGAGCAAAATACTTTGTCTCATTTATTGATGACTACTCTAGGAGATGTTGGGTGTATCCTATTAAGAAGAAGTCAGATGTATTTTTAACTTTCAAAATCTTCAAAGCTCGGGTAGAACTTGATTCTGGAAATAAGATCAAGTGTTTCAGAACAGATAATGGAGGAGAATACACAAGCGAAGAATTTGATGACTTTTGCATGAAAGAAGACATCAAAAGACAGTTCATAGTGGCAAACACTCCTCTAGAAAATAGAGTGGCAGAGCGGATGAAAAGAACATTGTTAGAAAGAAAAAGAGCAATGTTGAGGGATGCAGGCCTAGAAAAATCATTCTGGGCAGAAACAGTCAATACCGCCTGTTATTTGGTGAATCGAGCTCCATAAACTGCAATAGAGCTGAAGACACCAATGGAGATGTGGACTGGTAAACCAGCTGATTATTCAAACCTCCATGTATTTGGAAGTATTGTGTACGTAATGTACAACTCCGAAGAAATCTCAAAGCTGGATCCAAAATCCAGGAAATGCAAATTCTTGGGGTATGCTGATGGTGTAAAGGGGTATCACTTGTGGGATCCCACTGCCCGTAAAGTGATCATTAGCAGGGATGTTATCTTTGTAGAAGATAAACTACAAAGAAAAGAAGAATATGGTAGCGTTGAAAAGTCAGAGACTACACAAGTACATGTGGAAAAAGAGTTTGAACAAGGAGATTCTTCTGAAGTAGAACCAGCACATGATGAACAAGAACCAGAGAGTTCTGAAGCTCCAACACCTCGTCAATCAGATCGTGTGAGAAGACGTCCCAATTGGCACTCAGATTATGTTATAGAAGGTAATATTGCATACTGCCTTTTAACAGAGGACGGTGAGCCATCAACATACCAGGAGGCAATAAACAGCTCAGATGCTTCACTATGGATTATGGCGATGCAAGAGGAAATTGAAACCCTTCATAAAAATAATACATGGGATCTTGTGCCACTACCACAAGGAAGAAAGTTAATTGGTAACAAATGGGTCTTCAAAATCAAGCGAAATGATGACGATCAAGTTGAGAGGTATCGTGCAAGACTGGTGGTCAAAGGATATGCTCAAAAGAAGGTATTGATTGCAATGAAATATTTTCTCCTGTGGTTCGACTAACAATAGTTCGAGTAGTTTTGGAAATGTGTGCTACATTGGACTTACATCTAGAGCAGCTAGATTTAAAACAGCTTTTCTTAATGGAAATCTTGAAGAAGAAATTTATATGCTCCAGCCTGAAGGTTTTGAAGAAAAAGAAAAGAATAACTTGGTTTGCAGGTTGAACAAATCTCTGTACGGTCTAAAGCAGGCGCCGAGGTGTTGGTATAAGAGATTTGATTCCTTCATTATGTGCCTTGGATATAACAGACTTAATGCATACCCTTGTGCTTATTTCAAGAGGTCTGGTGATAACGATTTTGTTATATTGTTGTTGTATGTAGATGACATGTTCGTTGCAGGACCCAACAAAGATCATATTGACGAATTAAAGGCACAACTGGCTAGGGAATTTGAAATGAAGGACTTGGGATCAACAAACAAGATTCTAGGGATGCAAATTCATCGAGACAAAAGTAATAGGAAGATTTGGATTTCACAAAAGAATTACTTGAAGAAGATCTTGTCAAGATTCAGAATGCAAGATTGTAAGCCAATTTCTACCCCTCTTCCTATTAACTTCAAATTATCCTCCAGTATGAGTCCTAGCAGTGAAGAAGAGAGGATGGAGATGTCTCGAGTGCCGTATGCATCGGCAGTGGGAAGTTTAATGTTTGCTATGATATGCACAAGACCAGACATTGCACAAGCAGTGGGAGTGGTTAGTCGATACATGGAGAATCCAGGCAAAGAGCATTGGGATACAGTAAAGTGGATCTGAGATACATCAAAGGGACCTCAAATGTTGCATTATGTTACAGAGGATCAAACTTACTAATAAATGGGTATGTAGATTCTGACTATGCAGGGGATTTGGATAAAAGCAAATCTACTACAGGATATGTGTTCAAAGTTGCTGGTGAAGCTGTAAGATGGGTTTTAAAATTGCAGTCAGTTGTGGCTACATCCACAACAGAGGCAGAATATGTAGCAGCTACACAAGCCAGTAAAGAAACAATTTGGTTAAAGATGTTATTGGAGGAGCTTGGGCACAATCAAGAGTATGTCTCTCTATTTTGTGACAGTCAAAACGCCTTGCATCTAGCAAGGAATCCAACATTTCATTCAAGGAAAAAGCACATAAGAGTTCAGTACCATTTCATTCGTGAAAAGGTGGAAGAATGGACGATAGATATGCAGAAGATCCATACCAAAGACAACATAGCAGATTTCATGACGAAGGCAATCAATGCTGATAAATTTACCTGGTGTCGATCCTCTTGTGGCCTGTCAGAGACGAAAGCAACATGATGGTACAAGATAGAAAGAGTGGTGTGAAGATATGATTGTTCCAATCAAATATTCAAGTGGGAGATTGTTGAAAAGTCGGAAAAAGGGGCACCACATTTGTTAAGTCAAATTCGGTGCAGATTTTATTGAAAATATGTAATGGGTAAATGTCAATTCTAGTCATTGTAATTTAGAATATTTATAAATTAGTCCTTAAGCTTCAACTATAGATACCCTAGCTCATTTAGCTTCAAAATTATCCCAAAGCATTCTAGCTTTCTTCCAATACTAGAGAGAATTTAGAGAGTTTCTTGAGAGTTGTTTTCTCTTTTTTATCAAGAGAGAATTATCATTGTTTTCTCCTTGGTAGATCGAGAGAAATTGTAATTCCTATTTTCTCATAGTGAAATTCTTCTACCGTTGCCCGTGGTTTTTACCCTATATTATTTAGGGGTTTTCCACGTAAATTTGCGTCTCTTTTATTTTCATTTTATTTTTTCAAATTATTAGTTGCGATTTTGCTCTATCCGATAGCCGTCTTCCGTAACACCAATGGCATGTCTCAAGTTTGCTTGGCATTTGCTGAAACCAAGGATTTCTTTGCAATCATTGGTAATCATCAACAACAGAAGCGAAACAAACTCTACAACATCCCATACCAGAGGGTGGAAATTGGACCTGGTAATTGCTAGCGTTTCACTTACGAATCTCAGCTAATGGGATGACAATAAGGGCCAACTTCTTGCTCCTTTGATTCTTCCAAGTTAATTGGTTTTAATTGTAAACTTCCAAATCCTTTTACATTATGTACTTTGGAATGCAATCGCATAGCTGGAAATGGAAATCAATCTTTGTCCTTTAGTAAACCTTTTTTTTCCTGCTATTAGTATTGCTTAATTCGAGTACAAGCTGAAGAAAAATACAACTTATATACAACTGAAAGATAGCTGCTTGACCGACGATATGTTAGATGCACACACATAATTGTATATGAACGGGGAGATCGATAAACGGTTTACGAAAGAGATACGTATTTTATGATTTGAAAACCATAGAAAACCACATCTTTATATAACTGTACATAAATTGCAGCACACATTTTACTTTCCTGAATGGTAAATGGGTAGAAAAAGGCAGAGAAATATCCACTAGTGAACTGATGACTTTTACTAGTGCATTGATTATTTCAATCTTAAGCCAATCTTGCTATCATGTGAATTATGATTTAAGAGCTAAGTTGAATATTTTTCTCTCAATAAGATTTATAAAATTTAGGTGCATCCCCCTGGAGCAAACCCGAGCTTCCCTCCAGCACCATCGTATACCACTTGCAACGTCTTTTGCTGTGTATTCCCAAATATTCCTACATCTGTGTCATCACCGTTGGCGGCAAATGCCAGGCAAACTTGTGAGATACTATTAACATAAAAAATCCCATTTTTGTGGATCGGAACCTCCACGTCTCCACTGAAAAAGATGCTTATCTTAGGCACAATAACGGAAGAAGAATACTTGGTGAAGTCATAGCATGTGTCCAGGATCGAAAGTGGTTGTGCCTTCGGATATTGGCTCATCAGTTTTCTAAATTCAGAGCTCAATGCCGAATAGGCCGTAGGGGGTAGTCGGGTGATGACGGTTCCAGAGTCGATGACGGCACCACCAGCGGTGAAAACAGAGGCTGAAATCAGTAGCTTTTTGCCACCAACGCTTATCCCAACAATGTCAATTCCGTAAAAAGATGAACTTTGGGTGATTGTAGAGAATGTTGTGTATTTTACGGATTTCGAGACGCCACTGTATCCGAAACTTAGGAAACCGGTTGAGCTGGAGGATGATGGCAAGCAGTAGGAGAAGAATTTCTCGTATTTGACAGCGGTTTGTGAAGTTAAAGATAATTTATCTCGGCCAAGTCCAAGCAAACCGGCTGCTCTTCCGAAAAGACCTTGATTGTTTTGGCCACAACCGAATAAAAAGTCATCGAATACATCAGTTGGTGTCAAGGAGAGCTTTTCTTTAGCAAAGATTCCGATCGAGAAAGACGAATCTCCGTACTGAATGCCATAGACACAAGCTGTTGATGAACATCCAGGAGAATTACCTGCAAGCACATTAAAGAAAACGAAGAATTAACAATCTTTGAATCTAGCCCTGGAAAATTCGATGAAAAATTACCTGTTGCGGAAGTGAGTGAATTGCAAATCGTTGAGGTGCATGAAATGTTGGAATATGTTGAGGATAGTGATGGTGCGAAAATTTGATCCTGTTGTTTATAGCAACTTCTTGCACAAGGCTCACATTGTGTCCACGTAATGTCACTGCCGGTATCAAATATGAGAGTTAAATCTTTCTTTGGGGTGCCTAGACCGACGGTAACTACGTAATTGCCTGCACCGACGATGCTACCGTCCTTGGCAGGGAGATTGGTCGCATCACTCTGGTCGACATTGGTGGAGCGGCCTAGGTTCTTGGCATGTTTTGAGCGAATGGACTTGACGCGGGCTTCATCTTGGAGGAGAATCTGAGCGTGAGTGGGAATATCTGCTTTATCTTGATAGAGTTGAGAGCATGGACCATGCTTGTGGACGACTTGTAAAGAAGACTTCTTGTTTAATGCTGAAAGTGGAAGCCATGCATCACAAATTCTTTAATACTATCAGTAAAAAATATTTTTACAAATGATATTAAGATTATAATAGTTATATTTACTTTTTTAAATAAAATAAATAAATATGACACATATATATATATCATCATCTTAACATGCTCATGATATTGTTATCAATAATATAACAAATATAAATTTATTAATAAATGATATAATTAAAACTAAATTATTAATATAGGAATTGGGTGGGTGGTTAGGTATAGAAGTGTTCAAGTGTGTCCCTTGATGGGATCAATGCATGTAGCGGAGGAACTCAACAATTCTTCTTGGATGGGCCATTTTAAAAAAATAGATGTTAACTCTTTTTTAATAAATGATATTTAAATGGTTTCTAAATTCTAAAGTAATATGTTAGAAGTCAAATTTAATAATTTATTATACACGCTTTTTAGTGGACAAACTTAATATTTTAATATTTATATAAACGTTTAGTACATGTGATCCCTTTTGGTACCCAAATTTTACTTTTTTTTAAATCATATTTAACATTTAGTTTATGTTTCATTTTGGTATCTTCGTCGTTAAAAACTCAACGGTGATGTTAATATGTCATCATAAGATAATATCGCGTCATCATTGAAAAAACAAAAAACAAAAACATCATCTCATCAATTTTATTAATTTGTTAACGGCGGGATATCAAATTAAAATCTAAAATAATCGTCAGGGATAGTTTAAAAAAAAGTTTTGAAACCAAAACAGAATAAAAATAATAGTTTATGTATTAAAATGTAGTTTATTAGGTATGACCATATGATGTCGATGAAAGTGACTGCCCAATAATGCATTAGCTAAGGAGTGAAAGTAATGTTCTAACGACAAACCAAGCATGTTTCGAATCATATTCATGCATCTTACCTTAGCCATCGTATCCAGAAAATGTATTAGTTTACAAATTAACTTCAATTTTATATTCAAAGATAAAATTAGGATACCAACTCAAGAGGGTAAAATATAATTAACAATAGAAATTGAGAATAACAAAATCAAACTAATTAAAATTAGAAGGTCTAAATAAATATTTTATTCATATATGTTTTAATTAAAAAAAATTAAGAGACATTGACTCCCTTGGACGAAACATAATTTCGTCCCTGGTCATATCAATAATTTTATTAGAGACTAATGATCAACAATGTGATTAAAATAAATTGAAAGTTTAATAATTTATATACAATATTATAATTTTATAGGGTGAAGTATACAAATGATCCCATGAATATAGGGTGATATTTTGTTGAGTCCCTTGACTATTAGAAATTATAAAATGGTCATTTGACTTACAAGGTGTTGCTTTGTTAAGTCCCGAATATTAAAAGTTATAAAATTGTAACCCGACTATTTAGTATGTTCCAAACTCGTCATTTTCCATTAAAAATTTGACGACAGACTGAGCTGGATGTTAATCTGATGACTAAGATATAATAAAATTTGATCCCATAATAAAAAAAACTATTATATCTTAATCAACAGGTTAACATCCAGCTCAGATTGTTGTCAAATTTTTAACAAAAAATGACGAGCTTGGAACATACTAAATAGTTGGATGATCATTTTATAACTTTTAGTAGTTGAGGGACTCAACAAAGTAACACCCCATAGTAAAAGGACCATTTTATAACTTTTAATAGGCGAGGGACTCAACAAAACATCATTGTATAGTCAATGGACTCAAAAAAAAACTCTATAATTGAGGGACTATTTGTGTACCCAGTTTTATAATAATTTCTGTAATTATTAAGTATTATGATTTAGATAATATTTCATTTAGTTATATAAGATACTAAAAATATACTTAATAATTTATGTAATTAGGTATATTCTATATAATTAATATTTATCGTAATCGTATCCTTGTACCCCCTCCAAAAAAAAGTCATTAAGGAGACTCAATTATTGTTAATTTCTCTTATGGATTGGGAAAGAGGGTCCTACAGGAATGGCTAGCTAGACTCGGTTGGCGATATTTTATCTATCATCACAAGTACGAAGGGGAGTTTCAATGGAGGCAATTGAATTCTTGGCTTTGCTTCGATTTACATTAATATCAGGAAGGAGAAAAAGACTGCAAATTCAATCCATAAAACCTACATTGGGTTCTTATGTAGAAATTGATTAAACTGAAAGATTTTAATTTTAATTTTTAAACCTTACGAAGAAATCTACTGGTTGTATACTACATATTTTAATGCAGAGAAAAGAGCGAGACCCGTTTTTCTGACCAGAAAAGAGAGGCTACTGACATAGTACAATGTTATTGACACATGAATGCACTGCTAGCCACCATCCAGCACAGAGGACAGAATATATAACAAGTTCAATAGTAAGTACCCTTTACTGTGGAATCTTAAAGCTGGTTGTTTAGAGAGAGAGAGAGAGAGAGAGAGATGGGGTTAATTAACCTTGGGTTGCAGAGCTGCAAATAGAGGAGGGTAGAAGGGAGGAGACTTGGATGGTATGGCTCTCCACAGTTTCTCTTCGTCCCAAGGCGTAGCCCTGCTTCACAGAGCAGACGATGCACAAAATAACAACAAAAGAGAGCAAGGTTGGGGAAACGATGGTGGCACCCATGGCCTGTCCTGCTTAATTTATCATCCCATAACCCACACTCCACTACATATATATATTCTCTGCCTCATCCTGTAAGCTATAAGTCACCCATTCTTACACGTCATCCTTGAATCATGAATCATATTGAACAATTAACAAAACGTTGCCCACCAAGGGAATATCATATTCATTCCACTCCTTTTCACTTTACCTCCAAACAACGCTGAACTGTTCCATCTTCCCCCCCCCCCTTTTTTACCATAATAAAACTATGCGTCGAGTATAAAGTTTCGTTAATTGTTATTGTTTGATGAAGTGGAAACCTAAAAGCAATATATTTTTGCTTGTTGCGCCTTAAGCTTAAAGCCTATACTTCTTGCTTTTGGCAACAATATTATCTATGTTTTGTTTCTGTATACATCAAATGAGAAGCTTCTTCACGGCAAAAATATGAACCCCACGAGTTAATTAACTTATGTAACTTAATGTTTTGCGTGTTGCTTGCAGGAAATTGGGTCCCCCGATGCTGCAAATTAAAGCCATAAGTGACCGATTGTGACAATTTGGAATCTCGGCAGCGTTAATCATTGTGTGTTCAGACATTATCTGGTTTATGTTATTCGGATTTAATGGTCGTAAAAGCATATATTACTGAAATTTGTGGAATTATGTTTGTATCAGCAGCGGGCTAATATGAAATATATATAACATGGTGGGGTTTCCATTTTGTCTCGTTAATTTTCGTAAATGGAAATGGAAAGAGCCAAAGCAATTGGTCATAGTTATCCGGCATTATAAATTAAAGCAAACTTGTTTATAATTTGTAAGACAACGATAAAGCAAACTTTTAGTATTTGTATTTTTTTTATATTTATAAATTGATGTTAATCAATCCCATCAAGGCCTTTTTCTCTTAATTTCTTGAATGGGTTTTTACAAAAGTGAAATTAGAAAGAGGGGCAAAAGATAAGCAAGTTTGTTTCTTCTTAAAATAAAATGGATGAAGTTAATAATACAAATCCATTATCGTTTTCCAAAAAGATGGTGGTAGTGGTAGAATGTATAGCCTCCCTTTTAGTAGAAGTTTTCACATAAGAGTCCTAGTCATAGACCCATGCCGGCTGCCATTGAAAATTCCGAGCACTGGTAGTAATCCAAAGAGGTAAACTGATATTTTCTTAATTTATCTTTAAATATTGTTTCCATTCATATTAATTTTACAATTTGATAAAAAAATATTTTACCTGATCTTTTAACTCATTTTTTAATCTATTAATAATAAGACACTTTAAAATAGTAATATGCTATTATTTAAATATATATATATATATATATTTAAAAATTAAGTAATGAGTGATTATGTGATATAATCTTAGAATATCACATCATTAAAAAATAAAAATTTAAATTTAAATATTGAAATTCAAAAAATATTAAACTCTTAAGGTTTATATAAAAATATAAGAATTAAATTAAAAATATATATCAAATTTAGACTAAATACTTAATTAAAATGGGCAATCACCAATACATATGCACCTACAAATACTTGAGGTGTCCAAAAGCTTAAAATAATTACATATGAGAGTGCTACAAGATTGTTACTATTTATCAAAGATAATATCTTTTGCTACACTCATTAATACATTACAATTACCCCCTTTTTTCTATTTTTTAAATTCCATAAACATAATTAAAAAATTATTAAAATTTTGAGAAATATAATATTTTTTAAATTTTGTTTATGAAGTTGAAAATCTTATTGTGATAAGTAAAAGATTATAAATATTGAGAGATTGTTTGAATATGATGTCTTAATTACGATGGGAATTTGCACTGAATCTTGATGAAAGAAAAAGGAAAGGATGAAAACAAAGATGAAGGCATTATAGGAAATACTAGATGAAGTTGGACATCATTGTCAGTGTCTACAAAGACATGCGAGCAGCAGGGCCTCCCACTTATATTGTATATAGGGACGAACATATGAATTTTGGTTAAAGGGTACGAACTTAAGAAGTTATGTTAAAAATTTTAAGTGATGCGAAGTTATAAAATTTTAGGGGGTACGAAATTAGATAATTAATAAAAATATAAAAAGAAATCTAGAATATAAAGGAATTTAAAATTTCTACCCATCACCCCTCGATCCATCCCTGATTGTCTGGATATTAGACCCCAATTATGTGTTTGGAAACCAGTTTTCAGGGGGCCTATAGCATAACTGCATAAGTGATGGTAGTAGGAAACGCATTAATATAGTTGGAATCTTTTGCTACTGATGATGGGAATCCTCTTTGTCTCTGATTATTTTTGTACGAGTGAATTATAACGGACGTTGTTTTTCTCCTTATTTTGATCATTTAATTCTAAAAATTAAGTTTCGGTCACTCACATTTTTGTTAACAAATCAGGTCATCATTATAACGAGAATTAATAATTAAATAAAATAAATTAATAATATAAATGATCAACATATTAATTTACAAAATTTAGCCTTTTTGTAAAGGGTGGGGACTGAAATTGAAAGGTGGGAATCTTTTCTTATGTCCCCACAGCAAGTGAGAGTTGATGGGTTAACCACTTATCATCATATTAAAATTTCGACTTTTCGTATACTATTTTTATCTTTTGGGTTTTTCTCTAACCCAATTGTCCAAATTTGGTTTCATTATGTATGTTTTTTTATTTAAATTTTTAGTAATTATAATTATATTTGTGTGTTATAGTGATCATATGTTGTAAATTGAACTTTTAGTTTTATCGAGGTTTGTATTGCAGAAATGATTTTTGTATTTATATTGAAAAAATATTTTACGATATATCGGATGGATTTAATAGATTTATAGTTATAGATATAAATAAAATCGAATTACATTAAACATCGTCTCTTAAATATGATTTATTTTATATTTGTTTTTTATAGGCAAATTCTTATTAAATTATATAAAACTCAGCAATCAATGTTAGTGGGCATTCTAATATAATGGAATTATAGAAGTGGATGGTAGGCTAACAATTCTAAAGATAAGGAGCATACATATGTTTTCTACTCCACTTTTCAGACTTAAAACAAGACAAATAATAGCTAGTGGCTGCCTCAGGCCTCAGCTTCTAGTATTCAGATTTGTTTTTCCATTATAATCCAACCATCTCAGAATCTTCAAAAGCTGATTACCTTTTTAAAATATTTAATTTCCTCAAGTATGTGGCCATTTACATCTACCACTAGGATATACCACACGGATGGATCGAGTGGATATTGGGATGCGGTCGCACCCTCTATAAATTTTAATTTCTTTTATATTTTAAATTTATTTTTATATTTTTTATTGATTATTTAATTTTATACCCTAAAGTTTATAATTTCGTAACCCAAAATCTGATACTGTCTATGGAAGTGGATCAGTGGTATGTACAACTGTTCTATAACTTAAAGCAAAAATAAAATTGCAAACCTTCTTTCTTCTTCCTTAGTGGGATCCTAATGACCGTAGCTAATGAAATACAAGATTAAAGCATTACAGCACATCAAAACAGTTTAACTTTTAGAAGCATAGGCCTCTCCCCAAAGGAATGTAAATACTCAACCCACCATGTTGATCTTCAAACCTATTTCAAGAAGGAATAGAGAAAAAAAATGTGGGTGTTTCTTGATTGCAGAACAAAGAATCGCGCATAAACAGACCTCTCAGAGGTGTAAATATTGGTTAATGTCAGGTTTGCACCTGAAATTGTGAGAAAGGATTGCAGAAGAAGAAGAAGAAAAGGTAGATTACAGAAACAGATTCTTAATTTTCATTCCTAGCGTTCATTTTTCTTCCAGTACATCTATATATTGCTAGATAGACCAATTATTTAGTTACAGCTGTAATATTCTTTCTAACAAAATAACTGTCTCTGTCCAGCTCAGCTTTGGCCCGTTTCATCCCTGCTTACTGACTTCCTTCAGCCCCTTTGCACTCCTCAGCCCATGCCAATATCAGATAAAAATCAGGTAACAATTTCTAAATCCCCAATTCGTTCCTCATTTCCCCCATTCTCTTCGTCAATCCCTAATTTGTGATCCAAAATCCCTAATTTTCCTTCCAGGGCCATGACAATACCTCCTTCTGCAGTCGATGCTTGTCCCCAAGGATCGAAGTCAGGAAATTGTGATTTCAACACTGTAAAATCTTCCCAGGTAGCATTTTCTGGTCCCAAATTCGCCCATTGTATTAACAATTGAGTTACTGCCTTTTTATATTTCTTCACCATTCGTTTGTCTAATATCACAGCTGGATAAACACGAAGTTGTCCATCCGCATTAACTTCTGGAGGATCTCGAGAGGTAATTGTCTTGTTCCCAATCTTCTTCTTTAGTAGACTAATATGAAAAACAGGGTGTATCTTTGAACTGTCGGGCAATTGCAATTTATAAGCCACTGTCCCAATCCTTTCCATGATTTTGTAGGGTCCATAGTACCTCACAGACAATTTTAAATTTTTCCTGAGGGCCACTGAGGTCTGCCTGTAAGGTTGTAACTTGAGGTAAACTTCATCACCAACTTGCAACTCTCTATCACTTCTCCTTTTATCAGCATAATATTTCATGCGTTGCTGTGCCTTATCTAGTTGGTCTTGTAAAACAGTATTCATGTTGTCCCTCTCTTGTAATAATTGCTGCACATCTGCTACTTTGGAGTCTGTTAGCCATGTCATAGTAGGGGGAATATATCCATACAAAGCTGTGAATGGAGTTGTTCCCAAAGCAGTATGGAAACTTGTATTATACCACCATTCAACTTGTGATAACCACTTACTCCAATTAGTAGGCTTCATAAAACACATTCCACGCAAATATTGTTCTAGGCACTGATTTAGTCTCTCTGTTTGACCATCAGTTTCTGGATGGTAAGCTGTAGTGAATAGGGCAGTAGTTCCTAGGAGCTTCATTAATTCTGTCCAAAAAAGGCTAGTAAAAATTTTGTCTCTATCAGATAGAGCTATCTTTGGTTGCCCATGTAGTTTATAAATCTGATCCAAGTAGATTTTAGCTACATCTACTGCATTGAAAGGATGCACCAAGGGTAGAAAATGTGCATACTTAGTAAACTTGTCAATAATAACCAGGATGCAATTATACCTGTTAGAAGTAGGGAGACCTTCAATAAAGTCCATGGTAACAAATTCCCAAGCTTGTTGAGGAATTGGAAGAGGTTGTAATAATCCTGGTTTTAACACATGTTCATCCTTTATTCTCTGACAGATATCACACTGTTGCACATAGCTTTTGACCATGTTCTTCATCCCTTTCCAATAGAAATAAGATTTCACCCTGTGATAGGTAGCTTGTATACCTGAATGGCCACCTTGGGGTGAGTCATGTAGAGCTTGTAGAATCTATTGTCTTAAGGAACCAGTTTCCCCAATATACACCTTACCTTTATGTCTCAAGATACTTCTGGAATAAGACCAATCTGCTGCCTCCTGTCTGGAAATAGCTAACTTAGTAACCATTTCAGCAACTAGGGAATCACCTTGATAACTTTGTTCAACCTCTTGAACCCAAGTATGAATGACAATAGTAGCAGTCATTTGCTGTAACTCTACTTCCTCCTCATCTCTTCTGGATAATGCATCTGCTGCCAAATTGTGTTTGCCCTTCCTGTACTGAATAACATAATCCAGTCCCAGTAATTTTGTAAGCCCTTTTTTCTGTATTGAAGTAATGAGCTTCTGTTCCAGCAAATGCTTAAGAGCTTCATGGTCTGTTTTAATGATAAATGGCCCTCCTTCTAGGTAATGTCTCCATTTAGAGATAGCCATGAGTATGGCTAGGTATTCTTTTTCATAAATGGATAGATCCAATTGCTTAGGTCCCAATGCTCTGCTTAAATAAGCCACTGGTCTGCCTTCTTGAGACAAAACTGCTCCTATTCCCCTGGAACTTGCATCTGTCTCCAAACAAAAACTTTTATTGAAATCAGGTAATGCTAGGACAGGAGCATGACACATTGCACCTTTTAAAAATTCGAAAGTAGCTTTACTTTCCTCTGTCCATTGAAACTGGTCCTTCTTTAACATAGAAGTTAAAGGCTTAGCAATCTCTCCATATCCTTTTATGAATCTCCTGTAATACCCTGTCAGCCCAAGGAAACCCCTTAAGGATTTAATAGTTTTTGGCAGCTTCCATTGTTGCATTGCCTGTATTTTTGCTGGATCAGTAGCCACTCCCTGCTTAGATATAATATAGCCCAAATATTCCACCTCCTGTTGACCAAAGAAGCACTTTGTTCTTTTAGCAAACAGCTGATTCTGCTTAAGGACTTCCAAAACAGTCTTTAGATGCATGGCATGTTTCTTTAGATCAGGACTGTAAATGAGTATGTCATCAAAGAAAACTAATACAAATTTTCTTAGGTAAGGACCAAACAACTTGTTCATTAATGCCTGAAAAGTGGCTGGGGCATTTGTTAATCCAAAAGGCATAACCTTGAACTCAAAGTGACCATGATGAGTCCTAAAGGTTGTTTTGGGAATGTCTTCGGGAGTGATTCTAATCTGCCAATATCCTGATCTTAAATCCAACTTAGAAAAATAGGCTGCTCCAGTCAACTCATCCAACAAATCTTCCACTACAGGAATTGGAAATTTGTTTTTTATAGTCAAGGCATTCAATTGCCTATAATCAATACACATTCTCCAACTTCCATCCTTCTTCTTGACCAACAAACAAGGAGAAGCAAATGGGCTTTTACTGGTCTGTATTATGGAAGAGGACAACATTTCCTTAATTTGTTTTTCCACTTCTGACTTCTGATGATAGGGCATCCTGTAGGGTCTAATGTTCACTGTTTCTGTACCCTCTTTTAGTGTAATAGAATGATCATGTTCTCTTGGAGGTGGCATCCCTTTTGGTTCCTCAAAAACAGCTAAATATTCCTCTAATAAACTCTGTAATTCCACAGGTACCATATTAGTTCTAACTTCCCCACTTAGCATAAAAATTTCCCCTGTTATATCACTGTTCTTCCCCATCAATTTCTGCAATTTACTGTCTGATATCACTTTGACAGTAGGTGAATTCTGTTTTCCTCTCAAGGTAATCTCCTTCCCATCTTTTTTAAAACTCATGGTCATATCATTGAAATCCATTAGCAGTGGACTATACTTTTTCATCCAGTCCACTCCTAGCACCATATCACTTCCTTCTAGAGTTAAAACTCTGAAGTCATGTTCAAACTGAGAACCCTGCATCCCCCATTTTAAATTTTTACTCATGGCTGAACTGTACAACTTTTCACCATTAGCAACTGTAATGGTCAAAGGATGAGTTTGCTCCAATTCCACTCCTTCTTTGGACCATTGACCAGTTATAAAACTGTGTGTGCTTCCACTGTCTATGAGAATGTTTAGAGGTCTCCCAGATATGTGTCCTTGAATTCTCAATGTGTGGTGGCATGTCTGACCTGTGATAGCATTTATAGAAATTTCCAGCTCTTCTTCTACAGGGTCTGTTGCAATAGCCTCATTATTTCCTGTTTCTAGAATTTCAAACTCTCATGTATCCTCCAACTCCTCCATTAAATGTAACTGTTTGACCTTGCATTGATGTCCTGGACTAAATTTCTCTCCACATTTGTAACATAATCCATGTGTCCTTCTATACTCCACCAATGATTGTTTACTCTGGTTCAAATTCTGAACAACTCCTTTTTGTAATTGATTCAAATTAGTATGAGGGGCCTTGTAGTTGAAGCTCTGTCCTGTAGATACTGCTTTAGGCTGGAACCTCAGTTTCCTGTTTTCCACTTCCCAAGTCAATTCAACTAATTTATCCAATCTAAAAGCAGTGGCTAAAGTTGTGGGATTATGAATTTTAACCCTGTGCTTAATTTCTTCTTTCAATCCACTCAGGAAACTAGAAACAAAATACCCTTCCTCCAAGAATGGGCTATACTGCAGCATGTAAGACCTCAACTCCTCAAACTTCTCATGATAGTCTTCTACAGAATTCTTTTAAATCAGCTTGTTAAACTCTTCCACAATGTCATTACAATTCTGATCACAGAATCTATGACATATATCTGCTGTAAATTCATGCCAGTTCACCTTATGTTTCTGAGCTATATAGCCATCAAACCAGGTCTCAGCCTTCCCTGTTAAATACATGGTAGCTAATTCTACTTTCTGACCTTCAGGCACTCTAAAGATTGAGAAATACTTCTGACATTTTTTTACCCAACTTCTAGGATTTGTTCCATCAAACATTTGGAGTTCTATTTTTGGTCTGAAAACATAACTTGAATGAACATCTTCCCCAATAGATGACTCTCCCATTTCTATTGTATTTCCCCCCATTTTTAATTTTTGCACATCCAAACTAGCATGAGGTTGATTTTCACAAAGTGGAGGTGTATTAACAGGTTTAGGAGCTAATATTCCAGGTTCACCAGTCTTAAATGTATACTTCTCATGCTCACTAAGAACAGTAACCAAACATGGAAGCTTACCTTCATCTTTGTTTTGTTTTGCAGCTGCTGGTGGTTGACTCCCTTCTGACCGAGGCGAATCTTTTTCCTCAGCTGCCTGATTGACCAGCTGTAGGATTCTCTGCAAATAGCCTCTATTTTCAGTCATCCCCTCTTCCAATGTTTGTATCGTTCCCTCCAGCTCTACTTTCTGTCCAGCCCACCAAGATGGTAAGGCCTCTTCATCCTTAACCTCTACTGCTTGTTCTTGTACCTCCACAGTTCCAGTCTTTTTCATCTTTTTTGTTTTACCCAGCGTATAGATTTGTTTGGGATCACTAACTTAGCTCTGATTACCAATTGTCAGGTTTGCACCTGAAATTGTGAGAAAGGATTGCAGAAGAAGAAGAAGAAAATGTAGATTACAGAAACAGATTTTTAATTTTCATTCCTAGCGTTCATTTTTCTTCCAGTACATCTATATATTGCTAGATAGACCAATTATTTAGTTACAGCTGTAATATTCTTTCTAACAAAATAACTGTCTCTGTCCAGCTCAGCTTTGGCCCGTTTCATCCCTGCTTACTGACTTCCTTCAGCCCCTTTGCACTCCTCAGCCCATGCCAATATCAGATAAAAATCAGGTAACAATTTCTAAATCCCCAATTCGTTCCTCATTTCCCCCATTCTCTTCGTCAATCCCTAATTTGTGATCCAAAATCCCTAATTTTCCTTCCAGGGCCATGACAGTTAACGTCCCCAATTTGATAGCATGACAACGGATCATCAAAACCTTGTCAAAGGTGTAAGCAGAGCTCTCGATGAGCGACTTCAACGACTTCTCATAATAAATAATGTTTTGAAACTTAGTACCTCAACTTTAGATAAATTAGTCCTTTACTATTCTCAAAAAATGTTTTGAATGTATCGGCAATTGAATTTTAAAATTTTAACTCGCACAATTGAATGTTAAAATTCAACATACTCAAATTTAACGTAAGTCTAAACATTGAGTTGAGTGATGAAAAAAAATTAAAAGTAGAAGAACTACATTTCAAAAGTATAAAGTGAAAGGGACCATTGCATAACTAAACCATAATTTTTTTAATAGTTGGGTGATTATAAAGTAATATATATTCAGAATCTTTCTTAACCATTCGAACACAACTCTTTAAACACATAACCTCTAGAAAGAACAATATTCCCTTTAATCATTAACCATCATTAACCATTTGATGGTAGCATAATAATGATATATAGGAAACAAAAAATGGGTTTATGGGCTATAGGCTTTACCTTGGACTCTTAGGCCTAGAGACCATAATATACAAAACTAAGACTATAACAATATCAGAGTATCAAAGTTTACTCAACACTATACCAACATTAATAGACTAATACATAATGGATATAGACATAGTTAGAAGCATATAAATAATTAAGGGCCAGTTATATGATACGGTTCATGCCGTCTTAACCCATTAATTAGTAAAGGAACAAGAGTGTCGGATTTCCCCGTCATTATCTGTCTTCAATGGTACTGAGCTTCAAGAATGACTCCTCCCAACTCTTGAAGAAGCTTTCCTCACTATTTGCAAACTCCTCCACTTGCTTCCTTGTTCTTCCATCCTCTACAAGAACAGAATCTGACTGAAACAACCCTTTGTGGGCCAACAGTGACGGATGTGCCACTTCCACCTGCTGGACACTTTTTTATGAGCTCTTGTGCGTATGTGATGTCTAGGGATATATCGATCAGTGTGAGGTTTCCATCGGAGTCTTGTCGGAATTGATCACTGAATGCACTACAATGAGCTAGGCCGATGGTATGTGCACTTTTGAAGCCAAAATATGAACACATTAAACCCTGCATTTATGAATATTATGATTTGCTTTTATGTTTTTGAGTACCTGATAGGGTGACAAGATCATCAAGAGATAAGCCTTTAGAATTGAAGAGCTTTATCATTTCATCCATGGTAAAGCTTGTATCTACAATATTATCTACAATATTGGGCCTGACATTTGCAGAGTTGGATATTCTTCCATCTCTTCTACCAGCTGGAATCTGAAATGCCGGTCCACCAGCCTGTTCCAGAATAATTATGGTTAATCTAATCCCACAACTGAAGATGATTGCAGATATTGTAAGAAAATGAAAACAAGGACTGGAAGTTTTTACAATTGCAACTGCATCTCTTGCAGCCAAAGCAATAATATCAGCACAAGAAACAGTTCCGGGACAGAAGATTTCGAGCACCCTTTTGGCCGAATCGATGACTGAAAATCCTCCGAGAGAAGTATTAGTAGGATCGCTTCTCTCCGTCCCGTTCCCTTGTAATAGTACGGATGCATCACAACCCTACATGACACTTGCTTTAGAAAAAAAAAATACTTCAAGCAACTTTGAAGGTGAGCAGGAGTTTAATTTTAATCACCACCATTGGACTGACCTCCACGAAACAGTCGTGGAACAACAGGCGCAGTAGTTTCCCGGGGATGGCCAGATCATTGGCTGAAGCTATCTTACTGTGTTGCTCACCATCAACTCCGCAACGGGACATGATGTTGCATAGAAGTTGAAAGACAGGTGACAGTGGAGGAGAGGGAGCAAAAGAGAAGAAAACAAGGATGAGAAGATTGCAGAGATTAGATGTTGGGGAAAAGATGGAAAATTTCGACTCCAATGAGGCCCTGATTGTGAAGCATAGGTGCAAAACTAGTAGTGACCTTTGGTTTATAATTTTATAGCGAGAATGATATAATTCAAGTAACAGGCATTCAACTGGCCAAAGCTTGTCCATGCCCCATGAATTATGCTATATTTACAGTTGCATTTATGGGGTTAAGCTTCTTCAGTCAGAGGGGTAGATGGGTTAAGTCATGCATTTAGTTGCGCTTGGCCAAGCTCCTTCACATGAAATATTTAACATCATTCAACATCTAACCTGAACTGCAGTCTTCATTAATTCATGGTACCAACTAGTTTCAATATTAGCATCCATTATATTACTGCATAAAACTAGAATAACTTACAAAGGGATTATTTGATTATATATGTATATATATATAATAAGAATAGAATAGTTGAAATGACTGAGTTCCCGGGGAGCCAATTTCACATCAAAGCAGATCTCGTCTTTTTGATTCTAAAAATAAATAATGTGGTAGCTTTTTAAACACATTTATGAAATTTAAAAACTCCACTACTATGGTAACAATATCAAATTTCCCCAATAATAAGAACAATATTACCTCGAACATAATTTTAGATTTTTATGTTAATCCATTCTCAATTCACAAAATAAAATAAACCTATGTTCGTAATCATGTCATGCCACACTACAGCTACATGTTTCATAAAATTTAAGATAAAAAATCTGCGGTGTTCTCCATCTTCAAAAGAAAACAAAACAAAAAGTCTAAAGTCCCACTAGTCTTAAGTCCTCTCACCACCTCCAGAAATTGATCACAGAACCAAAGATGAACAAACATGTCGTTATAGAGGAATGCCTCCACCCGAATACTCTACCTCCTGAAATTTTATCAATTTAAAGCAAGTGTTTGTAAAAAGGCTCCATATAACATCAGCTATAGCATAAAATGGCTTATCTGCTAAATCCAGTAACATCACATGTTACGTGTTAAGATGAAAATCTTCATTATTCCATAGGAAAATGAACTGAACATAAACTTTGCACCAAGGGAAAAGGAAAAACTGATCAACCTGAGCAGGGGGTAAGGATGACACCCAGTCCGATGCATGTGTTGGAAGAAGCCCCAATGTGTTAAGCTGTTAAAACAAAAAATAATCAAGCAAACAAAATGCACAATATTAGATAACTCAGGTTTTGTTCCCTTTCTTTCTGTTCAATAATTTTCAGACGGGAAAGCGTTAGGAACTTTAAGGAAAGTGTATCTCACCTTCCAAACACCAAGTGCTAAACCACCCAAATTAAGGGCAATGAAAAGCAGCTTAGGCCCAAGATGTTCTACTTTACTGTCTTTATAAGGCTTAAAAACTGCAAAATCAAAGTGAAATTCGGATGAATCAACTTAGAAATGGAAATAGCAGACCATAACATCCCAAGCCTTACGTGGCATTTTGGCACAACCGTAACATTTTCAGATTATCTTTCTTATGCATCTTATACACTTTTCAAGAAGAAAATTGGCTATTGAGGCTAGACAGAAAGGGCGAGAGATGCAAAACATATATGTAGCAAAAACAATGAAGCTCTATAGAAGCACACTAGATAGGTTTCTTCTGAATGCTTAAGTGACATTCATTAGTACCATACAATTATAAAGGGGTTAACTATTTCATTCTTGATTAGGGCATCTTTTATTCTTACCCACCTTATTCTTTCCTCTTTTGACAATTGAACCACTCAAAACTAAATAGAACAAATCACGAAGAACAAAGAACGCAGGGAAAGACAACAATAAGGTAATAATACAGGATAAGAGAAAAATTAGTAGTAAGAGGCCACATACCTTTCCCAACACCTTGAAGAGCACTAATAGGCTGCCAAAGTGCAGAAAAAGTGATACCAATGCTAAAGAGATGCACTGTATTTCCAGCCATCCACATCATGAAGCCCATCATTAACAAATTCTTGAATGGTGCTTGTGCCACTTCCCAAGCTTTCTGTTCAACAATAAAAGAAATATCATCTTAAATAACAGATTTTGAGTGGTTACATCTTATACTGACATATTGTCTGGTCTTACTCTTACCTAATGAAACTAACTGGAAAAACTGAAACCTTACCTAAAGGAACACCTAAACCAGCTAAAAGGTTAGTGTGGTATACTCAATCTTGCCTTCAAATAGCATTTCATATGTGCATCAGACAATCACTAGACCTAAAACAAAAACCAACCCTCGATCATGCACGAAGAGAAGAAAGCATTGGCAATAAATATTGTAAACAGGGGACCAGTAATACAGAAACAATTATCATATATACCCTTTAGTGAATGTCAAACAATCACATCTATTAACAAAGCCCCTACGTATAACTAGGAAAAAGCCCAGATGTTGAAACTCAATATGAATTTATTAGCCTAAACATCTATTATGCTTGTTCACGACTTGCTATGGCAATTTCTTACTTAAATCCATTTGAAAGTAATCCATTGAATTTCATCTACGTCCATAGTTAAATCACAACAAATTTGAAAACTTCAAGTCTTTAAGATCCAAAAGAAAATCAGTTTCAATCGTTAGTTAAGCATCTCCTTACTTTAATGGTATCGGGAAAATTAAAACAAACGATTGAAAATAATGCATTACTTTCAAGTGAGTCGCCAAACGAAGGATGCTGAATACACAGTCGAATCGTCCTGCCAAAATACAAAGTGAAACCTAATAAAAATTGAAAATAATGCATTTATTTAAGAAAATTAAAAAAGAAGAAGAAGGGAAACCTGATCCACAGAGGCACGAGTGAAGCCGGGGGGATCGTGGATGTCACGGGAAGAAGGAGCGGTGGAAATATCGGAAAAATCAACGGCCCATCTTCAGCCGGACCCCATTACTCCTTTGCCTTTCTCCATCTTTCTTTACTCTTTTCTTTTTATTTTCTGTTGATGTCTCTGGGTCTCGTATTTTGGATTTGGCTGCTACGGCGATTTGATTTCGGAAATTGTTTTTAGGGTAAAGTGCACAAAAAGTCCTCATATATAGTGTGTTTCTTTCTTGAGTCGCTCGACTATTAAATGTTATAAAATGATCTTTTGATTATATGATATTATTTTATTGAGTCCTCATACTATTAAAAGTTATAAAATTGTCACCCGACTTTTCGTATATTCTAAACTCATCATTTTCTGTTAAAAATGACAGTCGCCTGAGCTGGACATTAACTTGTTGATAAGGATATGATAAAATCTGATCTCAAACCTGTTTAAGTTATATTTTGTGGATCGACTCAGTTTACATTATGTCGTCGAGCTAGTGCTTGAAATATTATGCTATTGAGCCAGTTCTTGAAAGCAACAGTTAGTACTTAAAATATTATGTTATTGAGTCAATGCTTGAAAGCAACAACGATACTAGTAGACATCTTAAAATATGATTTTAGCATATCTCAATCAACAAGTTAATGCCCAACTGAGACGACTATTAGTTTTTACAGAAAATGATGAATTTGGAACATATGAATAGTCAGTGATCTTTTTGTAACTTTTAATAGTTGGAAGACTTAATAAAATAATATCTTATAGTTTAGGGACCATTTATGTACTTTACCCTTGTTTTTAATATGAGTTGTTAGTTCATTGCAAAATTGTTTAAAGTATAGGTTTAATTCGAATGTATGTGTAATATATGTTGAAAAAATTATTGAATGAATTGATGTTATTTATAACTGATTAATAATAAGTTATGTCACTTGATGAATGAACTTAATTTTTTGTATACAATTACATTCATTCAATCATACCTATTCAACAATTCTCTTCATAAAAAGATTAAATTCTTTCATGAAAACGTTAAACATTTTCATCAAAAGGGTAAGTCTTTTAATCGAAAAGTCAAAGTCTTTTTTATCGAAAAGTCTAAACCATACCATTTATTTCCCCTCGCTATATATAGGCTACTTGAGGCACAATTCTAAGAAACAACACAACAAGTTACAAGACACAATTCACAAACACTTAGAAAATTCCTTCTAAATTCGTTCTTTCCGATGATAGAGAAAGACAAGATTATATTCGACTGATTACGACGGTTGTGCTTACTGTTGTGATCATTTGTTGTTGTATCTTGGGAGACCGACGTCCAACGTTACCCAAAGCACCGAGGAGAAGACGAATATGTCTTAAGGAAGTTGTTCATACAGGCCTCAACAAAAATCATTCTTTGGTTTATCTTACTCTACTCATCTGATTATGTGTCTACATACGAGTAAACAAATCATGTTCCTCTATTTTAATTCTTTATTTATTTGTTTTGTTCGATTATATAATAAAATTTGTTTATTATTATTATTATTATCTCAGATTAACATTTTGTCTAACAATCTTAAGAAATATTTTATATTTTATTTTACAATTCTAATACGTGACGAACTGTAGTCTATATGTGTTGCTCATTACTTTATACGTAATTGGTTGTGGAATTTTGCTATCGAATTTTGCTAACGGCATGTCATTAAAATTATCAAGTGGAGTAAGGTACGTAACCCTACTTGCATGAAAATCACTATTGTTTTTCAAGAGCTAACTTTAAACATAGTGATGTAAGTGCCATATAATATTCGATCACTGTATTTTTCTTGTATCGTTTTGTTGGGATTTTCAGAAGCTTGAATCGATAACCGGAACGGTTTGTAAAGAGGAGTCAGAACAGTTTTGTGTTTAGGGAGTAAGGAGATTGAAAGATAGGGAATTGCACAACGATTTATAGTGGTTCGACTTTCTCAACCAAAGTCTACGTCCACAACCTTAGCTCATCACCAAGGATTTTCCAACAAATTCACTAATTTGTTCTTTCTTTTTAGGACAAAGAGATAACCTTACAACTCCCTAGTTTTTCCGGGCTAAACTAGAACATTTCCCCTTTACAAAAGGATAAGAAATGTAAACAAGAAAACCTCTCTAAGGTAGGTGTTTACAAGAATTAAGCTCACAAGAACAAAATATTTACAAGAGAAAGATGAAATAAGAATGAAAAACTCTTCTCTTGTGTTTGATTGCTTGGATAGTTGTTCTCATACTTCTTCAAGTGTCCTTAGCTTGTATTTATAGCTTGGAATATGTTTGAAGTCGTATATAGCCGATGGCGATGTTTTGGAGCCGTTTAGGGATGAGAATCAATTAATAAAACAGCTTGGAGCGTGGGGGAATCGATACCCCCTCATAGGGAATCGATTCCTACAGTGTAAAATTCAAATATTTCGATCGTTACACAGGGAGGAATCGGTACCCCCTGGGGGGAGGATTGGTACCCTCTAGACATTCTGTTTTCTCTCGGAGCCAAAAACCTGGGGGGAATCGGTACCCCCTAGGGGGGAATCTGTTCCTTCTGGGCAATCTGGTTTTTCTTGAAGCCCTTTAAAAAGAAAATATTTTTGGCTCGATTAAGGCTCTAAATACTTTGTAAAATTTGTTTAAAAAGATATTTTAAGATTAAAAAATAATCTTACACTTGAGTAAGGATTGAAATTGACATTTGAAAAACTTGGAGTAATATTTTGATATTCCAATAATTTAATCGAATATATAATTTAAAATTCAATATAAAATCTTAAAATTCATTAACACTTAATTTGTTATATCGAAACATCAAAATATTTTCAACACGTTTAAAGTGGAGAAAGAATCAATGGGTTGAACCGTTGAAGTAGCAATTATCTGATAATATTCATCTATGATTTGTTGTTAGTAAATAATATATGAATATGTCATTAATTAAATGATAAATCACTTCTATTTGAATATGCTATTATGATATGTAATCTTTCCTATTCTATTTGAATATGGTAATCTGGTATGACTTGTCAAAGTGAAAGATTTGACATAATCTATGTAACACCCCAACCCGTATCCGACCCGGATTCGAGTCTGAGGTGTCACATCAACTTTTAAAACCTTTACTTGTTCAAAATAATGAAAATTTCCCGTTAAGGAAAACTTCATATTATTTCAAAATAAAAGTTTACAAACTTATCAGAGCATATACAATTCAAATCGTTATATTACATGCCAACTATATCTAAAAGAACAAAATACATATTAAACATTACTTTTGTGATCTAAACTTTGTAAGGAATATGCTGACCTGTCTTGCTCCTCTTAGCTTCTCTTTTCACTCTCCGTAACCTTCGTGTGAAACACTCACACGCTAAGTCGATGACTTAGTGAGACATATAAATAATGGAAACTCTAACTCATAACAATGCATGAATACTTAATATGCTTATATTATGCACAAACATACAATCTTTCATATAACAATTACATACATGTACATGTATATCATTATCTTCACACTTAGCACCAATGTCAATCCTTCTTATCATATGATCTTTATTCACTAAATGTGTACATCATATATCACTTAGAGCAATTCAAAAATAATTAAACATATCATCATAAGGTTTCTATAATTTATCTCTTATCACCTAATCATACACATCACATATATAAGGTGTTTGTTGTTATCTATGTCTTAGCCCATGTACACATATGAGAACTAAAGATATGCGAGTACTATGAGGTTGTGCACACATATGCTGTCACCACAGCTCGTATAAAGGTCCACTGAGTGGCATATGAAATCTGTGTCTTGAAGAACCTATCCATATGTTCCAAAGAACATAGGTAACACTGTTCATATGTCCCAAATGACATAGGTAATCCTGTCCATATGTCCCGAAGGACATAGGTAAACTATCCATATGTCTCAAAAGACATAGGTAACCCTCGACTATTGGCATGCTAACTATACCTCTAGCTCTCATGACTCATATCATTGGCATTATCTTTTATCTTTTCATATATTCATATAAGCTTATAGATTCGATCACGTATATATGTAATCACGTAACTTATTTTCGCGTAGTTCATGTCACTTTTCCTATGATCTCATAGATCATTGTCATATATTGCACATCATATATACTTATATTCACATAGTTCAATGTGATTGAACTCGGTTCACTTTCCCAGGTTATCACATAAACATATAGTCTCATGTATACTCTTTCATATAATTTGCATAGTAATGTTATATACTCATATCATATACTAATTGCATCTCAATCTCCCTCATGAAGTTTATACTGCATGTTCATATAATCTCATTTTATCCTTTACTTATCTACTCATCTTATCTCACTTTTCCAATTCACTCTCATAACTAATTTATAATCGTTCACGTGATTTAATTTCATTAACCTGAATTCATACAGATCATATAACCTATATTACTTATCTCACCTTATTTATATATACTTGTTGCGTGTTGTGAGTATTATAAAATTATACGTAAATAATGTGCAAGTATACACAATCGCTCAAGTAATAAAGTGATAAGTGAGTATCGTCTCCATAGTGATTGAGTGAAATTAAAAAATTCCAACCAAATCTAAGCACTAATCTATCTATGTATAGTTAGTCTTAATATATATACAAATGTCATAGCAAATGAAAAGTGTATGAAAGTGGATGTGGATGAATGATCTGATGGTATAGTGAATGGAAATGCAGCGGCAAGAACAAATGCTTAGTGTTGAAAATGGTGTAATGTCGAGGCAATAAGAAATGGTAAAAACAGTAAATAAATAGCAAATAAAATGATAAGAAGATAATACTCACGTGATAAGCTTCCAATGAAATGAATGGTATGGATTGATTTAAGGATGATGAACTTATTTCTCAGGCAGATTTATGCTATCTAATCTTTGCTTACTCGACAAGGTTTTCCTAGAGTGTTCTCGTTATCTCTAGTCAAAGGAACCTAAAAGAATAGGATGCCAATACATCTGCTCTCACTCAACGAAGCCGGCAGCCTACACTATTGATAAAAACACCCTTTTTAGTCGTTGAAATCCTATCCTAGTCTCTCTCTAGTACTAAGGGATTAGGATATAGTATTCCTAGGCCGGTTCAAAGCCCCTTGAAAACACTATAGCCCATTTCTTATGAGGATCTTGTCTTGTGTTTCTCTCGAATACTACAAGTATTTTTAGATTAGGTTTCTCTCGAACACCTAACCTTCATCTAAGAAATGGACACTCGTATGCCTCTTATAAGCTTAAATGGTGAAGCATTCATAAGTAAAGCAAACAAATAACCAAGATAAACATAAATATACCATTAAAATAAAGTTTAAACAACCATTAAAACAACCACCACCAAATAAGTTAGTTCATGATGAGGTTCGAAATATCCATAAAATAAATCATGAAAATATTCGTTCCAACAACCCAAGAATAATATTAAAATAACAACAAAAGGGAAGTGAGAAGAAGCATTCGACGCGCGCCACCGGAGGTCTCCTCGGCCACCACAAACCACCTTAGCTGGCTAGCTCCTCTCGGACTTAGCGCGCCACTCCTTGAAGCTTTATCAATGGAGGAAAACCCAAGGAAGAAAAAGAAAAAATAAAAAAATATGATTTTCTACTCTATGCGTGTGTGTGTCTCTTGTGTCTCTCCCTCTTCTCTCTAATGAGGTGTCATATATAATAAAAAATATCTAGGGGTAATGATTAGGTTACTGGGTGTAAAATACCCCTCATACCCTTAGAATCACACTATAAGGGTGAACCTTATCCTCCAGGTGATAGTGGTCATCTGGCAGGCGGTTACAACAATCATTTCACGTGCAGAGCCAGCTGTCCTCGTACAGCTGTATCTTTTTGTCGTTTTCTGCGCTAGAAATGGCAAGGCATTTCAATATGTCAAGAAATCAAGTACTTTTCCATAGGTCAAAATCCTTTTTGGTCATGTGTGTGCGTGATTGTATCCAATCTATACTTAGCAAATTTAGATAATTTCTACTCAAGTCCCCTAGTTTTTGTCAAGGCATTTACTTATTCATTAAGCACATTTTTACTCCTTTTTTATTGATTTTTTTAACCACTGTTACGAGGGGAGTCAGCTTATCACACATACTCTCTCACACTCTAGATGAAAGGGAGCATACCTTTTATCCCCGAGATAGTTAAGTAGAGTCATCCCGTGACTTCTATCATTCATTCATATGCACAAGGCTGCCATTTATTAAAGAGAATTCCAGGAAATGCCACGGCAAAAAGGAGTGTTCTTCTACAGCTATGCCTAAGCATTTTTTCACAGTTTCATATATAAAGGAGTTGTTTTTTATTTTTCTTTTAAGCACAATACTAAATTTCAATGCCAAACTAACTAAAGTTCATTCATAAAAATTGTCTAAATTTTCTAAGTATAGAGAACATACAAATTGTGCAAAAAAAATTCACAAAACATCAAGCCCTATAGTGAGCTCTATCATTCTCAACAGTCATTTACATTCAAATTCTAGCCTAACAAATTCATTATCATCGGGTATCCTCAAAACATTCTATCTAATTGTCCTACTATTTACTGATGCCATGGCATAATACTACGATAATGCTATCATGTATATGTCCTACCGAGAACACTACATCCCCCAAATTTAACAGAAACATTGTCCTCAATGCTTAAAGAGAACTAAACTAAAGAAAAACTAAATGTCATGCAATGAAATGCAAACTAAATGAAAATGAATGCAAGTGAGGTACCTCAGGATTTGCGTGGTGGTGTTGCCTTGGAGCTACTGGCAGCTCCTCGCCTAGTGTGCTTGCGTAGGGGTACTGTGCTGGACTCTGAAGAAGTAGAGTAATAATGCGCAATGTTCTTACGTCCAGCCGTGGTTTTGGTGTGGCGGTAACTACGTGGTGCAGGAACGGGACTTGGTGTTTCTTCAACAGGGACAGTAGGCGGATATCCAAGGATCTCAAAACGGTGTTGATCAGGAGTCGGGTCATCAACTGAAGGATCAGATGCATCTTGCTCGGGCTCTGGAGATGCCTCGGCATTGAATGCCGACAGAATTTCGTCTCGAAAGCCAGGGAAATTTCGTTGACCATGGGGAATAATTTCTTGAAACATCGATTCCACCACAGCATCTCTATGCTTCACATATCCAAAGAAATTACGAATGTCACAGTGTAAAGCATGCATGTGAGTCTGAGTCTGCATCACAGCTTCCTCGAGAGCGAGCAATCTTACCTCGGCATTTGATTGTGTAGTATCTGCAGATTGCTCATGAACAGGGTCTTTAGACTTGGGATTTTCAATTCCCAATAGCAGTGGTAGTCTGGCCTTAGTAATGCTCGATAATCTAGGTAAAATCTTATCAAAAGCATTTTCATTGACATTTTTCTTACGACACAAAGTAGTAATTAAGTTAGAAAACACTAAAGCACTTACCTTTTTACCCAAACACTCATGAACTTGATGAACAATAATTTGACCAGCATCAATAGGACGGAATACCATGATCGAGTATAAAAGCAATAAGCGAGAAAGTGATATCGTCGTATTGTGGGAAGTAGGCATGAGTTTATGTTTAAGGAAGTGATTCCATATCTTGGCGCGCGGTTGAAGACGCTCGCGGTTGACTGAGTATCTACTGGATTGACGGCCATTCCACTCAGTGTTTTCAAAACATAAGTCCTCAAGAATTCCGTTGTAGGTGGTGCTATCAGTCTCATTTTCAAACGTGGCATGTCAGTCCTCCACATCCTGCAAATGATAATACCGATTAATTATAGAGGGTGTAAACCGAATCTGTTTACCTCGCACAAAAATGGAGTGTTGGTTTGGCTTGGAAATATTTGCGTAAAACTCCTTAACCAACGAGGCATTCACCGAACCCGGATGCCTTCCAAATTTCTTCCATTTGAGTGGCGTGACGATGTCCGTCACGTCTGGACCAAAACCACCATCGGTCTCCTCAGTAAAAATAAAACCCAACTCAAAGAAAAGTTTTCGGTTTTTGAAATTTTGAAATTGTGCCTTAGCCTCGTCATTCTCAAACTGTTGGAAATTGAAAGTTTCGGTTGCGACCGGTCTTGTGCGCACCATTTTCAACGGTTGTGAAGTAAGAAAAATAGAAAATGAATTAGCTTTTGAAAACTTTGGGGAGTTTCGTCTATGGAAAGAAAGAGTGAAGAAGATGAGGAAATAAAAGAGAAAAAGTAAAAGTTAAAATAAAATAAAATAGATAAAGTTAAGGATAAAAGAGAAAATAAAAAATTGAGAGAGAAATGGGCTGATAGGATGGTTAAGAAATGAATGGATGGGGGGTAATGCGTGTATAGGGAAGGAAAAAAACTACCAAAAGTAATGATAGTGATAGAACAAATCTGTGGAAAGAGAAAAAGAAATGTTAGAAATAAAATAAATTAAAAAGAAACAAATCAAAAGAATATATCTCCAATTAATGCGTTGTCCTTTCCTCCCTTTCGTAACAGCTCCTTGCACTGTTTGCAGCATTGTGGTCCCCACGAATCAAATCAAAAATTATCTACAAAATAAAATATAAATATAAATAAAGAAAAGATTAAATTTTAAAAAAAATATTTATGAACAGATACAAATTCAATACTGTGGCATCGAAATTTGGTTTTCCTAGGGGCACTCTTCAACATCGCGCAGATGCAAAACTGCCTTGTTGTGCGGTGGTGGAACTCCAGTATAGGCTTTGAGACGCTAGCCATTAACTTTAAAGATCGTCCCATCTGTTTTTTTAATGTCAACAGCTCCATGGGGGTAGACATAATGCACCTCAATTGGCCCTGACCATCGAGATTTAAGCTTTCCAGGAAAGAGTTTAAGTTTGGAGTTATAGAGCAAGACTTGTTGGCCCACATGAAAATGTCGTGGCATCAGTTTCTGGTCATGCCACTTCTTGGTTTTCTCCTTGTAAATCCGAGCATTATCATATGCTTGTGCTCTAAACTCTTCCATTTCATTAAGTTATAGTAATCTCTGCTCCCCAGCTAGTTGAGCATCAAAATTCAATTGCTTGATGGCCCAATAAGCTTTATGTTCAAGTTCAACTGGGAGGTGACAAACTTTCCCATATACCAGCTTGAATGGTGACATCCCCAAAAGAGTCTTAAACACTGTTCTGTATGCCCAAAGTGCTTCATCCAACTTTGGCGACCAATCCTTACGCTTTGGGTTCACTACTTTCTCTAAAATCTGCTTGATCTCGCGATTGGATATCTCATCTTGGCCATTCGTCTGAGGATTATATGTCGTGGCAATCTTATGTCGAACTCCATAGCTCTTCAATGCCTTGGCAATCAACTTGTTATCAAAGTGGGTTCACTCATTACTTATGATAGCATGAGGTACTCCAAACCGAGTGAAAATATACTTGTGCAAAAACTTGAGTTCGGTCTTAGAGTCATTCCTTGATGTTGTTATTACTTCTAACTACTTTGACACATAATCCACAGCAAGCAGAATATATAGATTTCCTCCAGAAGATGAAAATGGTCCCATGAAATTGATGCCCCAAACATCAAACAACTTTATCTCCAAAATACTTTGCAGTGGCATCTCATGTCGTCTGGATATGTTTCCAGTTCGCTGGCATCGATCACAAGCTTTGTAAAATGCTTGGGCATCTCGAAACATAGTTGGCCAGTAAAAGCCTGATTGCATGACCTTAGCAACAGTCCTCGTTCCACCAAAATGGCCTCTATATGGGGCTGAATGACAATGGTACAAAATGTCGCGCTGTTCCTCTTCAAGTACACATCGTCTAATGAGCTGATCGGCACAATGCTTAAACAAATCTGGCTCATCCCAAAAATAGTGCCTTGCATCGTGCTTGAACTTATTTTTAGCCTAACTATCTAAATCAAAAGGCAATATTCCACTAACAAGAAAATTAACAAGGTCAGCGTATCACGGGATTGTCGTGGCATATAAAATTTTCTCATCAGGAAATTCCTCTTGAATATCTACAGTGTCATGGCATTCAGAATTGTTCTCTAGCCTAGATAAGTGATAAAAAACTTGATTCTCAGTTCCTTTTCTATCTACCACCTCTAAGTCAAATTCTTGCAAAAGTAAGATCCACCTAATAAGTCTAGGCTTGGCAATCTTTTTGTTCACTAAGTATTTTATAGCTGAATGATCAGTGTGAATAATAACTTTAGTGCCTATTAGGTAAGGTCTAAATTTATCAAAAGTAAATACCACTGCAAGTAATTCTTTCTCAGTGGTGGTGTAGTTCAATTGTGCTTCATTTAAAGTGCGGCTAGAGTAATAAATAACATGAAAAATTTTACCTCGGTGTTGCCCCAAAATAGCTCCTACGGAATAATCGCTTGCATCACACATCAGCTCAAATGGTGATGTCTAATCAGGAGGAACTACAATGGGTGCCGAGATCAGTCTTTGCTTCAGCTTAGTGAATGCATCAAGGCATAACTCGTCAAACACAAAGGGTTGGTTTTGTTGAAGCAATGTGCACAAGGGCTTAGAAATCTTGGAGAAGTCTTTGATAAACCTTATATAGAATCCAGTATGTCCAAGAAAACTTCTTATACCCTTGACCAAAGTTGGTGGTGGAAACTTTTCAATAACTTCAATATTCGCCTTGTCTACCTCAATACCCTTGTGAGAAATTTTATAGCCTAATACAATGCTTTCAGTCACCATGAAGTGACATTTTTCCCAATTTAAGACCAACTCAACCTTCTCGCATCTTTTGAGAACTTTTGCTAAATTGCCAAGGCTTCGTTCAAAATCGTCTCCACAAACAGAAAATTCGTCCATGAAAATATCCAAGAAATCATCAACCATGTCTGAAAATATGGCTTGCATACAGAGCTGAAATGTTGTCGGGCATTACAGAGTCCGAAAGGCATCCTCTTAAAGGCAAATGTGCTATAGGGACAAGTAAATATAATATTTTCTTGGTCCTCTGGTGCGATGGCAATTTGATTGTACCTTGAATACCCATCCAAAAAGAAATAGAATGCTTTGCCGGCCAATCGATCCAATATTTGGTCGATTATTTGGTCGATGAAAGGTAGAGGAAAATGGTCATTCTTTGTAGATTTGTTGAGTTTCCGATAGTCCATGCATATCCTCCATCCGGTAATAGTGCGAGTGGGTAATAGCTCATTATCCTCATTAGTAACCACCGTCGTGCCTTCTTTCTTCGGAACACATTAGACAGGGCTTACCCATGAGCTATTTGAGATAGATTAAATCACTCCAGCATCATGCCATTTCAGAATTTCTTTCATCACCACTTTTTTTTATAACTGGGTTGAATCTTCTTTGTGGTTCGATTGAATTGATGTGGCAATCTTCAAGCAGAATCTTATGCATGCAGATTGTGGGACTAATGCTTTTCAAGTCGGTTATCGTCCAACCAATTGTTTTCTTATGTTGCATCAACACACTTAACAAACTTTACTCTTGATTAGCAGTAAGGTTAGCAGAAATAATCACTGGTAAAGTCTCATCGCTACCTAAGTAAACAAATTTGAGACGCCTTGGCAAAGTCTTAAGCTCTAAAGTAGGTGCATGTAGTAATGAAGGGTTAGGAGGAATAAATACATCAAAATTCAGAGGTTCAAAATTCATACCTGATCTAGCTTGTAGTAAGCTAGATTGCTCCTCCAAACTTGAAAAGTTGTCAGACTTCACTAAGCTTCCATCATCCACTAGCTGAATGAAATTGTTCTGGCAAAGCTCTTCAGTCTCTTCTTCAATCACTGAGTTCAATTCAGAAATGCTTTGGTATTCTTTAGTGTCATCGACATATTTGAGCGTTCGAAACACATTGACAGTCACACACTGATCAACCACTCTCATGGTGAGTTCACCTTTTTCACAGTCTATCAGTATACGTCCAGTGGCTAGAAAAGGTCTTCCCAAAATGATTGGTGCCTTGGCATCAACTTCGCAATCCAAAATTAAGAAGTCGACTTGAAACACAAACTTATCCACCCGTACTATGATATCCTCGACTCTCCCTTCAGGTTTAACATGGGATCTATCAACAAGTTGTAAAATAACCGAGGTGGGTCTTGCATCTCCTATTCCAAGCTTCAAGAATATCGATTTTGGCATTAAGTTGACACTTGAACCAAGATCACATAGTGCCTTTCCAACGAAATTAGCTCCAATCGAACAAGGAATAATGAAGTTGCCCTGATCATTTCGCTTTAGCGGTAACTTACTCAATGAAGAACAAAATTCTGTTTCCGTGGCAACAGTCTCTACTTTCCTCTTCTTGGTACAGATTTCCTTTGAAAATTTGGCATACATCGACATCTGTTCAATAGCTTCCAAGAGAGGTACATTGAAATGGAGGTGATCAAGAATGTCCACGAACTTCTTGAGCTGAACTTCATCATTATGCTTCTTTAGTCTTTGCGGGAAGGGTGGTGGAGGTCTAGCTTCCTTAACTACAGGAATAGAATTTGCTTTTGCCTTGGCATCAGAATCTGGTGCCTTAGTTGAATCCTCCTCCTTGTCCTTATCAACAATGATATCATCATGCAATTTAGCTTCACTACTTTCAGTAGTGGGAGTAGAGTCATCATGTTATGCCCAACTAGCTTTGACTTGTTGATTGATTTGTGTTCCACTCCTAAGAGTTAACACATTACAATGCTCCTTTTCATGCCCTTTAGTTACTTCAGTATCACTTGGCAAACTCCTTGCTGCCGCTCTTGCAATACCGTAGCAATCTGACCAACTTGACCTTCCAAAACTCTCAGAGACGAGCTATGACTTTGAAGTAAGGCGCCTTAACTATGAAGTAAAGCTCCTTGATTCTTAATTGAAGTAGAATGGTCTTGCAGCATTGTCTTCGTAGTAGATATGAATTTTTGAATTATAGCTTCCAAAGAACTCATACTTGCTGAAGTTGAAGCTCCTCTGTTGGCATTATGTCATGGCATAACATTCTAGTAACCTTGAGGCTCATTATGATTCTGCTGCCGAGTATGTTGACTAGCATGGTGGGCTCCTTGATTTCCCCATGAGAAATTGGGCTCCTTGAAATTGTTGTTGCCTCGATTGTAATTGCCTACAAAGTTGATGGACTCATGGTTGGTCGGGCATTCGTTCTCGTAATGATTGCCTTGGCATAACAGACATGCCAAACTAGTTGTTTTCACTTTCTTTACCTCAGTAGAATGTTGTAAGTTTTTCAGTATATTGGTGATAGTTGAGAGTTGAGCGGGCACCGAATTTTTAGTATCTAACTCAAATGCTCTAGGTGCTCTCCTCCCACTCCCAAGTCTTGAGGAATGAAACTGATAATCGTTGTTAGCAATTCTGTCCAAAATAGCAAACGCCTCAGTAGGTGATTTATCCAGCAATGTACCATTTACCGAGGCACCCAGTAACATCCTCGTTGGTGCATTGACTCCATTATAGAACATGACTACTTGAGTTCAATCGTGAAAACCATGATTTGAACAATTTCGAAGCAAACTCTTGTAACGATCCTAACACTCATACATGGATTTGTCGTCGCTCTGGCGAAAAGATACTATGTCATTCCTTAGTTTTGTATTCATATTTGGTGGGTTATACCTTAATAAGAAACTCTTGCAAAGATCAGCCCACGATTCCATTGAACCGGAAGGTATACTACTCAACCAAGCCCTTGCTCTGTAACGCAAGGAATACAGAAACAACTTTAATTTCAGAACATCCTCATGCACTCCTTCTTGGCGAAAAGAATCATAAACTTCCAGAAAAATTCGAATGTGCTACCTGGCATCTTCATTTGGCATACCCCCAAACTGCCCAATAGAATTCAACATGTTGAACATGAATGGTTTTAGCTCGAAATGTGCAGCTTGAATTTCGGGTGCCACCCAGGATTCATATCATCTAGAATCGGATTTAAATGATCACGAATAACACGTGGCCTACCAACATGTTCAGTATTTTCTAATGCTGTGGCATTCAGATTTTGTCATCCTGACCAATGCCTTGGTTTCCAATATGATACATATTTCCTTGAGGACGTAGAGCACGTCTCCTTTGTCTAAAGAGTCTTTCAATCTCAGGTTCTATCGGTTCCAAAGACTCTTCAGAATTTCTTCTAGGCATACACTAAATAAACCTGGAAAATGATAAAACAAAAATATAAAGTAAACTCTACACAAATAAAATGAAAAAATAAAATGCTCTGGCAAAACTAAATAACTTGAGGCTGCCAATCCCCGGTAATGGCACCAAAAACTTGTTGCGTGTTATGAGTACTATAAAATTATACGCAAATAATGTGCAAGTATACACAATCACTCAAGTAATAAAGTGATGAGTGAGTATCGTCTCCACAGGGATTGAGTGAAATTACAAAAGTCCAACCAAAGCTAAGCACTAATCTGTCTATGTATAGTTAGTCTTAATATATACAAATGTCACAGCAAATGAAAAGTGTATGAAAGTGGATGTGGATGAATGGTCTGATGGTGTAGTGAATGGAAATGTAGTGGCAAGAACAGATGCTTAGTGTTGAAAATGGTGTAATGTCGAAGCAATAAGAAATGGTAAAAACAGTAAATAAATAGCAAATAAAATGATAAAAAAATAATCCTCACGTGATAAGCTTCCAATAGAATGAATGGTAGGGATTGATTTAAGGATGTTAAACTTATTTCTCAGGCAGATTTATGCTATCTAATCTTTGCTTACTTGACAGGGTTTTCCTAGAGTGTTCCCGCTATCTCTAGTCAAATGAACCTAACAGAATAGGATGCCAAGGCATCTGCTCTCACTCAACGAAGCTGGCAGCCTATACTATTGATAAAAACACCCTTTTTAGTCGTTGAAATCCTATCCTAGTCTCTCTCAAGTACTAAGGGATTAGGATATAGTATCCCTAGGCCGATTCAAAGCCCCTTGAAAACACTATAGCCCATTGGTTATGAGAATATTGTCTTGTGTTTCTCTCGAATACTACAAGTATTTTAGATTAGGTTTCTCTCAAACACCTAACCTTCATCTAAGAAATAGACACTCTCATGCCTCTTATAAGCTTAGATGGTGAAGCATTCATAAGCAAAGCAAACAAATAACCAAGATAAACATAAATATACCATTAAAATAAAGTTTAAACAACCATTAAAACAACCACCACCAAATAAGTTAGTTCATAGTGGGGTTCAAAATATCCATAAAATAAATCATGAATATATTTGTTCCAACAACCCAAGAATAATATAAAAATAACAACAAAAGGGAAATGAGAAGCAGCATTCGATGCAAGCCATCGGAGGTCTCCTCGACCACCACAAACCACCTTAGCTCGCTAGCTCCTCTCGGACTTAGCTCGTCACTCCTTGAAGCATTATCAATGGAGGAAAACCCAAGGACGAAGAAGGAAAAATAAAAATATGATTTTTCTGCTCTATGCGTGTTTGTGTCTTGTGTCTCTCCGTTGAATTTTTTTTGATTTTTCGATATAACAAATGAATTTTAAGATTTTGCAAATGATTTTCTAAGTATATTCGATATAATTATTCGAATATCAAAATATTACTCCAAGTCTTTCAAAGTTCATTTTAATCCTTACTAAAGTGTAAAATTGTGTTTTATACTTAAACTATTTTAAAACAATTTTACAAAGTATTTCGAGCCTTAATTGAGCCAAAAATATTTTCTTTTTAAAGGGTTTCAAGACAAATCATATTGTCCAGGGGGTACAGATTTCCCCCAGGGGGTACAGATTCTCCCCAGGGGGAACCGATTCCCCCTGTCTAACGGTCGAAATTTTTTTTATGTTTCGATATAATAAATGAATTTTAAGATTTTGCAAATGATTTTCTAAGTATATTCGATATAATTATTCGAATATCAAAATATTACTCCAAGCCTTTCAAAGTTCATTTTAATCCTTACTAAAGTGTAAAATTGTGTTTTATACTTAAACTATTTTAAAACAATTTTAAAACAATTTTACAAAGTATTTCGAGCCTTAATTTAGCCAAAAATATTTTCTTTTTAAAGGGTTTCAAGAAAAATCATATTGTCCAGGGGGTACAGATTTCCCCCAGGGGGTACAGATTCTCCCCCAGGGGGAACCGATTCCCCCTGTCTAACGGTCGAAAATAGATTGCACTTAGGGAACCGATTCCCCTTGAGGGGGTACCGATTCCCCCCACGCTCCAAGCTATTTTATTAATTGTTTCTCATCTCCAAACGGCTCCAAAACATCCCCAACGGCTATATACGACTTCAAACACATTCCAATCTATAAATACAACCTAAGGACACTTGAAGATGTAAGAGAACAACCATCCAAGCAATCAAACACAAGAGAAGGGTTTTTCATTATTATTTCATCTTTCTCTTGTAAATATTTTGTTCTTGTGAGCTTAATTCTTGTAAACACCTACCTTAGAGAGGTTTTCTTGTTGACATTTCTTATACTTTTGTAAAGGGGAAAAGTTCTAGCTAATCCCGTGTAAAAGCTAAGGGAAAGGTTCTAGTTTAGCCCGAAAAAACTAGGGAGTTTGTAAGGTTACTCTTTATCCTCAAAAGAAAGAACAAATTAGTGAATTTGTTGGAAAATCCTTGGTGAGGAGCTAAGGTAGTGGAAGTAGACTTTGGTTGAGAATGTCGAACCACTATAAATCGTTGTGTAATTCTCTATCTTTCAATCTCCTTACTCCCTAAACACAAAACCGTTCCGACCCCTCTTTGTAAATCGTTCCGGTTGTCAATTCGAGCTTTCAAAAATCCTAACAATTGGCATCAGAGCCTAACTCGTTAATAAGGTTTAACCACCTTGAGACGATCCTTGAAGAAGCTCTACCAATTCCCGACACAACCGAGAAGATGGCTTTCACCTCAGACTCGTTCCACATGGAAGACTCCCTACCAACGGACAAGCCTCCATACTTCAATGGAGTCAACTATCATCATTGGAAGAAATTAATAAAGGTATTCATCCAATCCAATGATCTTGATGCATGGGAGATAATCGAGAATGACTACTCTTCTCCAAAGAAGAATGAGAAGAAGAAGAGTGACAAAGAACTGGAGAAAGCTCAACTTAATGCCAAGGCCATGCACATGATGTTTTGTGTATTTGGTCATGAAATCTATATGTTCAAGTGCCAAGGAGATTTGGAATAAGCTTGAGGAAATCCATGGAAACAAGAAAGAAGAACCAATTAAGGTGGTGTCTCTAATGGCTCGTGAAGAGCCGAGGTATCTTCTAACTCAAATGAATTTAATTCATATACGTTTGATGAGTTACAAGATGCTTTTAATAGGTTATATTCGGAGTTTGAGACCATGAACTCCAAATATAAGAAAATGATTTCAAAATTTAAAAACGAAAACGATTTTCTTTTGAAAACAAAAATAGATTTTGAAAGCCAAAATGAAATTTTGAAAAATGATTTAGAGCTTTCAAAAATAAAAATTGAAAGTTTTGAAAAAGAAAATCTTGATTTAAAAGTTAAGCTTGAATGCTTAACAAAAGAAAAAGAAATCATTTTAAATAATTCATTTAGTTCAATAATGACAATATGCTCACATTGTCATTATCATGGTCATAAAGAACATACTTGTCCTTTGAAGAAAGGAAAACGTTTTAAAATTAGACAAGTATGGGTTTCGAAAGGAACAAGGGGCATTGAAACTAACGTCCAAGGATCCAAAGCAAATTGGATATCAAAATCTACTTAAATGTCTCTTGTAGGTGTGTGGGAGCAATGGTGATGAGAGTGATGAGATTCAAGATGCTCTAGCCACACATGAAAAAGGAATGGGTAACCTCTAAGCTTAATGCTTTTAATTTTGGTTATTTGGTTGCTCATTTGATTTTAAGCATGCATGAGTTTTGTTTTTAAATGATTATTCATCATTGTTTTAATCTCATGCATGTTGAAAAGATGATTATGATGAACATTTTAAAGTTATATTAATTTTTAAGAATTTTTAGTTCATCATAATAAAATTTTGGTCAAAATTGGTTTTAATGCAATTGATATCTCTCTAACAATTGATATCAATTTTTCAAATACTTTGATTTTACAAATTTTAAAATTTTTGACCTAAATTTGAATGTTTATGCATGTGTTTTAAATGAAAATGATATCTCTCTAACAATTGATATCAAAATTTTCAAAATGCATAACATTTTTGGAAAACTTTATGCATATGCACTTAATTTTAACAATTGATATTGATATCAAATTTCAACTATTGGTATTGCATAAATTATTTTAGTCTTGGATATATTGAATTTCATGTGCTACTAACATGTTTGTTATTCTTTGTTTAAATTCAATTTTGTTTAAGTGTCAAGATCCTAAAAGCAAAATTTTATTTGGAATGCATTTATTGAGGGGGAGCTTTGATTTTTCAAATGATTTTAAAAAATATCAAATTTACTACTTACTCTCCAAAGTTATTTTGAACTTCAAAGATTAGAGTCTTTTTGATTTAACAAAAAGGGGGAGAAGTGTTAAAGTGTTTTAAAGGGAAAAGTGTTAAAGTAAGGGGGAGTAATTTCAAACTTGAATTCAAAATCTTAAAATTACTCAAATGTTTTGTTATATCAAAAAGTAGGAGATTGTTGAAAATTTTTTGATGTTTAGATATAACAAATGAATTTTAAGATTTTGCAAATGATTTTCTAAGTATATTTGATATAATTATTTGAATATCAAAATATTACTCCAAGTCTTTCAAAGTTCATTTTAATCCTTAATAAAGTGTAAAATTGTGTTTTATACTTAAACTATTTTAAAACAATTTTACAAAGTATTTCGAGCCTTAATCGAGCCAAAAATATTTTCTTTTTAAAGGGTTTCAAGAAAAATCAGATTGCCCAGTGGGTACAGATTCCCCCTTGTCTAACGGTCGAAAACAGATTGCACTTAGGGAACCGATTCCCCATGAGGGGGTATCGATTCCCCCCACTCTCCAAGCTGTTTTATTAATTATTTCTCATCTCCAAACGGATCCAAAACATCTCCAACGGCTATATACGACTTCAAACACATTCTAAGCTATAAATACAACCTAAGGACACTTGAAGATGTAAGAGAACAACCATCCAAGCAATCAAACACAAGAGAAGAGTTTTTCATTCTTATTTCATCTTTCTCTTGTAAATATTTTGTTCTTGTGAGCTTAATTCTTGTAAACACCTACCTTAGAGAGGTTTTCTTGTTTACATTTCTTATCCTTTTGTAAAGGGAAAAGGTTCTAGCTAATCCCGTGTAAAAGCTATGGGAAAGGTTCTAGTTTAGCCCGGAAAAACTAGGGAGTTTGTAAGGTTACTCTTTATCCTCAAAAGAAAGAACAAATTAGTGAATTTGTTGGAAAATCCTTGGTGAGGAGCTAAGGTAGTGGACTTAGACTTTGGTTGAGAAAGTCGAACCACTATAAATCGTTGTGCAATTCTCTACCTTTCAATCTTCTTACTCCCTAAACACAAAACCGTTCCGACCCTCTTTACAAATCGTTCTGGTTATCGATTCGAGCTTCCGAAAATCCTAACACTCTCTCTCTTTTCTCCAATGAGGTATCATATATAATAAAAAAATATCTAGGGGTAATGATTAGGTTGTTGGCTGCAAAATACCCCTCATACCCCTAGAATCACACTATAAGCATGAACCTTATCCTCCAGGTGGCAGTGGTCCTCTGACAGGCGGTTACAACAATCATTTCACGTACAGAGCCAGCTGTCCTCGTACAACTGTATCTTTTTGTCGTTTTCTGCTCCAGTAATGCTAAGGCATTTTAATCTGCTTTAGCAACGTGTGATACCACGACATTGCTTCCCAAAGAGTCCTTTTGTCTGTTATTCCCTGCACACCACAAACAACTGCACCTTCCTCTCAAACAGCACCATTAAGAAATAAAACAACACTACCACCACAAATGCAACTATATGCAACTACTGATCCTAAAATGACTAAAATGGGCTTTTAAACAAACAATAACTTAAGTGAAAAAGGCCTTAAAAGTAGCCATTTTAGGAAGTTAACAATGCTAATGTAATCTATCTATTTAGTTCAATTTCACCTGACTCCTATAATACTTTTTCATAAAGCTTTGTAGTTCTTCACTTTATAAATCCTATATCATAGTTTCCTTAAAGTACCTAAATCTTCCCTATATCATTTATCTTATAGTTTTGTATCACCACTTATGTTTATGTCCCATAATTTATATACTATTCTCATAGAGTCTCATAATCTTTCTCGTGTAATCATTTATACCATATAATATAACTTGTACTTGGTTATGCTATGTTCACATATATATATCAAATGATTCTTTAGTTTGTAGCTTATGTCACATATTCATTTCATTCCTTATGTCCTTATCACATAACTTAATTCATATTCTTATATAATCATATAGATCATTTGTACTATTTCACATGACTTATCACAGTAACATATATTTACACAAATCATATAACATGCACAATAACCAATCAAAACATACACTCGTGCACGCATATAAATCATGAAAAACACATACTTCTATCTACGAATTCATGCATTTACCATCGGAAATAGACTTGTCGCAAGTCTTATTTCCATTAAACATTATATACTGACTAATATGCACTCACCTTAGCCTTGTTTTCTTTGACTTGATCCTAATTCTTTGATTGTTTCGAAACAGGATTACGCTCTAAATCTACATGATAATACATTGATACATATCAGTATACTAATTGATATATTCTAATCTATCACTTCCTAGACTAAAAGAAAGGCTACTTTTATCTCTTAATTAAGGTAGGTATCGGCACACTCTACAGTGTATCGATACATCCCTTAACGTGTGTATCGATGCACTACCTATTCATCGGTACACAAATTACATTCGATGTTTTCATCTTAAGGGGGTGTATCGATACACTCCCTATGTATCGATGCACTTATTGCATTAGATATTTTTATTTCGTTTGAGAGTGTATCGGTACCCATTGAATGTGTACCGATACACACAGCCCATAAATTACATTTTGAGTACACAAATTCACTCTTTTCAGTTTAATTGCTTCATATATCATCCTCTTTCTTATTCTTAACTTACATACTCATGCTTAAACTCATTTATTCTCACTTATCACATCTTTAACCTCAAAATCTTATCTTCCAAATGGAATTCAAGAATCATACCAAATTTTCTATATGTTCTAAATCCAATTCTATCACTCCAAATCTCTTAATTCATCTATTGACAAGTCAAATTTAACTTCAAATTCTACTTATCAACTCTTTTCCAAAATTTCATTTAAAAACTCCTAATCTTTAATCTCGTTTAACTCTTCATCTTTTGGTTTTAAGACAAATTAAGCTTTCATTAAGCTTAATTATCATCTAATAATCATAACCCAATCTTAAATTCAACTAAATATCAACCAACCAGAAATCTTACTTTTGCTCTTGTCTTCCACGCGTGAAGAAGAAAGGAGAAGAAGATAACTCTGGAAACTGGAACCTTGTCTCTCTTCATTTCCACGTGTTATAACCTATATAAATGAGGAAATAAAATATTTCCTGTGAAATTACTATTATACCCTTCAAAATTTCCATAATTATCATCTAATCCAATAAGGAATTATTCCTATTTAAGTCCTTAAACTTTTAACTTATTTCGAAATCGAGCACATAGTTTTCAAAATTTGTAATTTAATCACTGACCCTGATTTGGGATGTTACAATCTAAGTTTGCATGGAGCCAAATTTCAAGTTTGTGTGGCAAATCAATTTGTAGTATGAAATCTGAAGGTTCAAAAATTAAGGACAAGCATTGGTGTAATGTGATATGGCTCCTATTTTTTTAACGAATGGTGAATTTCGATAAAAAAAAAGTGAAAAGGTATGTGTAACAATTCAATATTTTTTTTATAATATTACATTGAGATTATACTTCTGTTTTGAATTTTTTTAAAATTCCCACTATTCAACAGAAGTTAGTTTTGTTTCGAGATTTAATTTATTAAATTCTCGTCATTTAACAAAAATTAGTTTTGTTTCGGGTTTTAATCTCGTTGTCCAAAAGAAGTTGGTTTGTTTTGGATTTTGTTTTACTAAATCCTGACGTTTAATGGATTCAACAAAATACTGTTGATTTTGAATTTTTCTGCTTCAAGTTTTAATTTTACTAAATTCTCGTTGTTTAACAATTCCTTCCAAATTAGTTCTTTCCGGTGATAGAGAAAGGCAAGATTGTGTTCGACCGATCACGACGGTTGTGCTTACTGTTGTGATCGTTTGTTGTTGTATCCTGGAAGACCAAAGTCCAACGTTACTCAAAGCACCGAGGAGAGGACGAATGTCTTAAGGAAATTGTTCATATAAGCCTCAACAAAAATCCTTCTTCGGTTTATCTTACTCTACTCATCTGATTCTGTGTATACATACGAGTAAACAAATCATGTTCCTCTATTTTAATTCTTTATTTGTTTTTTTCGTTCGATTATATAATAAAATTTGGTTATTATTATTATTATTATCTCGGAATAACATTTTGTCTAACAATATATGCTTAGGGTAAAAGGTTAATCTTTTTAGACATCCAAAATCAAAATCATAAAATAAAGTTTTGAGAAAACAGTGAGAATTGACATTTTGTAAACCGTTTTTCACTCATTCATGTGTGGATACTTGTACAGGGTGATCGTCTTTTAGAAAGAAAAACCTTTGAAGATCAAGAAAATCAATAAAAGTAGAAGATGATTGCTAAACCAACAAATAAGGTAATCTCAAAATTGTTTTTCTTCATTGTTAATATGATATGCATGAGATCCTAAGATTAATTGAAGTTATTTTAAAATTTTCGTTGCATTACCTTTGCCTCAATTTCTAACAGTGAAAATCTCTTCAGACTGTATTTGGGTGAAGAAAGCTTTTTTTTTTCCTTGTCATCACAGCCATGATATGTCCAATATTGAACTTGATTATTTTATTGCATTTATAACAACAATTTTGCCAATTCCATCATATATTGACACTTTGATTTTGACCTTTCATTGAATAAATTGTGTTTTTTGTTATGAAGAACTACAAGACCATTTATACAATCTTCTAAAAAAATCTTGCATTTTAAACCACAAATGACGAATAAAGTCAGTGTAGATTAACTTATAATAATTGGGAAATTTATTAGGAAGTATATGAGTTTTGCATGCTTTAATTATACATTTTGGAAAGGTCGCTCTTTACTAATTTAACATTATTTTTATGTAGTGTTTCATTGCTCTCTAGCTTAATTTTGGACATAAGACAAGTTTCTTCAAGTGTATAAACATTGTATTTGTTCTTACATTAATCATCATCCATCATAGTAGTCTTTGTGTCATCATTCATGACTTGGTTATGTGGTATAGACGTAGGATGCACAATGTTAATTTATGTTTGTGCTTGAATCACAAAATCAACATCTTGATAGGAAGACCTAACTCCTTTATATATTAAAATCTCCAATATTTTAGCGAGGCATCTATTCTATGATATCAATTTTTTCCTCTCATCTTTTGAAAAACATGTGGCTCTGAACAATTATCATGATCTAAATCGAAAGAGAATAAATATAAGCAAAATAATAGAGAATAGTTGAAGAAGAAGGTATGAGTTTCATTTATAAAATTGCATAATGTAGGTATTACAACCGTTTGTCTATATATATTCTTAAATAAAGGACTAAGCCTATTATTTTTATACATATGTCCATTTTGTCTCTTTCTGATCTTTGGGTTCTTATGTTATAATTATCTTTCTCCAGCCTGTTGCTCCAACCGTCTATCATTGGTATCATTGCTAGATATTATAACGATGTCGTTTCCACCTCCAAGTATAATGCTCATTTTTTCCTAATTCTTAATTTCAACCAGTTTCAATTTATAAATTCGTAATATTGACTTCATTCTGAGCCCCGACCATGATAGAAGACAAAAAAGTTAATTAAGAGACGTGCATATTGAATTATTTGATATCTTTTATCTTTATTACTCATCATCTATTTGGAGATATACGATCAATACTTCCTTTGTTTGTTGGATGATAGATAAAAGGTATAAAATAAACAAGTATATATCAATTTCATCCCAATTATGACTAGAATCTGTACTTGAAGTTGATATTTTAAAAAATATTTTTGAATTGGTATTTTAATTTTATATATTTTAATATTTTTATTAATTATGTTAATTTTTATCACATATCAACATAAAATTATATCACATATTAATAATAACACCATTATCTGATTTTGTAGTAATAAACTTTAAAATTATAGTAATAAAATATTTAAAATTAAAAATTAAAAAACATAATAAACTAATCTTAACAATTTTTAATCAATTATTCTAATTTTACTCACTTCTTTATTTTTATTGAAACGTTCAATATATTAAATACATAATGAAATGTAATATAATTTGATATTATCAATAACCATTATTTTTAATAAACATATTAAAATAACAAATAAAATTAAAATTTAAGATGTAAGTGTAAAGAAAAATCTTTAGATGTTATACAATTTGGAAATGTTATTTTAGTATTGATGCACTTGGTAGGAAACTCATTGCTAAAGTCACTCTCTACTGATTTAACATTATTTTTAGGTGGAGTTTCATTGCTCTCTAACCTAATTTTGGACATAAGGCAAGTTTCTTCAAATGTATAAACATTGTAGTTGTTCTTACCTTAATCATCATCCATCATAATAGTCTTTGTGTCATCCTTCATGACTTGGTTATGTGGTATAGATGTAGGATGCACAATGTTAATTTCTGTTTGTTCTTGAATCATAAATCAACATCTTGATAGGAAGACCCAACTCCTTTTTGTATTAAAATCTCCAATATTTTAGCAAGGCATCTATTTTGTTCTATCATCTTAGCCTCTATGATGTCAATTCTTTCATCTCATCCTTTGAAAAACATCTTTGAAAGCTTTTTGTGTTTGTTTGTTTGGGTGAGATCGATGTGACTTTGATTACCAATGATCATGATCTAACTATGAAATTATAAAAAGAAGAAGAAGGAGAAACATAAAGATAAGAAATATAAGCAAAATAATAGAAATTAATTGAAGAAGAAGGTATGAGTTTCATTTATAAAATTGCATAATTTGTGTATTACAATCGTTTGTCCATATATATTCTTAAGTAAAGGACTAAGCCATTATTTTCATACAACTGTCTATTTCTGATCTTTGGGCTCTTATGTTATAATTATCTTTCTCCAGCCTGTTGCTCCAGCCGTTTATCATTAGTATCATTGCTAGATATCATAACACTATTGTTTCCGTCTCCAAGTATAATTCTCGTTTTTCCCAATTCTTAATTTCAGCTAGTTTCAATTTATAAATCCTTAGTACTGACTTCATTCCGAGTCCCACCCATGACAGAAGAGAAAAAAGTTAATTAAAAGGTGTGCAGATTGAATTATTTGATATTTTTTTTATCTTTATTACTCTTCATATGTTTGAAGATATATGATCAATACTTCCTTTGTTTGTTGGGTAATAGATAAGAGGTAGAAAAGAAACAAGTATATATCAATTTCATCCCAATTATGACTAGAATATGTACTTGAAGTTGATATTTTAAAAAATATTTTTTAATTGGTATTTTAATTTTATTTATTTTAATATTTTTATTAATTCTAATTTTTATCTCATATCAACATAAAATTATATCACATATTAATAATCACACCATTATCTATTTTTTTTAAGAATAAACTTTAAAATTGTTGTAATAAAATATTTAAAATTTAAAAAAATAATAAACTAATCTTAACAATTATTCTAATTTTACTCACTTCTTTATTTTTATTGAAACTTTCAATATATTAAATACATACTGAAATGTAATATAATTTGATATTATGATATCATCAATAACCATTAATATTAATAAAAATATTAAAATATTAAATAAAATTATAATTTAAGATGTAAGTTTAAAGAAAAATCTTTAGATGTATACCAAATATTTTTTGAAACCTAAATGATCTATGGAGTAGGGTCTAGACATGTTATATGGTAGCTTGTACATGGAAAGACGACAGCCATATACTCGTATTGGAATATATATGTAAGCTTCCTTTCTTGGGGTACTTGGAATTTATTTCTTTCACAAAAAGCGAAGTGTGGAAGTGCTCTCAAATTCACTGTTATTGACAAATGTCAAACCCCAATCATTACCGGTGGAAATGTATTGTCCAACCCACAATTTCAAATTAAGAAATGTTGACTTCACAATTAATCATGGGTGTTTCCCCGTATTGATGTATTGTTTGACTTCTTTTTTTTGTGCGTGGAGGGGAAAACACCTTATCTTAAGATGTGTTTACGAAACTAAATTTTCACGTTTAATAAAAATAAAATTTAAGATTAATAATCTTATATTTCTTATAATAAATATTTTAAACAACTGATAAAAATACCATTCTTATGTTAATCTCATATTAAATAATTATAATTATAGAAGGTTGAAACGGTTTATAGTTTTTACTTTAGTTTTCTCTCTTTTTCTTGTGCTATCGTTAGTCTTTTCTTCATCTTTATCTTTATAATCAGCGGCAACAATAGTTTTAGTGTTGGTCGTTATTGAAGTAAATATTCATATTAGATTGAGCAAAGAATATTAAAACCTTAGAAAAGCTTCTTGATTCTTTATTAACCAGTACATGGTTTATATATGCATAGAAACAGATTACCTAAGCAAGTAATCTGGTGTAACAGAATGCAACAAATTAACTGCACTATAACCACACAGCATTCTACACATGCAGTCGGTTACTTCAGCTATATTCTAGATGATTACTTCAACAATGTTCTAGAATTCTAGAATATTTACTTCAATATTCCCCCTACTTTTTCTCCTCTCAACTTCAAAAAATGACAGTACACCAAGCCTTTGCCTGAACTTAACAAAACTTTCTTTCGCCAGTGCCTTAGTAAGTCCATCAGCCACCTGCTGTTCAGAGGGTACAAAGTTCACTTGAAGCTGCCCTGTAGCAACCCGTTCCCTCACGAAGTGTATATCTAACTCCACGTGCTTTGTCCTAGAGTGATATACTGGATTCGCACTCATAGCAATTGCACTGGTGTTATCACTCCACACCACTGAAGTAGCTTGAACTTGAACCTTCATATCAGTCAACAACGCTTCAAGCCAAATAATATCAGAGGTGACATCAGCTAGACTCCTGTACTCAGCCTCTGTGGTGGATCTCGACACTATCTTCTGTTTCTTTGAGCTCCATTGAACCATACTACCACCAAGGAAGACACAAGTACCCGATATAGACCTCCTATCATCAACATTGCTTCCCCAATCGGCATCAGCGAAGGCCACAAGTTGAAACGGTTCTGTTTTTGGAAAAAACACCAAGCCATAATCAAGCGTCCCCCTAAGATATCTCAGTACACGTTTAACAGCCACCAAATGCTGTTCACATGGTGCATGCATGAATTGTGCTAGCTTATTCACACAATAAGCTATGTCTGGCCTTGTATGACAGGCATAAAGCAAAGACCCAACTAAGCTTCGGTATTCTCTTGTGTTTTCTAATAAATTGCCTGCATTATTATTTGACAGTTTAATCGACGTAACCATAGGCGTATGAGTTGCTGTAGCCTCGCTCATTCCAGACTTCTCGAGCAGCTCCATTATATACTTCTTCTGGCTAAGAAACAGCGCACCATCAACACACTTAACTTCAATTCCAAGGAAAAAATTGAGTGTACCCAAGTCTTTGAGTGAAAACTTCTCTCCTAGCATCTTCACAACTTGTTCCACATCCTCATTTTTGCCTCCTGTAACAATAATATCATCAACATAGGCTAAAACATATGTGCTAGTACGACCACTATATTTAATAAACAATGAGTTATCTGCACGAGAGCTTTGAAAACCCAAGTCCACCAGAAAATTTTTCAGCTTGGAGTACCAATTCCTTGGTGCTTGCCTCAACCCATACAAGGCTTTCTGTAGCTTGCATACCAACCTCGTTCCATCTGTAGTCTGTTTCTCAAAGCCTTGAGGTTGTTCCATGAACACCTCTTCATTTAACTCACCATTTAAAAAGGCATTATTAACATCTACTTGCCTTAGGCTCCAGCCATCGCGAGCAGCAATTGTCAATACAACATTTACTGTTGACATTTTTACAACAGGACTAAACGTTTCTTGAAAGTCCTGACCAGGTATCTGTGAAAAACCTTTAGCCACGAGTCTGGCTTTGTACTTTTGTACCGATCCATCCGCATTACGCTTGACTCGAAACAACCATCTACAGCCTACAGCAGTTCTTCCTTCTGGAAGGGAAATAAGTGACCAGGTATTGTTCCTTTGAAGTGCTTCATACTCAGCAATAACAGCATCCTTCCACAGCGGATCCTCTAGGGCTTCATGAATATTTTGAGGTTCAACCTCATTTATAATGGTACTGTTCTGATAAGCGGATACACCACTGAGGGTTGAGGAGTATACCTTGGGTCTAAACACTCCACTTTTGCTGCGTGTTACCATATGGTGACCTGTCACAGGTGGTAATGTCTCACACTGACCATGATCATTTCGACTATTACTGCTCGATCCTTCATTAATTCGAGTCAAGGAGGCCCTCGAATTTTGTTGTGCAAACACATTCTCTTCTGGGTGTTCATCCTCATCTGCTACATTATTTTCTGACGTCACAGGCTGTACCTCTGACTCATCAGTATTAACCATAGGATTAACATCATGTGCTTCTCTTCCCATGCAGACACGTTGTGCACCTCCTATGATAGGAATTTTCATACCATTCCTACGCAATACACACTTGCATCCGGACTTGCTGCTTGACGCTGCAAAAGGAAAGAAATCTTCATCAAAAATAACATGGCGTGAAATAAACATTCGGCCATCAGAGTCCATGCATTGGTATCCTTTGTGTTGAGTGCTATATCCCAAGAACACGCACTGTGACGACCGATAGCTGAGTTTGTGATTATTGTACTGCCGTAAGTGGGGAAAACAACAGCACCCAAACACACGAAGGTAGCTGTAGTCTGGTTTCTTGGTATATAGCATCTCGTATGGTGATCTGTCTTGAAGAATGCTAGTAGGCAACCGGTTAATGAGATGCACAGCAGTGCACACTGCATACGACCAGAATTTAAATGGAATTGAGGCTTGTGCCATGAGAACCAAGGCTGACTCAATGATGTGTCTATGTTTCCGTTCGACCACACCATTTTGTTCGGACGTATGTGGACATGCTAGGCGATGCACAATGCCTAATGACTTAAGCCATGCCGAGACTGATCGATACTCACCTCCCCAATCGCTTTGAACTTCTTTTACTGCGGCATTAAATTGAGTTTGTATGAGACTGAAGAACAATTGAAAGGTTGATAGAACCTGATCCTTGGTTTTGAGCAGATAGATCCAACTATGCCTCGTGTATGCATCAACGAAAGAAACATAATATCGGTACCCATTGGAGGCTATGTGTGCTGGACCCCATACATCACTGAAGATTAAGTGAAACGGTGTGGTATACACAGTTTGAGATTGATTAAACGGCAACTTATGGCTCTTTCCCAATCTACAAGCAACACAAATTGAATTGCCAACAGTATTATTTCTAGAAGGAAACATTACACCAACTTGTTTACATGCTTGCACAAGTACAGGATGAGCAGGATGCCCAAGCCTCTTGTGCCATAGTTGATATTTCTTATTACTACTATTGAAATCTTCGACTACTGTGGCATGACAAGCTTCCAAACATTCTGTATTTGTTATGAACTGGTAAAGACCTGCATTCTCTTGCCCCTTAAGCAACACTGCTCCAGTCACCTCATCTTTAACCAAGCACGACCCCGCATGAAACTCAAAAAACACCTTATTGTCTCTAGCAAACTTGGACACAGAGAGAAGATTTTTTGTTACTGAAGGCACATGCAGTAAATCATTAAGAACTAGCACACGAGAATTAGTAGTCATACTTGAAGAACCAGCTCGAGCTATACTCAGGCTGTGCCCATTACCAACAACTACCTTACCTGGTCCAGTGTAATCCGAGCTAGTAGTAAGGTTCGAGGCATCAGGAGTGATGTGGTGGGTAGCTCCCGAGTCTACAATCCATCGACCAGAATTTGAGGATGCAGTGTGTGCTTGAGCATGCATACCACTGCTGCACGACTTATATTCATCTAGCACAATGTGATGCGCTTCAGTGCCTTCATTTTTGTCAGCCAACACGCCTGGAAACGTCTGATCGAAGCGATGCCAGCAGCGATCAACTGAGTGTCCATTCTTTCCGCATAGCTGACACTGCAACCGCGGACGACCACGCCCACGCCCTGCAGATTTGTTGCTTCTATTGTAATTGTTATTGTAGGCCTGAGCTGAAGATCTATCATTGCCACGACTGCTTGACCGTATAGTAGCCACATTCGCATTCATAGGGAGGGATTGTTGAGACAAAAAACCACTCAATTGTGACTCAGCATCCATCAAGATTGTTTTCACACTGTCAACAGAAAACACATCTCTGCTTGCAGTAATCACAGCTACAAATGGTTGATATTCAACCGAGAGACCATTGAGAATGGTAGCAATTTGTTCAAGATCCGAGATCGCACTCCCACACGATGCAAGTGCGTCGCACACTTCTTTAACCTTCGTAAGATAGGACCTCATGCTGTCATCGCCCTTCTTGATTGATCGAAGTTTGCAATGTAGACTCATCACGCTCGTAGTCGAGCGATTAGCAAAGAATTTCTGAACCGTTCGCCATACATCAGCCGTTGTTTCAGCTCCTACAAACTGAGGCAGCAAGGGATCGCTGATCGTCGACAGTAGCCACGATGCAAGAGCACTGTCCTGAGCAACAAAGTTTTCATAGTCTTCATTCACAACACTAGTACCTGACTCATCAACAATTCGAGCTGGTGGTGACAGTACTTCTCCATTTAGCAGCCTCTCTAATCTGTGGCTGCGAACCGTGAGCAATACTTGTTGTTTCCACAGCAAGAAATTCGCTTCATCCAGCATAATGTTGATCTTCTTGTGAGTGAAGACCTTGTTGCTGCGAGCAGTTTCGCCGAATTCGAAGGCAACATTGTTGTAATCACCCATGAGGGCAGTAATCTTCCAGGATCAAAAGGCGAATGATACCATATTAGATTGAGCAAAGAATATTAAAACCTTAGAAAAGCTTCTTGATTCTTTATTAACCAGTACATGGTTTATATATGCATAGAAACAGATTACCTAAGCAAGTAATCTGGTGTAACAGAATGAACAAATTAACTGCACTATAACCACACAGCATTCTACACATGCAGTCGGTTACTTCAGCTATATTCTAGATGATTACTTCAACAATGTTCTAGAATTCTAGAATATTTACTTCAATAGTCGTCGATCATCGGTATTCATTATTTTTCTTTATTTTATTATATCGTATCTTTGTTTTTCTTATTTTTAATTTTAATTAACTATGCATTTATAATACGTTTTTACCTGTCGTTATAGCACATTTCCTCTGCCTTTTGCCATGTTTTCTGTCATTTGTTTGTTACTTTTGTTTATCATTTTTCAGGGTTGGATTTGATATTCCCCACGACTGATCAAGATTGCGCCTATTCGTTATCATGCTGATATTCCCTACTTTGGATTTTCATATTGAATTTAGATACGCGATTCGTGTTCGTGAATAGTTTTCTCACGTTGCTCGATTATGATTTACGATTTGTCGATGGTCTTTCAATAGCTTGATCCCCTTTTGTGATCCATTTGTCGATGCAATCAGATCTGTTCGTATATGGTAATTGTGTGATTTTAAGTAACTAATTTCTTGTGCTAATGATTATAGAAAAATTTACAGTTGTGGTTGTAAATTTTTATTATAATTTAGATATTTCTCTATTTTTTAATAAAATTAGCTACTCTTATTAAAAATAATAATTCTAATTGTTTTGGACAATTTTTTTCTTAAAATAATCGATTTTTGTCAAATAAATCTTAACGCAGTAAACGTATGAAAAAAATATAGCATTAAAATAAATAAATGAATAGCAATATAAGTTTTTCACAATTCCATATCTTTCTGATTCAATCTATAACATAACAATAAACATTATATTAATCAGATTTTAACTTTATTTTTTTAAAGTTTAGTTGTGCTTTTATAATGAGATCATTCAAATATTTATTTATTTTTTTTAACAAAAATATTTTTTTACGATAATCTAACTTGAAAGACTAAATTAAAGCAATGGAAAATCTTGATTTCCCCTCTCGTTAAAACGCAAAGTAATCCACATTATTCGAGTACCCCATACGACACGCAGAATGACATGATTTCATCGTCAACGCGATTCTGCGTTGCCTTCTTTTGGACCCAAAGTTTTCTAATGATATCAACCAATTATCTACACGTACGCACGAGTCTCCATCAAGATTGACCCTAATTTATCCTTCAATGTGAAATACAAGACTCGCTTTTGTTGCTTTATTGACTGGTTTTCGATGTTTTAGTTGAGTATTGAAGCAACACAAAGTATTCAAAATCTAATAATTTGGGCAGATGTGAATTAGTAGAACGTAGACGAAGCATGACAAGGTTAAAAACAATGCGGTTACGCCAAAGCTTTGACTCAGAAAACACCCAAACGTTTTAATTTTGCGGTCATAGCAATTGCTAGCTAAGGATATGGTGTGAAAATAATTAATGTCAAATGTATTTTCGCAAAGGTTATGACGAAAATATGGAAAATACCAGACCAAACAAATTCAACACTAATAATGCAAAGCAACTGGAAACCGCGTGGATAAAATTTTAGATAATGGAGTGGGCGATGTATGTTTTGTTTAGGGCGGATACATGTTTATTTTAATTTTTTATTAATTATTTTTTATTGATTGTATTTATCTTAACTTTTATTTGTATTGAGTAAATATATTTGATCGATTGATCAAGTTACTTATCTTTGTTTTATTATTTTCTCTTAGGTAATGAGTTCTACACCTACTATAAATACTCGTCTTCTTTCCCTTAGGGGGCATTTGGATGGGGGAATGTGGGATTCCCCCGGGAATGGAATCCACATTCCCCCGTTTGGTTTGGCCGGTAATGTCATTCCCGGTAATGTTTTATTACCAATAGTAGATTTTTTGGGGTATATTATCGGGAATGTCATTACCTCCCTTCCCTTAGGTATTGTAACATTACCGGCGTTTTGGACTAAAATGCCCTTAAATTTTTATTTTTTTTTCAAAATATCATTATTCTGTCATTGAATAATAAAAATTCTACGAAGGTTAAATTACAAATTTATCCTTAAATTATTTTAGATTTACAAAAAAAAGTCTATAATTAAAAATTTTTATGAAGTTCAGGGGTTAAAATAAAATTTTACCCTTTCATTAAACCTTTTTTTTATATTTTAAATTTTGTAAAAAAATTATATAAATATTATGAATTTAATTTTTTGAAGAAAATATATAAATATTTTACAACTTGTAATATTATACAAATATATAATAAGGACAATTTGGTCAAATATACATTCCAATAATCTTTTATTCCTTTAACCAAACACAGTAATCTTACATTCCTGCTAAACCAACTAAACACAAAATACAACATTCCCAGTAATCATATTCCCTGGTAATCTTTTATTCCCACTGGTAATCTTACATTCCGTGAACCAAACGCACCCTTAGATTTTCCTTTTCGCTCCCTCTAGGTAGGATTAGAATTATATTTAAAATTTATTAAAAAAATATTTGTGTCAATATCATATAAAAATTTGCGTTGTTAATACCTTAAAAAAATTCTCAGTATGTTATTAAAATAATATATATTCATTTTTTTAATATCTATAGTAGACAAATCCCGTCCAATTTATAAATTAGGAAAAATTAAATGGTTAAATATTTTGGACCTTACACCTATTGCATAATGTATAAATAATATTATAAATAGCATATAATTAAGTACATCAACTAAAACACTCATTATTATACCTTTATTTTTTTAAATAATAATTTTATCGATAATTTTAATCTAATCATAATTAATCATTATAAAATATAATAAAATTAATAATTAAAACATATATTTATTAATTAAATTAATTAAAAAAATAAAAACAATTCATCCTCGGGTTGGCATTACAGTTGGTCTCGTTTTAAACCTCGATATTAATTTTAGAGGAAAATAAGAGAAGCATATCAGATATTAATTAGATGAACAAAAACAAAAAGTAAACATGATTAAGCATTACAAATCTTCCTTCTCGTTAACCTCCAATAAACTACTATACTCGTACAATACAACACCATCAATAATTGTAACACCTTTTAAGTTTTTAACCCACGAATGATCAACAAATCAACAAACCCTAATCCCGTTTTTCCTGACTAGGTGAACTAACCGGAAAGAGTGTTAAGAGCTCCGGTGGTTGGCTTCCTCTAGGCGTATTTAATGGTGATGGGTGCAAGTAAAATCCCTTCTCTGCAATCGCCTTTTCCTCCTCCGAAACCATTGGAGAAGGAGATGATGGTGATAGAGTACCAGAAGAATTGGAGTAAAAAAGCGAATCGGATCCTAGTGGAGTCATCGGACTGGGAATCGTTGAATCTAGCCGGAGAGATTGGCTGGGAGAAACGTAGTGATTGGGTGAGTTGCGTAGAGTGGAGAGACCGAGCTTGATATCCAGCTTCCTCATGGCGTGTTGCCTACGTTCTTGGAGCTTGAAAGGTGGACGGCGTGGGGCCGTTGATTCGCCGTGAAGGGACATTTTCGAAGGGTGACTTCCAGGGTAAGTAACCGGGAGTTTCTCTGTGTCGTTGGTGAATCCAGTAAGTTTCTGGACAAGGTCCCTGAAAGTGTTTGCATCGGCCTGAACGAAAGTAGTTGCTGCTGGCGATGGTGAAGCTGTGTCATTTTGGGGCTTTTCCATTTCAAGGCGAGGAGCTAGCTATCTAGCTAAAAATCTTTAAAAAGAGAGATCGATTATGTTTAGATCATCAGCTTTTGGTGAAACAAAATTTGTTCTAAGATCAAAGAAAGTAATTTTTTTGATTGTTTTATAGGGAAATGAAAGAGAATATTTGATGGGACGTTTGCATACTGTATACATGTATTGTCAGCGACAGTATATATATTCTTTGATAACAAGTTCGACAGTTGCTTTGATATTGAAAGGCTGTCGTATTGGTATTGTGGCATGGGCACATAGCGTTATGTTATTAAAGTAAAAAATCTCAAATTTGCTTTGTGCTAGAGATGATCTTAGGTTGAAGAATGGCCATTTCACCCATATTCTATGTATTTCGACTCGATTTAATTTGGTTAAGTTGATTCTTTATAAAAAAAATTATTTAAGTAGGTCAATTTTTTTAAGATTTAGGTTAGATCATATTTGAGTTTGAGATATAAGATAATATTACAATCATTCCTTACATATTTAAAGATAATTGTAGTAATATTCCCTCTATATATTTCTATTTTTCAAATTAGTCTTTATTTATCTGATAAAAATAAAGATATATATATATATTTAGACTGATCAGAGTTGAATCAGTAAAATTTTAACAGCACAAATCATTGGGTCGTATAAGCCCTTCCTAAACTTAGATCGAGTTAAATACTTGTGAAGGGATTTAACTTTCAGATCAAGTTCTGATGGATTTTAAACATCTGATTTGATATGAATCATAATCATTCGTACTTAAGTACTTAAGATATTAGTGGTTGTATCAATTTTAATTTTATACATTAACTTTTAGTTATAATATTAAAATTTAGTAATAGAAAAGAACAATATTTTATGCTGAGCTTAAATATAATAATAAAGTTAATAATTGTTGGCATATAAATTAATTTTAAAGTAATTATTTAGCTTTGTATATATAAAAATAAATTAGATAGTGACCTTTTAGGTTGGTCCATCCTAATTGGTTAAGGCCTCGATATAGTTGATAATCATTAGAAGGAGATTAAATGAAGAGCAAATGATGTATGCTAAGCACCAGGTATATGTCTCATCAGGAACAAATTACTTTGAAAATGGTGGGGGATTATCTAACAAATGACACAGGAACATGCTTTACTTGCTATTTAAAGAAGCTAAAAATAGGAATATTAGACCCCATAAAAATCACATATCTTACCTTGTGAAGACAACAATGGATTTTCCACTTACCATTTTGATTTTGGTTGGATTAAGATATGACAAACAAACAAAAGCTAAGCATGATAACAACCATTCCATCTTATACGTCTAATCAGACTAATGCAAGAGTTTAATTAGCACGGTACAACAGTATCAGGCCGCTACAATTAGCCCAACTTGATATGTTTACGCTTCCGGCTTTAACCCTCCAACAATGGCGAAAATCCAGTATTTTGATTTTTTTTCCTCTTTCATTCTTTCTGGTCCAATCCAAACAAAATATGGGTCTTGGGGCCATTACCTCGTCTGAAAGCGCTTACCTCGCTGTCGCTGTAGTTTGTTTTCATTTTCTCGTTCCTTTCTCTTTGGAAACAGGGAACTTTTAGTTGGATTTCGCCACAAGGAAAAGAACGAAAGAAAAAACCTACCAAAAGCCTATTTTTCCCATAAAAATAAGCCAATATATTTGCAAAAGAAAGATAGTAATACGGACATGAAGGGTTGTGCGATTTGTTACAGGCCGATGATTGTGGGCAAATCAATTGACGTGAAAGGCATGAGCTTTGTATCGACAAATAGACTAGAGTTTGGTGCTGGGTTTTTACGTCTAGGTAAAACAGCAACGGTTTTAGCTGTCAGAGCTTCTGCTGTTGATTCCTATGAGAGCTCTTCCTATTTTGTTAAGCGTATGGGAAAAGCTTGGGCCATCTCTCAGGTACAGTCTTTCTCTTTTTGATGTTATTATCTGCGGCTTGGAATTCAAATCTTATATCAATGATTCAACTCGCATGATAATAGATTTTCAAACTTATTGCAAATTGGTGCATTAGAAGGCATATTTCAAAATTAAATTGGATTGAATCTGATTGGGCTTATGTGGAATGATTTTATTTTCGTAAATTTGTGACAAGCGATAGTGGGTGGTTGATATTGGATGCGTCTTAGATATTTAAAATCTGGAAGTTTCCTTTCAATGGCGTTATCTGATTGAAGAAGTCTCTGGTTGAGCAGATTGGGAATTGAATTATTCACAATTTTTCTTCATTAATTCTGTACATATTCAAGTACCTGGTTGTATTCCACTTTCATTGATATTTACTTATGACCGTGATGCAAAAACGTTCTATGATGATTGGGTAAAGAAAGCTTATGGAAAAGAATGAAAAGATATGATTTTTGGTTGGAATGGAGTCTGGTTTGATTTTCTTTAAAAGCTTGACGTCTAAAACACGAACAAAATAGAGTTTTGATTTTTTACGAATATAACGTTACTGAAATTATCTAACAATGTAAAATTTGCCTTAACGATGATTTTTTTTTTCCCGGGCAATACCATAATTTTTGGGAGGTTACGTTACTGCTGATGCTCATAAACAACAACAACAACAACAAAACCCAATTCATATGTATGGGGTAGGGGAGGTAGGGTAGTAGGCTGCCCCCAACGCCAGGTTGAGAGTAGCTTCCGTGGAAGACCTCCGGCAGTCAGAAAATTAAAAATATAGATAAAATTCAATGCATATATAAATAAATACATAAATACATAGCTAAACAGTATTCATATGCAATCATTAAAATCATATGTGCGTCTGTAACGGAATAATCCCTGCATAATAATCCCTGCGAAAGAATCTCTGCATATAGACAGAAACATAAGACCCAGCTAAATTTAAAAGAGGAAACATGAGGAGAATGATACACAGAAGTCAACGATAGCAAGCCCAGTTCTAATCCTTCATAAATACCAATAACAGAAACGTATAAAAAGTAGAAGTCATGGAAAATACTACAAAAACATTAAAAGAAGACATAGATGATACACCCTATAGATGTGACCCACACTACTCGACTACCCTAGTCTTTAGCCTTCATATTTTTCTATCAGAGGTCATGTCTTCGGTAAGGGCTAAATCCCTCAAATCAGATCTCAAGCAGTCTTCCCACTTCCGCCTTGGTCGTCCTTTCCTTCTGGCACCGTCGACTGTAATCGACTCTACCCTCCTGACCGCATCCGACGGTAGTCCTTAGTCGCCTAAGGACATGCCCAAACCACCGTAGTCTTCCCTCCCTCAATTTTTCGAAAACAGACACCACCCCCAAGGACATCCTAATCGCAGAGTTTGTCGTCATATCCCACAGAGTCCTACCACATGTCCATCGAAGCATTCTCATTTCTGCGGCCTCAATCCTCCTTACGTGATCCTTCTTGGTTGCCCAACATTCTGATCCATACAACAGCGCTGGTCTTATTGCCATTCTATAAAATTTTCCCTTAAGTTTTAGAGGCACCTTCTTGTCACACAAAACTCCAGTAGCGGCCCTCCACTTTAGCCATCTCGCCTTTATACGGTGTGTAACGTCATCATCTACACCCCCATCTTTATGTATCATAGACCCTAGGTACTTGAAACAATCCTTTGAGGGGAGAACGTGTCCTTCTATGCATACTTCTACATCTTCATCGTTTTGGTTCCCTTTGAAGTTTGAACATAAATACTCTGTTTTTTCAATATTTATCCTTAAACCTTTTTCTTCCAAAGCAGTCTTCCAGGTAGCCAGTCTACTATTCAACTCAGATTTTGTTTCAGCAACTAGGACAATGTCGTCAGCGAAAAGCATACACTATGGTACACCGTCTGGTGTCGCACAGTAGATGTCGTCCATAATCAAGGCGAAGATGTAAAGGCTAAGAGCCGACCCCTGATGGAGTCCGATTTCCACCGGGAATGCCTCGGTGTCGCCAACTGTAGTCCTGACATAAGTAGTAGATCTACAGTACATATCACGAATCGCCCGGATATAAGCAGTTGTGATCCATCTCGTTTCCAAAGTCTTCCAGATCGTATCGCGGGAAACACTATCATAAGCCTTCTCAAGGTCAATGAACGTCATGTGAAGATCTCTAGACTTTTTCCTATATTTCTCCATAAGCCGTCGAAGTAGATGAATCGCCTCCGTGGTAGACCTGCCTGGCATAAAGCCAAATTGGTTTTTCGAAACCCTAGTAACTTGTCTCAACCTAGCCTCTATCACCCTTTCCCATAGCTTCATGGTATGGCTGAGTAGTTTAATACCTCTGTAGTTACCACAACGTTGGGGATCTCCTTTATTTTTATAGATTGGTATCACTGTAGACTCTCTCCACTCCTCTGGCATCTTGGCAGTCTCTAAAATAATATTAAAGATGTTGGTCAACCACTTAACTCTCTCTTCTCCTAGGGCCAACCACACAGTGATAGGAATTTGATCAGGACCGACAGCTTTGTCCCTTCCCATCTTTCTAAGAGCCATTTTGACTTCCTCAAACCCAATTATACTTGTAGGGCAGTCATTGGTCGTAGTATGATAGTCGGCTAACCCATAAACGATACTATCTCTACATGGAGAGGCACCGTCATTAAATAAGCCAAAGAAGTAACTACCCCAAACCCTCTTAATATCGTGATCTTTCGCTAAAAGGACACCATTGTTGTCCTTAATAAACCTAATGTTACCTAGATCTTTTTTCCTAATCTCCCTAGATTTTGCAAGTCTGAAGATGCCATTTTGTCCTTCCTTGGTGTCTAATCTCTTGTACATTTCCTCGTATGCCTTATCCTTTGCTTTAGCTACCGTTTTCTTGGCTTCCCGCTTTGCCTCCTGGTATCTTTGTTTAGCTCTCGACCTTTCTTCGTCGTCATTGCATTGTAGAAACTCCTTGAAGCAAGTTTGTTTTGTCTTCACCTTAGTTTGGACTTCGTCGTTCCACCACCACGATTCTTTATGTTCCTTGGCCTTCCCCGTCGACAACCCAAGGGTGTTTTTGCCAATCTCTCTGATGGAATTTGCCATATTTTTCCATAACATATCTGCATTATTTGAGTTTGTAGTTTCAAAACTTGTATTAGACAAAACCTTATTCCTAAAGTCATCAGTTGTCGCTCCATGTAAGTTCTTCCAGAGGATCCTAGGTTTACCAAGTTTAACCCTCCTATGAGTGCTCCGCCCGTGGGGTACGCGGAACACCAGAACCAACAATTTGTGTTGTGATGCACATGCCTCTTCAGGGAAAACCTTACAGTCAATGCAAGCCCATCGTTCCCGATTTCTAATCAAGATGTAGTCGATTTGGTACAATGTCCCCCGCTATGAAACGTAATCAAGTTCGCATCTCTCTTATTAAAGGAGTTAGTGATCACCAAATCGTAAGCAGTAGCAAAATCAAGCAACGTACGCCCCTCATCGTTCCTGCTACCATAACCGAAACCCCCATGAACACCGTCATACCCGTCGGTTGCACTGCCTATATGGCCATTGAAGTCTCCCCGCTCCTAAGTATATCATCTAACTGATCCCAGAAGCAACGTTTCTCCCCCTCCCCTAGGCCAACGTGTGGGGCGTACACTGAAAGGACATTCACTACTTCCTCTTCTATAATAACCTTAATCATCATGATCCTATCCCGGTATCTGCAAACTTCAACTACATTTTCCTTGAGCCTAGAAGATGCCAAGATACCCACCCCATTTCTAGCGTTATCTACGCCTGAATACCACAACTTGTACCCATTACACTCTCTGGCGCGGGAACCTGTTGCATTTTTTAGGCTAGTAAGGGCTGAAAGCAAATTTACTTCTTTATGGGGTCCTAATATTCTCATTATCTTGATAATTCTTCCAGCAACCGAGGCCGATTGTTTGTTCTTCATGCGACTCCAAAGGGCACGTTGAATGCCAGTGGTGTAGGGGTACATGCTTCTTCATCCTCGGGGATAATATGCTCTGCCAAGTTCCTTCTAGGAATTCCAGTTGTGTAATTTGTGCTGGGAAGGTACATACCAAAACGACTCATCTCTAAATGACATATATGCATGCAGTAGACTTGTTATACTGCCAACTGCCCAACGTACTGAAATCTTGTTTTCGTGGGGTTATGATAGGGGTCGAAGTGCTACTCAGGCTGCAAAGTAACCGGATTTCGGGCCAAGTGGATGGGTGAGCCTCCTATTTCCAAATAGCATATGATTTCTTGGGTGTTGCCTGTCGCCAAGTAAAAATGTTGAAGGCTGCAAAAAACAAGCATGACATTTGTTTGCCATGCCCATTGTGAATGATAGATCCGACCCCGAATTACAAGATCACACCATATGTTTTTTCTTCTTTGTTCATGTATTTGTACAATGTAAAAGAGGAAAGACACAACTGTTGTTGTTTGAAATAGTCATGAGTGTACAATAATTCATTGTTTATGTAGACAAAGAAGTTATTTTAAAATGTTTTATTTCCAAGGCATTACCAGAATGATATCACTTATCAAGTTGTAGACCGTAATAAAATGGAGAAAAATGTAGTCTTTCTATAGGAAAACTGATTAATGCTTGGAATGGTTTTTTAAGCTGCACTAATTTGAACTTTGTTCATTTTATGAGAGAAAAATCCATGAAAGATGTAATTTAGAATATGGGCTAAAATGATATGTTGCTTAATGATGGTTTTGCTGCTAAATATTACGATCTCTCATCACGCTCCAATTAGGTTTTCTTTTTTTGGTTTAATAGTTAATTAGTTCGAGTTATTTTTTTTTCCAGTTTGGTACTTAAATTTGCAGACACGCCATTGATGGCATGAATATGATAGACATGTGGTGTATTTTTATTAATTGACAATACTTTTAGGGTTAGACGAAGATGGAATGATAATTTAATTGTCATAATAATAAAAAAATGAAGTACTAAAATGAAAAGAAAGATATTGTACAGGAGTTATATCATGAATAAAATCCTTTTTTTTTTAGAATTATGATTTTTGCCGCATGTTAATAAAGCTTAGGACTTCGGTTAATTGAAGACACGCGCCTGGTAAGAGCGTGGAGTAAATAAGCTTTCTCGCCCTTAATTTTAAGTCACCAGAATCACCACCTATTTTATAACATATTTGCGTAAAAGTCCTCGAAGGCTCTTTTTAAGTTTTGCTATTGATTGTTTTTTACGAACTCCTCCGGCGCTGGAAAAGGAAAAAGAAAACAACAATGGCAGACGAATAGAGGGTTCTAGAGGAGCAACTAGAGCTTCAGTTGGAAGAGCAAAGAGACTCACTCTCTGCCCTAAACGATGCTCTCGTGTCTGATGTTGAAAGTATTAAAATGTTTTTCAAGTTTGGTAACTAACTTTGAAAAAATGCTTTTCAAAGTTTGGTAAATGTTTCTTTGAAAATGGTTTTCAAAGTTTGGTAAATGTTTCTTTGAAAAATAGTTTTTCAAAGTTTGGTAGATATTTGTTGAAAAATGATAATGGGATAATCACAATTAATCCCTAGGTTTTAGGGTATTTACAAGATTAAGTCCTTAAGTTTTAACTATAAATACCCTAGTTCATTTAGCTTCAAAACCATCCCAAAAATCATTTCTTTCTCTCAATACTAGAGAACTTTCTTGTGAGTAGTGAGTGTTTTGTAAACACCTCTAAATTTTCTCTCATAGTAAAAGATCTGCAGCAGTCCGGAGACGTAAGCACAATTGGCTGAACTCCGTTATCAATTTCGAGTATTATTTTTCCGCTTTTATTTTGCATTCTCACTAATCTGGTTATAGAAAAATTACTTGTACTTGGTTTATTTCCCAACAACTGGTAATCAGAGTTTTTTTGTTGTGAATTTTGTCAATTTTTTGCGAGGTTACTATTCACGTGAATAGTGAAATTCGTGAATAATAAAATTTTGTCGGCGATATAAATTTATCGACGGAGGTGTTCTAATACAAGGTGGTTCGCAAGAATTGTCAGAAATGGTCCAAACGAAACCAGATTCGAGTGGGAGCGATGGCTGCAGACGAAGGGAATGTGAAAATTGAAAAGTTCGATGGTGCGGACTTTGAATTTTAGAAGATGCAAATTGAAGATTTTCTATATCAGAAAAATCTATATCAACCATTCTCAGGAAAACAACCAGAGGGCATGAAGAATGAAGACTGGGCTCTTCTCGACAGACAAGCCCTCGGAGTTATCCAACTGACGTTATCCCGCAATGTTGCTTTCAACATAGCAAAGGAAAAGACCACGGCGGGTCTTATGACGACTCTCTCCAGTATGTATGAGAAGCCATCGGCCTCAAACAAAGTTCATTTGATGAGGCGATTATTCAATTTGCGGATGACGGAAGGGGCATCGGTGGCACAACACCTAAATGAACTCAACACAATCACATCCCAGTTGAGTTCAGTGGAAATTGAATTTGATGATGAAGTTTGAGCTTTAATTCTCTTATCATCTTTACCAGACAGTTGGAATGCTACTGTTACAGCAGTCAGCAGTTCGTCGGGAAACAACAAATTAAAATTCGACGATGTTCGGGATCTGGTACTGAGCGAAGAAATTCGACGGAGAGAATCGGGTGAAGCATCAACCTCCTCAGCCTTGCACACGGAGTCCAGAGGGAGAACTTCAGAAAGAAATTCAAATCATGGCAGATCGAAATCCAGACGGGGAAAATCCACAACGGGAAAGAAAGATTTTACCTGTTATAATTGTGGCAAGAAGAGTCACTTCAAAAGAGATTGCCGAGCACTGAAGAAAAATACCAGCGCACAGGAATCTGCCAACATGACGGAGGAGACAGGTGATGCCATGATTTTAAGCGTCAACAGTCTGATTGAATCATGGATTTTGGATTCAGGGGCATCTTTCCACTCCAGGCCATGCCAAGAAATCATGGAGAACTATGTTAGTGGTGATTTTGGGAAGGTTCATCTTGCTGATGATGAAACCTTGAAGATCGTCGGAAAATAAGACATCCGACTAAAGCTGTCAAACCAGACCACCTGGAAGCTGACAGGAGTGAGACATATTCCTGGTCTTAAAAGAAATTTGATTTCTGTAGGACAGCTTAATGGAGAATGATACAGTACAATCTTTTCAGGTTGTGAATGGAAGATTATCAAAGGAGCACTCGTCATTGCTCGTGGTAAGAAGACTGGTACTCTCTATGTAATCTCAAATTTAGAGAATATCATTGCAGTAGCAGATGCTGATGGAAAATCAAACCTATGACACCAAAGGCTTGGCCATATGAGCGAGAAAGGGATGAAGACACTTTTGTCAAAGGGGAAGCTGCCGAATCTAAAGAATGTAGATGTCGGACTATGCGAGGATTGCATATTTGGCAAACAAAAGAAAGTCAGCTTTGCACAGATTGGTAAGACACCCAAGGCTGAAAAGTTAGAGTTAGTTCATATTGATGTATGGGGACCATCTCCAGTTCCATCTCTTGCAGGCTCATTATATTATGCCACCTTCATCGATGATTCTACAAGGAAGGTGTGGGTTTATTTTCTGAAGAAAAAATCAGAAGTCTTTGATACTTTCAGAAAATGGAAGGCCATGGTGGAAAATGAGAACGGTATGAAAGTCAAGCGGTTGAGGTCTGACAATGGAGGAGAGTACAGAAATAGGAGATTCAGAGATTTTTGCGCAAACAATGGGATCAAGATGGAGACAACAGTTCCCATGACACCGCAGCAGAATGGCGTAGCATAGCGCATGAACAGAACTATGAATGAACGTGCCAGAAGCATGAGGACACATGCCGGATTGCCCAAATTTCTATGGGCTGAAGCTATTAACACTGCAGCTTACCTGATCAACCGTGAGCCCTCAGTTCCTTTGGATGGCAGAATACCAGAGGAAGTTTGGAGCAAGAAAGAAATAAACCTTTCACACTTAAGAGTGTTTGGTTGTATTTCTTATGTACACATAGACTCTGCTGAAAGAAGTAAACTTGATGCTAAGTCCAACAAATGTGCCTTTGTTGGTTACGGCGGTGATGAGTTCGGTTACCGGTTTTGGGACTATGAAAATCGAAAGATCATTAGAAGCAGAGATGTCATTTTCAATGAGAATGTGATGTACAAAGACATGTCAACTGTAGAATCAAGCAACTCCAATACTAAAGCTGAAATAAAGGAATTTGCTGAGTTTGAGGAGATTTCTGGAAATGATGTTCAGATCAGTCCTGAAGCAGTTCAAAAAGAACCAGACACACCGGAACTAAGACGCTCCTCCAGAATTCCTAAACCAACCCAAAGGTATTCTCCTTCTTTGCACTATTTGTTGTTGATTTGATAATGGTGAACCAGAGTGCTATGATGAAGCAATGCAAGTGGAGGATTCAGTCAAGTGGGAGTCTTCCATGAAAGATGAGATGGACTCGCTTTTGTCAAATCAGACGTGGGAATTAGCTGAATTACCACCAGGTAAGAAAGCGCTTCACAACAAGTGGATTTACAGGATCAAAGAAGAGCACGATGGGAGCAAACGCTACAAAGCGAGATTGGTTGTCAAAGGTTTTCAGCAAAAAGAAGGTATTGACTACAATGAAATTTTCTCTCCAGTCGTGAAACTGTCTACAATCAGACTGGTGTTGAAAATTGTAGCTGCAGAGAATTTACATCTTGAGCAGTTAGATGTAAAGACAGCTTTCCTTCATGGTGATTTGGAGGAAGAAATCTATATGAGGCAGCCAGAAGGCTTCATAGAGGCAGACAAGAAAAACCTGGTATGCAGGTTGAAGAAGAGCTTGTATGGTTTAAAACAAGCTCCTAGACAGTGGTATAAGAAGTTCGATAGTTTCATGAGTAGCAATGGTTTTACCAGATGCCAAGCAGATCATTGTTGCTACATCAAGAGGTTCGACAATAGCTTCATTATTTTATTGTTGTACGTTGATGACATGCTCGTTGCAGGCTCAGACATGCAAGAGATTATAAACTTGAAGCAAAAATTGTCAAAGCAGTTTGCTATGAAAAGATCTGGGCGCTGCAAAGCAGATTCTTGGGATGAGGATCAAGAGAGACACAAAGTCAGGGATTTTGATATTATCACAGGCTGAGTACATCAACAAAGTACTCTCCAGGTTCAACATGCAAGATGCTAAACCAGTAAGTACACCTTTAGATGTTCATTTCAGACTCTCCAAAGAACAGTCACCAAAGACGGAGGAAGAACGTGCACACATGATGAAGGTGCCGTATGCCTCAGCGATTGGAAGTCTGATGTATGCCATGGTTTGTACCAGACCAGATATTGCTCAAGCAGTGGGAGCTGTTAGCAGGTACATGAATAATCCGGGCAAGGTACACTGGGAAGCAGTCAAATGGATCTCAGATATCTGCGGGTACCACAAACAAAGCACTTTATTTCAAAGGTGGAGATACGATACTGACAGGCTATGTAGATGCTGACTTAGCCGGAAATGTTGACATCAGAAGGAGCACTACAGATATGTTTATACTCTAGGAGGAATCGTAGTGAGTTGGGTTTCTCAACTACAGAAGATAGTTGCTCTCTCCACAACTGAAGCAGAATATGTCGCTGTTACGGAAGCTAGCAAGGAGATGGTTTGGCTCCAAAGTTTCTTGGAAGAGTTAGGCAAGAAACAAGAAAACAATGTCTTGTATTGCGACAGTCAAAGTGCTATACATCTAGCAAAGAATCCGTTTTTTCATTCCAGGACAAAGCACATACAATTGCGATATCATTTTATCCGGTCTCTTCTGGAAGATGAGATTTTGAAACTTGAAAAGATCAGTGGAGCTCAAAATCCGGCAGATATGTTGACAAAGACGGTGACTACAGACAAACTGAAGTTGTGTTCAACTTCAGTTGGCATGCTAGAGTAACAAGACTAGAAAAGCTATTGCATTGATCGAGGTGTGAAGAAAATTAAAATCAGTTTTCAAGTGGAAGATTGTTGAAAGTATTAAAATGTTTTTCAAGTTTGGTAACTAACTTTGAAAAAATAGTTTTCAAAGTTTGGTAAATGTTTCTTTAAAAATGGTTTTCAAAGTTTGGTAAATGTTTTTTGAAAAATAGTTTTTCAAAGTTTGGTAGATGTTTGTTGAAAAATGATAATGGGATAATCACAATTAATCCCTAGGTTTTAGGGTATTTACAAGATTAAGTCCTTAAGTTTTAACTATAAATACCCTAGCTCATTTAGCTTCAAAACCATCCCAAAAATCATTTCTTTCTCCCAATACTAGAGAGCTTTCTTGTGAGTAGTGAGTGTTTTGTAAACACCTATAAATTTTTTCTCTTAGTAAAAGATCTGCAGCAGTCCAGAGACGTAAGCACAATTGGCTGAAATCCGTTATCAATTTCGGGTATTATTTTTCCGCTTTTATTTTGCATTCTCATTAATCTGGTTATAGGAAAATTACTTGTACTTTGTTTATTTCCTAACTGACAGTTTCAATCCCCAGATCCTCGCGGTGCTTCATCTCTTCCAACCCCTGTTTTCTTTCTTCCCTCTCATTAAATCTTCAAAATTATTGCGATATGTAATCAGGATTAGTTTTTAATTTCATTTCTCTTTGATTGGGTTTAGGTTCACGACGAGCTTATTGAGGTAATCAAAGAGACAGAGGAGGGGCTTCTTAATCTGAAGCGCGCACGTTTACTTCGAGAAGCTGATTAAGCATTAAATGTTTCGAATCAATCAGCGGTTGAGGAGGTTAAAGCGGGGCCTCTTGACCCGGCTGATATAGAATATGAACCGTTGGAGGGGGAAAAGAGTTACCAGCTCGGGTCAAAATGTTGGTTCCGTTACTGTGACGGCCGGTGGTATGATGGTCAAGTTGTGGCATCGAACGGTTCTGCTTCTACAAAGATAACATTCCTCACACCCACTTCAGAAAATATGTTGGTAAGCTCTAGCTCGAATTCCTGAAACATGTTTCTGTTGGTTCTTTCGTGACAGTTAATACTTCAAAGTTGAAATCCTCCCTTCTAATATAACTGGAAACTTAGAAATGTATGAATTTTCTGAAAGAAAAAGAAGCTAGGTTGTGAGAGAAAAGTACTGAAGATTAATTGTAGAGGTTAGACAACTTTTTAATGAGTTTCTCTTCTCTATTACTTTTTAAAATTTGGTTATATTATTGCATTAATTGACCTTAAAAAAGTTATGCTACTACCCCCCATGTTGCTTATTTGGACAGTTGTTTGAGAATTGGATGTAATTTTGTCAAGGAATGAGCAACTATTCTCTGTTGCTACTTAAGCAACATTTACTATTTCCAGTTACTAATGCTAGAGCACCCGAGTGCAGATATGCAGGTTCTTTCTGCAACAAAGATGTCGATTTGGTGCTAGTTGCCGCTTATCACATGGTATGTGAGAGTCTTTTGTTTTATGGACTAGTAGGTTCTGAACCAAAAATTCCCTTTGTCTTTCTTGTTGAGTGTTCTTGCATTGAAGGACACGAGGAAACATTAACCTTATGGTATGGACAGTATCACAAAGACAAAGAATTGTTGTTTTGCATAAACCCTGTTAATTTTAGAGGGTGAGCTAAGAAATCTGCTCTATAAGAAGGACATGTAAAATGAGACATTTGTGAGATACTTTTAGATTTGCATTTTAATCTTCAGTGTTGCTATGGGCTAGTTGAATCGAGCATTTATTTTTGGTGGTGGTGGTGTTTTGGGGGGGGGGGAGATAAGAGTTAGCTAATAGATCTCTGTTGCCATGCTGTGTGCTCCAAAAGGCTGTATTTAGTTAAATTATAAGTCCATTTCTTTCCGAAGTTGGTTGTGGTATGGGCTCTCTATATGGTAGGCTATTGTTCAGTATTCTTTGCTCTCATTTCTTACTAAATATTTCCTTTTATAGCAGTTGCTTCTAGTACATCAGAGTTTAACATTTATATGTCCACAGGAGTTGATGTCCCATTATCTTCACTGATAAAGTATGCTCCAACCATGTGGGAGCCATCAATGGTTGGGTCCAGTATTTGGGCAGTCTCTAATAGTTAAGTTGGCATCTGGAGGGAAGCTGAACTAGAATCATGGAACGATGAACTCAGGATTGGGAAGGTTGTGTTCCGGGACGATCGAAGCTCTGCACTCTGCAGAGCTCGGTATAGAAGCCCTGACGTTGTCTGAATATGCACAAATGAGTGATGATGAAGAAAGTGAGCTAAGCTCCAAAAAATCTGATTCAAGTGACTATGAAGAGATCAGTCCAAGGGGTATAGGTTTTCTTGAAAGCACTGCTCGACAGAGAGGTATCCAGACAGAAACTACCATCTTTGCTTAGTGGAAAAATCATACCAGGAGCGTAGCTTCTAAGATGATGGCCAATATAGGTTACCGTGAGGGGATGGGACTAGGTGCATCTGGCCAGGAAATGTTGGACCCGATCTCAGTTAAAGTCCTTCCTCCTAAGCTATCACTCGACCATGCTTTGGAGTCTCGTGAAAATGATGAAGGTAAAGAGAAAAAAGGGATGAAAAGAAGCAGAGGTGGCAAGAGAAAGCGCGAGAAGAAATTTGCAGAAGCTGCTCGGGCTGCAAAAGAAGAAGAGGAATCAAGACCAGATGTTTTTAGCCTCATCAATAACCAACTTGCTATGCATAATGAAGCAGTAAATGGAGGGTCAACAAGGAAACAACAAAAGAAAGGCTCAGGAGAGGGAAAGAAAGTAGATAGGAAGGCATTGGTTGGTTATGATGATGAAGTGAAGGAACTGAAGTTTCGAGTTGTAAAGCTCGAGGAAATGGTGAGCAGAAACAGAAACGAAAAGGCTGTCTATGATGCAGCTATGAGGAAGTTAAATGAGACCCGCAAGGCTTTGGCAGAGGCTGAAGCTGAAGCTGTTCATGAATCTGCATCAAATGCAGTTGCTAGCAAAGAAAAAGAGAAAGTGGCTAAAGTTTTGATATTATGTAAACGTAATATCGTACAACTCGCTAATTATGCGCTGTTTGGTGATAGATTTTACCCACATAAAAAGGAAAGAAAATGAACTTAAATTAGACTTGGGATTCTTCCCTCTTTTGCTTTGTGTTGAGGCAAGCTGTGAAGGTTTTAGTTACTTTAATTTGTTTATCATCGAGGGAAATGTGTGTATATATATGTCACTGCTACGGGGAAGAATATTCTTTTACTATTATTTTAAAGAAGTTTCTCCAGCGTTTCCGTAATACATGCTACTGTGTTTAGTTTTTAAATTGAAGTACAGTATCTAACATATCAACTTTTACTAGCTATAAAGAGTCTAATTTTAAAGAAGTTTTTTTTAACGTTTAATACATGAGAAGAAAAACCAAAACGCTGCTTTCTGTGGGGTATGCTGAGGCTGGAGTCATGCAATAGATAACTTGGTTAAACGATCGCATCAGCTGGTAATACTCAATCCCACATAGTATTAAATACTATTGGGAATGTGTATTTATGGTTTGGATTTCTCACTTCCTTGTTGAGTGAAAGAGAAACACTCTCTTTTATACTTATTATTTGCAAGTCCAAGAAAAATGATGAAATTATGTCATTAATCTTTAATTTCCTTAGTTTTGATAGTTTAAACTCTAAAGATCACCTTCATCAATATTTAAAATGTTAATATTAAAGGGAAAAAGAGAATTGGATAAATGAGCTTATTCATGAACATAAACAAACCAAACATACTTCTATTCATTTTCGTTTGTTTATTAAATGAATATAAATTAATATTATACGAACGATTCACGAATAATTTATCGAACTCTCTGTTTATTTACACCTCTACTCATGCAATAAGAGTATCAATTCACACCCCAATATTTTTTAAAAAATATAAATTTTATATAAAAATATTGAAAATAAAATTAATAAAATTTTAAATAAATATTGATACCCATAATTTATTCTTATACACTTAAAAATTTCTTTACAATTTTTAATTTATAATATTGTAATTTAATTTTTTACTCTACCCCATATAATTTATATACATAAAATTAATAAAAATTAACATATCAATAATCTATATGTAATAAATTAACAAACAAAAAAAACCATTCAAATCCATATGTCTGACAATTAAGCGGCTACTTTCTCAGTTTTTTTAAATAAAAGAATCAAATTACGATAAATTAAAGTATGGAGACACAAGTTTAAATTTTTAAAAGCTGAAGGATAAAATTCATAATTAGACTTAATAACAAACAAATAAACTGACGGAGCTAAGGGGCCCTTAGGCATCGATTAACACACAAGGAAGAAAACAAGCCCGAAGAGGCCCAATTGATGGGCATGTGAAAGTAGGGAAAATTGAGCGACTGTCGTTGGTTTAATGTGTAACCAAACAGGTAAGAAAGGGAAGGAGATTTGATGTTATTCCGGATTAGGGTTAACTTTTCACCCTTCCACTATCACCATCTCTGGATTTCTTTTAGGCGCCAAACTACGCATTGCTCCTTCTCCTCGGGGTACAATTTGTATTTTTATGAATTCCATTGTTATTTTTTTTTGTCAAAGGGATTCTTTTCGGGTATTTTGGAAATATACTCTGTTATGTGTTTTGAAGGATTGAAATTCTAAGACGCTTTTGATTTCAGCTCTTTTCCTTCAAATTATGCTTTTATACTGAATTTCAGTCTGAGTAAGCCTTTTCTTTCTTCCCTTTGGTCCACTGAATTTTTATTAAAGTTTGAACTTTTGAGTTGACAGAGTTTTAACGTTGGAGCCTGTCTCTGGTTGAAGACATTGATTCACTGAAACGGAATGTTTTCTCACTTCTGTAACGAGTGCAATACTTGCGTATAAATTTGCCTTTTTTGCTTGATAAATGTTCTGCAGGAATATAAAGAGATGGGTAGCCAAGCCCCTGCAACTAATGATCGTACGAGGACATACTGGACACCTACAATGGAGCGGTATTTCATTGATCTTATGCTGGAACAGATGCATAGAGGAAATAGGGTTGGTCACACATTCAGCAAACAAGCCTGGACTAACATGCTTACCATCTTCAATGCAAAATTCGAATCTCATTATGACAAAGATGTCTTAAAAAGTCGTTATACAAACTTGTGGAAGCAATTCAACGATGTTAAGAATCTTCTTGGCCAGAATGGGTTTTCTTGGGATGAATCTCGACAAATGGTGGTAGCTGATGAATATGTCTGGAATGCCTACATCAAGGTGCAGCCCCATAGCTATTTACTTGTACCTGATAATTGTGTGAATTCGTTATAGTAAAATATTGCAAGATGCATGCAGGCTTACCCGGATGCACGATCCTACAGGATGAAAGCATTGCTGAATTTCAATGATTTGTGCTTGATATATGGGTACGCAACTGCTGATGGAAGATACAGTCGATCTAGTCATGATTTGGACTTTGATGATGAAGTCCAAGGATTAAATATGGGTGTGTATAAGCTTTATATAATAAACCTCTATCATGATTGTAGATAAGATTTCAACTGAAAAGCATGTGATTCATATTATAGGCCACTTTTTGTGCTGGATACCTTGGTTAATGCTTCTTTTCTATCATACGAGAGAAGAATGAAGAAATAAAGTAAGAAAATTGAATTGAGTTACTTCAATCACATTTCCTAGACCATTTGTTCGTTGGTAAATTATCCCATGTCATTCTTGTCCCAACATTTAACAGTTCACCATTGATTCTACCGTTTGTTGACCATTTGCTTGTCATTGATTCAACAGTTGACCATTGATAGTAAATTGATATCCTTGCATACAAGTGACTTGGTTGTGGGAAAAAGGAAAATCTGAATCTGTAGTTTTACTGCTCTCTTCATTTTTATTAATTTTTTTTTATATGAATGGGTTTTTACGGTACTGTAAGCTATGAATGGATTCATATTCTGGTGTAACAGATATGCTTTCACTTGCTTGTTCCCCAACTTTTAGGTGATGCAATGGGTAGTTTCCCCTCCACCAATAATGAACGTCCAAGAACTGAATGGAACGCTGACATGGACCAATATTTTATTGAGCTTATGCTTGACCAAGTAGGAAGAGGCAACAAGGTTGATAATACATTCAGTAAACAAGCATGGACAGACATGCTTGCTTTATTCAATGCAAAATTTGGTCATCAACATGGCAAGAGGGTTTTGAGACATAGATACAAGAAACTGTGGAAGTACTACAGTGATGTGAAAGTTATTCTAAAACAAAGTAGCTTTACCTGGGATGAAACAAAGCTAATGGTTATAGCCGATAATGAAGTTTGGGATGCTTATATAAAGGTATGAGCTTCTACAGATATTTTCATTAATCTCATGAGCACATTACCTTCATGCATATGATATATTAATGATTGCACTTAAGACAGGCACATCCTCATGCTCGAGCATATAAAATGAAAACCCTTCCGAACTACAACGATTGGCACCTAATATATGGCGAAGCAATTGACGAAGGAAGTCCTGATAAATTGGCTCAGGAATGTGACATCTCCAATACAACAGCTGGTGAGTTCCAAATTTCTAACAGAAACAAAATCACAATGCTTCTGATGTTCTCTATGTATTTTACAGAATTGCAGCTAGAGTCTGCTAGGGGGACTGATAATGTTATCAACTGGATACAAAAGAAGCTCATCAACATATTAGTTGCATTGTTTTCAATTAAGTTTTAAGTTCACAGATATGTTTCATCTTGAAGGTGGATTAATTTAGTTCTCTTTTTTCTGGTCTACCAGTTTTAGAAACTGAAGTTATAAAATTAATAGTACAATGCATTAGAGTCATGTGACTTTGTGATTTCCAGTACATTTCTTACATGAAATCTTAAGGTTGTTTTATGAACACATTCTCTCTCTCTCTCTCTCTCTCTCTCTAATCTTCCGGTCACTGTTTTCTCCTAAAGATAGATCTTTTAATTTGCAGGTGATAGGAAGGGAAATGTGACTAGTGATCGTACAAGAACATTTTGGACTCCACCAATGGATCGATATCTCATTGATTTGTTGTTAGACCAGGTCCATAGAGGGAATAAACTTGGACAGACATTCTTAACACAGGCTTGGGTTGACATGGTTACGTTATTCAATGTCAAATTTGGTTCTCACTATGATAAGGATGTTCTCAAGAACCGACACAAACATTTCAGGAGACTGTACAATGACATAAAGATTCTGCTTGAGCAAAGTGGATTCTCATGGGATGAAGCAAAGGATATGGTAACAGCAGAAGACAGTGTTTGGAATGCCTACATCAAGGTGATTTCTTTTCTTTTCTTGTGCTGATAGAGTTTTTGTTATGTTTCTTACATAAAATACATGCAGTCACATCCAGATGCTCAATCATACAGAGTTAAAACTGTGCCAAGCTATCCCAAATTGCGTGTAATATTTGGGCTAGAAAATTTTCATGGAAGATATAACAGATTGACTCCTCAAAATGTGGGCACTGATAACGATGTAACTGTTTTAATGAGCCATAATGGTACGTAACATCTGTTATCTTGTGTTTATTTGTTGGTTAGCTTTTTCCTTTTTACTAAATTAGGTGGTAGCTTATTTTCCAACACAGATAGTAGGCCAGTGTGGTTTGAAAAGATGATAAGGTTGGAATGCTGTAAGAATTGTTCTAATTTTTCTTTACTAGAAGCATTGATGCATGTTTTAAATATTCATGATCTCTTAACATGCAGGTGGTGGGAAAAATGACTATTTACTCAACAGTATTCATCATATTGAATTTGAGTGGACAGCCCCAATGGACCGTTTTTTTATGGACCTTCTGTTACAACAGGTTCTGGATGGGAATAAGATAAATCAGGTGTTCAATGAACAGGATTGGGTTCATATGGTTGATTCGTTCAGTGAAAAATTTGGGCTTCAATTGGACAAGAACGTATTAGAAAGCCAGTACATTTGCTTGATGAAACAGTACAATGATATTACTGATCTTATCAGTCATAGTGGGTTTCTTTGGGATGAAGAAAAGCAAATGGTTGTGGCAAACAATGACAATTGGGAAGTATACGTGAAGGTATGTTCATTACTCTTTCGGTTTAATCATTTAAGCAATAACACTCCTATTGATATTCCAATCCTTCAATGACATCATGTGCCGGGGAGATATGCCTGTGTATCATTCTCTTTTCTTCTGCATATCTTATCATAAGATATAACAGTTTGGTATTTGTATGCTTGTTTTTAATATTGCCAATACATGTTTTTACATGCAAAATTTTGCAGGAACACCCAGATGCAGTCTCTTACAGGGATAAAGTCTTGGGCAGTTACAGTGATTTGTGCAAGATTTTCAGGGAAGAAGTATTAGATGGAATACCCTCTGATCAGATTCTAGATGTGGAAACTGATCATTGTGCCTCAGATACCATTTTGGATAGAGCATTTGGAGACTTACAAACTCCAGGTGGGGACATCAATTTATCTGATCAACAAAGAAAGCGACCAACTGCAACAGCAGACATAGAACGAGCAAGCAAGGCACAAAAAACCAAGCAGGATATGCAGAAGATGCTGTCCAAGATGACTGGTGTGGTCACAAGATTAGCAAATAAGAATGAAAATAAGAACCATTCAACAATAGAAAATGCAGTTGATGCACTTCAAGCCCTTCCTGACATGGATGATGAACTTTTGTTGGATGCCTGTGATCTATTGGAAGATGAGAGAAAAGCAAAAACATTTTTGGCATTGGACGTTACATTACGAAAAAAGTGGTTGCTTAGAAAACTTCGGTCATAGTAGCAGCCTTTCAGATGTTTAAAATTTGAGAATATTTACATTTCCTTTTTCTCTCCCTTAACGGGTATAGGCCGCCCTGTTATATTCCATGTCCTTTCGGCATGGTTTTTAGAATCTGGTCCCAGAATTTTGTAGCATATGGAATGAAAACACACTGATTTATAGGATGAGTTCCCCTCCCTCTAAGCTGGTAGTATTTTCCTATATTAACTTCGCTGTAATATGTTTCGAAGAGAACCAGATTTACATAGAGCGCGGTACATGAGATATGCTACTTTTCTCTTTTTTGATAATTGAGGACGGGGATAAAGATGTTTGAGATTGAACTCGAGCTTTCATGCAACACAATACATATATTGTCTCTGGACCAAGAGATTGTTGGCAAGAAATGCCACTCTTAAAATCTCATTGTTCACCTTCTTAATTCCTAGTAATTATTAGTGTTTTTGGGGGACAATTGAAAAGTGAATTTAAACAAAAAATGAATTATTTATTTAAATAAAACAAAAGTGAATTTTAAAAAAAATCCTCCAATTTTACCATACAAAAAGACATCCATTAGTGTCCCTAATGATCATAGTCTTCGTTGCCGATTGGTTGGAAGCGCTAGACTTCATCTCTCTCATTCTTTGGGACAAGTTCCAAGCCCTCATCATCTGATTTGACAGTTGAATTCTTTGTCAAAATATCTGGAGGAATCAAAGCATCCGATTGATCAGCCTTGGGGACAAGAAAAATCAAATCCAGAGTTACAAATCTCAGGATGTTTCTGATGAGAACAACCAACCATAGGTTTGTAAAATCTGTCCTAGTGACATGAAAAACGTGAAGAGCTATTCCTCCACCCCATTTGGAGGTCAAGGTAAAAATGTGCCTTCAATGCCTATAGGGCAAAGCCTTGTGCTTAACACCATCATGGGAATCCACCGTATTCTGCTTATAATTCGTGAGACACATTCTTCCGTGATAACAAAGAAGTAATCTGGAACTCCAAGCACTAAGTTCCATCGAAGAATGAAGATCAGATTGAGCATTCCGGATGTGCCTTATAAGAGCTGAGCGAAAAAGAGTAGGTTTCTGAATTGAATGTCTTTGAGCGTCTTGTGATATATCAGGACCCCCACCATTGAAGCCATTGCACCAATTGCATATATGATTCCAACAAATTCCTGCTCGTAACATACCATCAGTTGTAAGAAGTGTGAAAGGGTTATTATAGTTGTGCATTGTATTTTTTAGATGGTGTGATTAGAAACCTGAGAAAATGCAGGACCAGCTTTAGGGTCAGCGTACCAATAAAATCTGCCCTTCATGAGTACTGATACTGAGAGCCAAAGAGAGGTACATGTAGAGCGATGGTTTCCACACCTGAGGGAACTTGATTGTCTGATACATCCCCCTTATCGCCACCCCTAAGTTCTCCATTGTCTGCAGAAGCATCCACACGCATAGATAATCAAGAATTGGTGAAATATATAAGCATTCAAATGTTTTACCAAATTGCAACAAGGAAAGAATTATCTGGGGGAAAATTAGGAAATCTAACCTTCTGCTTCTCAGAATGAAGGCTGGAAGATCTCATTTCATAAATCACAAATCCCCAACACCGTGATAAAAACTGGTGGGAATGCCAAAAGAATTAAAGCTCCCTGCAATAACCATTTATGTCATGAAAAGGGACTGAGAATCTAGAAACCAAGCTAGGAGGTAATAGAGAATTATGTTTACAGGGTTTTAACTATATTGGTTTCAAACTAAAAACATAATCAAAAGTCGAATTTATGATTTTCAACACAAGCAAAACCAACAATATCTAAGGTCAAAGCTAGTGTTTCAGACCAGTTTCTCAAGCTTCAGCCACCTATATTCAGTCCCAAATTAATAAAAATAGAAAAAGAAGCTAACCTGAGGTCCGAGATGGTGAACAAAAAATCCACTGGAGGAACAACCAATTAAAGCCCCAGCAGAGGAGCAAAATACACAAAGGCTCTGCATATCCGGAGCCAACGATCGGACCTCGATACTTTTCCTAGCAATGCATGCATCAATTGTGACATCAGCTATAGCCATGCCTTCTGCAGCCCCAGTCAAGCAAATCAGTGCCAAAGCAGCAGGCAAGTTACCAATAAGAACTACCAACAATGCCGATGCACACCCAAGAATACCAGCGACCACAAAATACGGTCTTCGTCTATATCCTCTTATTGGAAAAACATCGGTGAGTAAACCCCAGACAGGTTTCATAACCCATGGAATATGGTATAAACCAATGTATATTTGAACCACAGAGGGCTGGACTTTTTGAACATCTTTCCAATAGTAATCCGTTACCACTGAAGAAAGACCCGGCGAAGCCTAGATTGAGGCCATAAACTATAACTATCCCAATGATGAAAGTCAGATTCAGCTGAGAAGATAGCATCTGTATCCATTGAATTGGCTCGAGGATGAAGGAGAAAAAAATATTGTTTTTCTTGCAGGTTTCTGCTGAATGAAGGTTGGTCTGGTTTGAACTGTGGGCAGATTGTTGGGACGTGCTCGAGAGAGATCCTTCGATGAGTCCCTCCTTCCCCACTTGTATTCACCTGAATATAATATTATAGCTTAATCTGGAGAAGTAGACATGGCGTTCGCCCTATTTTAAAACGAAAAGCTGAATTATCTATCATTTGTCAAATTCTATAAATGGCCCTCGTACTATGAATCTTTAGAGGATTTAGCCCTTCTATGATCATTTGATTTCTTTTAATTCTCTACTTTTTGAAACATGTATTCTCTCATTCGTGAAATCATTTTTTTCTATTAATATCTTTTCTGAGACATAGTAAAGTCGTTAAGTAATCAGATTTAAGTAAAATATAATATATTGAAATTATTATTATTATTATTATTATAATAAACTAATCATATTAAATGATTGTGAATAAAATTGAAATTTGAGAAAATTACGTCCAAATTTAGTCACAATAACTTTTAAATATTTATCCAACCAATTAAAATAGTATATATATATATATATATTACTTAATAACATGTTAATATATATTAGATTATTTAATAAAATTAAAGATGAAGATTTATTTTTAAAATTAAAAATATATATTTCAAAAAATAATAAATTAAAATTGATCAAGTTATAAAAAAAAGGTAAGTTCATTAATTATTTATTGTATTTACACCTAGATATAAGACTGATGGAATAATATACATATAATTTGATATTGATTTTGAAAAGATAAAAAATCCATTTTAGATATTATGTTATAAATTAAAAGTAAATAATTGAGAATGAAAATATAACTTTACCTAAAAATAATTTTCTACAGTAAAAGTTAGAAATTTTAGCTTTTTTTCACGTTATGTTGAAAATCATTTTTTAAACCATGATTTTAAATTAATTTTTACATGTTTGGTATTACTTATGGGTGAAAATCACTTTATTGCAATTTAACTTGGTAAGTATTAAATATATCAATGTTAGAGTTTTTCGACATAATTATTATTTAAATAAATAGTTAAAATATATTATAATAATTAAAACTACTTATGAAAAAAAATACTTCTGCCTTTATAAAAAAATACTTCTACTAATACATCAAATAATCATCCCTGTATATATATGATTATTCTCTCTCTCACACACACACACACACATATATATATATATATGCATATTCCTAAGCAAATGCAATATTGGACTCGATAGGCAAATCATGGGCCTCAAATTACAATTGAAGATCCATCAACGGTACAAACCGAATCGGATATTTAAGAATTAAAAATCACAAGCATAAAGAACATTCCCACCAGCATGCGGTTCCATAGTGTAGTAGTGAGCACTCTGGTCTTTGAATCCAGCAACCTGGGCGAGTCCCAGTGGGATCTGCATTATGCAAATGTGGATTATAATTTAATCGGGATATGATACAATTTACTCATATATAACATACAATGTGTTCACGAGGGAGAGATGGAAGACTCGAAAATGTGTTCACGAGAGTCCACCAACAGTTTCAGCAGCTCCCTTGATTTTAAAAGAAATTATCTTTAATCAAAAGTCTCTTGTTTTTTTTCCTCCCTTCTCTCGTGTCTGTCCTTTTCTTTAACGCTTCTGCTGCTGTCACCCCATATTTTCTTGCTTTCCCATTCGGATTCCGAGAAAATTCTTTGGGTTTTTTTTTTGTTAGTTTTTGGAAACTACTGCCCCCTGTTTTGTTTCTTTATAGACTTTCAGCTAAGCATGTAAGATCACTTGAAAACTCCATAATACTAAGTAATGACTAATGACATCGTTTTATTTAACTTTGTTTCTCTTTTGAATCTTATGTTCTATGAATGTATCCGTTTAGATACGAGTTTCACTTGTTTTATTCTGTAAGAGTATTTTAGATGTTTTACCTTAATTTGATCTAGGCAAAATAGTGAGCTTTAATTTATTTCCTAGTTGTTCAGGTGTGATTTCTTTTTAGTATTCAATCTAGGATCTAGATCTTTCTTTTTCAACATTATCTTTTGCTTCTCAAGATTCACTTTTGAATTAACATAGGAGTTTATGTATTCCTCTGATTAGAAACTATTTGCTGTTTCACATGATTCAAATTGGTAACTAATTAAGTTATTGCCTTACTGTTTTTAAAACTGTTTTAGATGCAATGGTTTGGGAGATCAAATTTGATCCACACATTGTTTTAAGTACTCATGGATTTTAAAAACTGACCATGTCTATTCATTCATTTCCAGACATAGATGGGTATCTATCTCAGCACCCCCAAAACTGAGAAATTCTCAGAAGATGGAGAGAATGATAGGGTTAGATATGGGCTAACATCCATGCAGGGATGGCTTGCAACTACGGAAGATGCTGTGAGTAACAAATAAAACCTTTTTAACTTTTCACATGTTCTAAGCATTTGTACCATATTTATTGCATTCTACCAGATAAGTTCTACTAATGAGTTTTTAAGCGAATGTTTTGGTAAATGGATCCAGTCCTTTATAAAATCCTTTCAAAATGGATTTTCATGTCATTCTCATTCCCCATTCCCACCTCAACAACACGGGATATGTAATAGGGTCTTTGTCCTTAGTTGAACATACCGTAGCTTACATTTTCTCATATTTCTTGCAAATGTTCAATTCTTGTCATATTATGGATATGATGTTGTTACTTTTATTATTTGTTTTGTTAGCATGCTGCATATCCTGATCTCGATGATTCGACTTCGTTCTTTGGGGTTTATGATGGTCATGGAGGTAAGACTTGGATGGTTCAGTTCAGGTACTTCTTATGATTGTTTTGAGTTCCTAATACATGTTTTACTTCTGTTTGTACACCATCTGAACTTGTGTCTTCGCTGTTTCCCATTCATTTATCTTTCCCTTTCATAATTTGAACCAACTGAAGGATCTTGAAGCCATTTTTTTTGCTTTTCAAATGCTTCTGCTAATATGTTTATGATTGTTTAGTGTCAATGTCTGAAAATTGGTTTCTGTCACTATTCAGGCTTCTTCAACTTATCCAGATTGCTAACTTGCGGGCAAGGTTGTTGCAAAGTTCTGTGCCAAGTATCTTCACCAGCAGGTTCTCAAGCATGAAGCATATGCAGCTGGTGACATAGGGACATCACTTCAAGGAGCATTTTCAGGTTATTTAATTTGATTACTTGAGCTTATGTTTGTTCTTCACTATTTTCTGTTATTGGGGAAGTCAACAACGATATTCTAATGCCAAAATTATTGGGGGGTTCTGTGTTTAGTTCACCTTAGTGATAATGTAAGTTGATTAATTCTTTTATACTTGAAATATGAGAGTAACTTTTCCTTTTCGTTCCACCTTTTTAGGACTGCTAATTTCTATCTTGTGCACACATTCATGCTCCATGCTTGTTCAATTACTATCTCTATATCTGTGTTGCTTTTCTGATGTAATCTTAACAATGCCATTTTTTTTGTTAAGAACTGTATTTCAAGTCTTATATATGGTTGTAGAATTCTTTCATCAAAGATTAAAATGCTTTTTCAAGCCTCTGAGAAGATAATGACAGGAGAAACTTAGCACAAATGTGGCGCTTCCGTAACCTATTTTGCTCCCTCCCTGCCAGCCTCCACCCTTTCTTGTTTGTGGTTGAATGCCCTTTTCCCTTTGTTCATTTCATGTGTTTCCAACTTGAGTTACGTTTTAGCGCAGAATGGATGAGATGATGCATGGACAAAGAGGATGGAGAGAATTAGCTGTTTTGGGTGATAAAATAGACAAGTTTACTGGCATGATTGAAGGATTGATGTGGTCGCCAAAGGGTAGTGATGGTATTGACCAAGCTGATGACTGGACCTTTGAGGAGGTAGATACGAAAACATAGAGAATATACTCACCTTATTGTCCTTGATGCTGAACTGAAATTTGTTGCTGGGCCACAAACTATGATGGAAACCAAGAACGAAGAACTGAACTTGCATTGCTGCATTTTAACTCTTATCTGATTTGGTGTATATGTGCAGCCTTGATTAGCCTGCACTTACCTTTTTCGGGTGAGGCAGGGATCATAAATGTGCAATCCAGGTTTGCCTTTGATTGCATATATTGTTATACACCCTGCATTAATTTGTTTGTTCGATTAAGAAATTTATTTTATTGCAACAGTTTGTATGTATCGTTCATGTATGGTTTTAAAATTTGTAATCAGGGCCCTCACTCTGACTTTTCTGGACCAACTTCTGGGAGCACAGCGTGCGTAGCAGTTCTAAGGAACAACAAACTTCTTGTTGCAAATGCTGGTGATTCTCGTTGTGTGATATCAAGAAAGGGTCAGGTAATGGTCTGTTAATTTGTTGAAATTAGTTTGTTTCATTTCGAATGGCTACTAAAATGGATAATATTTTATCGTTATTTGTGGATGGACTGGCTGTTGTAACTTTCAACTATGGGCATTAATTGTAATTGTCATTGTTGGGAACGTTGTTTTCTCTCTGAATAAGTAATCTATCTGATTTATTTCTCATGTGGCTTCTTTTTGTAGGCATATAATCTCTCTAGAGATCACAAACCTGAGCTAGAGGCAGAGTGTCATGCACAAGAGAGAAGGCAGAGAAGAAGAAATTAGACTTGAGGAAAGGGATTTGGGAATTATTAAGGAAGGGTTAGGAATTGAAGAGGAGGAATTGGGAATTAAAGCACGTGAAGGGCATATGATTAACTTATCGGATGAGTTGGAGCAGGCTGAGTGGATCCAGGAAGAGTTGGAGCAGTCTGAGTCAGAAGGCCAATACCAGCTGCAACAAAAGAAGGATAAGAAGCAGTTTGTTAGTATTCTATTAGTAAGGAATGCCAGCTGGCATTGTTAGATTCCCTGTACCAGCTTGTAACTAAATAATACTGCTGTGTAATCAACATTTTCCTCATGCAATGAATGAATGACTATTTTCTTCTCTAAATTCTCTCATTCATTTCTCGTATCTTACTCTATTTCTCTCATTCCATAACAAATTGGTATCAGGAGCCTTAATTCCTGGCAAATTATAGACTGGATATGCAAAAGAAGAACCAAACCATGGTCGAATCTACTGATCTCTCTGCCATCAAAAAACAGATTGAGGATTTAAAGAAAACAGTGCAGCAAGCAAATGATGAAACCAACCCTCCCAAGTGGTGGGAGGCACAAGATAAATGTATCAGTTCGTTGGAGTCTAAGATGGCAACGACTCAAAGCTACATGGAGCAGATATTGGGGATTTTGACAGGGAAGACGGAGGAGCAAGTCCAAAACAATCCTGAAATTGAGCAGATGTACATATGGAAATAAAAGATACAAATGATAGGTCTCAAGTGCTTGATAAATTGTCAACAAGAGCATTTGATGCAATTCCATCCATTACTGGAACCATAAAAGTTGATTCACGACTACAACAAAATGTTAGTCTGAGTGGGCTTAGCAAATTGATTTCGTGGGAAAATTTAGTGGACATCGAGGAACAAGAGCAAACCATTTCAGAGAATGCTCAAGTAAGTACTCCTAACCTCCTTAAGACTGATGGAATAAAGATTCTGGAAAAATTGGGAAAGAACATTGCCACTTATTATGACACAGGATGGAGAGCTAAGGACAAACTTGTTTCTATGGACAATAAAAGAGTAAATCATGATGCAAAGATTGAAAAATCTGATGTTCCATATGCACCTTGCACTCATGAAAGTCTTTTGATGTGGAAATATGCTTCGATGAATTCGGTTGACTTTCTAATTGAGAAGAATCTGAATACAACTGGGGTAGATTGTTGCATTGGAATTCATGTAGACTTCACTGATTTTCAAAGAAAGGTTGTCTTAGATGCTGCTACAATTGCTGTGGCATGTGAAGTGTGGCATACTTCTGCAGTTGTTGAGGTTATTGTCACTCAATCTACTACTAGTGTTTCCTCAGGAAAATTATTCACATGGGGGGATGGGGACAAAAATCGTCTTGGACATGGAGACAAAGAAACCCGGCTTAAGCCCACGTGTGTTCTAGCACTAATTGATTACAATTTTCACAAAATTGCGTGTGGGCATGGCTTAACAGTTGGTTTGACAACATCAGGGAATACTTTTACAATGGGAAGTATTGTGTATGGTCAACTTGGGAATCCCTTTGCTGATGGGAAGATACCATGTTTAGTAGAAGACAAGCTTTCAGGGGAATGTGTTGAAGAAATTGCCTGTGGTGCATATCATATCGCAGCTCTAACTTCCAGTGGCTTTAAAGATCTGTTTGACTAGCAGCACTTCATTGAAACCCTGAAGGACGATGTCCACATAGTTGAGGCAATACCACCCGAGTATGCTGGAATTGAGCTATTTAACAAAACGCCTATATCCTGGTCTAAGGTTAGCTATTATAAGGCAGAGGTCCTACCATTGCTGAAGCAGCATAAAGTAATCTATTTTATACACATTGATTCTCGGCTTGCCAATAATGGTATCTCAAGTTCCATAAAAAAACTGAGGTGCCGGGTGAACTACAAGGCACTGAAATATTCAGCTGCAATTGAAGAACTTGGAAAACGTTGATTTCTAGAATGCGCCAAAATGGAAGCCCTTATCTTGCTCTACATTTGAGATACGAGATGGATATGCTTGCATTTACTGGCTGTAGTCATAGCTTGACAGTAGAAGAAGATGATGAACTAAGTTGGATGCGTTATGAAGTCAACCATTGGAAGAAGAAAGAGATTAATGGTACAGAGAGAAGATTGCTCGGTGGCTGTCCACTGACCCCTAGGGAGACTTCTCTCTTGCTCAGAGCATTGGGTTTCCCACCAAGTACTCAAATTTACTTAGTAGCTGGTGAAGCTTATGGAAATGGAAGTATGGAGCCTCTTAAGGAGGATTTCCCTAACATCTGTTCTTATTCCTCCTGGACAACAGATGAGGAGTTGAATCCTTTCAAGAACCATCAGAACATGTTGGTCGGTTTAGACTATGTTGTTGCCCTTCAAAGTGATGTATTTGTATATACTTATGACGAAAATATGGCAAAGGCAGTTCAAGGCCATAAGCGATTTGAGAACTTCAAGAAGACTATCTGCCCTGACAGGATGAATTATTGAAACTTGTGGATGACTATGATGAAAGAGAATCTGGATCTTTCAGAGAGAGTGAAAATAGTACGAAATGCAGAAATTCTGCATCAGTAGCTAATGGCAGTCAAGTTGAGGCTGAGTGAATTGAAAAGTATGAGTCTGGAGTCTACATAACTCTTGTAGCACTGCAGGATGGAACTAGGGATCTTAAACGTGTGCGGTTCAGCCGGAGAAGATTTGGAGAGCACCAAGCAGAATCTTGGTGGTCAGAAAACCGCGAGAAGGTTGTGGATAGGTACTGGGATTGGGAGCTTACAAATGAAACTCAACCTATTTGGAATATGTTTACTCATCTAATGGAATATATGGGTGTATTACGTCGGACTATTCTGGATTTAAGGATATACTCTAAGGAGGAAGAATATTCTAATGGCTATGAAGGATCAACTCTCCTTAGTTAGTATAGAGAAATTATTGACAGAACAATCATTCTCATCAATGTGGTTAATGCTAAAACTTATGAGGTTACTGATGTAGATTATAACAACCGTTTGTTATTTGGATACACATCAGTTCGATCAGATGCGGTTGCTGGAGAACTTAGAATGTCTAAACCAATTGGAAATTTTTTCCTTAAACTTCAAATGGTAGAGATGATTGCTCTAATCTTTTGGAGCGCTCTAATCTTACAGCTGCCAATCCAAGAACCATGCCTAGCTATTGGGTTTCTACCTCTCCATTCTGATGGTCTTCAAGTTGGGCAACTTGTTACCTTGAAACGGAGAAATGAGAGGCCAAAAGATACAGGGAAGAGCAAAGTTTCACAAAACAATGATGCGGTGTGGTATGAAGTGAATGTAAATTCTGATAAACTACCTACTCTGCTATGGTGTTCAAATTTCACAGTGCATACGGTCCTAGATATGTTGCAGAACATAATTAAACAACATGCTGATAAAAATCGAAGTGAACAACAATTTCAAATTGGAGAAGAAGTATACCTAAGATTGCAACCTTACTGGCAGAATTTACTTGTACGATGGATGAACTTGAACTCAAATCACGATACTTGGGAAGCTCATACCATTTTGAGGCCTCAGTTTCCAAGTTTCGATCCTTGGGGACAAGAATCTATTCGTGGAGGGGGTAATGTCATGCACAAGAGAGAAGGCAGAGAAGAAGAAATCAGACTCGAGGAAAGGGATTTGGGAATTATTAAGGAAGGGTTAGGGATTGAAGAGGAGGAATTGGGAATTGAAGCACGTGAAGGGCATATGATTAACTTACCGGATGAGTTGGAGCAGGCTTAGTGGATCCCGGAAGAGTTGGAGCAGTCCGAGTCAGAAGGCCAATACCAGCTGCAACAAAAGAAGGATAAGAAGCAGTTTGTTAGTATTCTGTTAGTAAGGAATGCCAGCTGGCATTGTTAGATTCCCTGTACCAGCTTGTAACTAAATAATACTGCTGTGTAATCAACATTTTCCTCATGCAATGAATGAATGACTATTTTCTTCTCTAAATCCTCTCCTTCATTTCTCGTATCTTACTCTATTTCTCTCATTCCATAACACAGAGAAAGAAAGGATTTTAAAGGCTGGTGGTTTTATACATGCAGGACGTGTCAATGGCAGTTTGAATCTTTCAAGAGCTATAGGTAATTTACTGCCCTGCTCGATAACTATAAACAGTAAGGGTACTAATTGAACTTGCCGATTTAGTACTTAGGTTTCCAAAAGAGAGAGGTGTATGCCACTGGGCACAAAGTGCTAGCATTATTTCATAATTTTTTCAATATCGTTTCTAATACATCCATTGATTCATTTTCCTGCAGGGGACATGGAATTCAGGCAGAATACAGTTTTGCCTGCTGAAAAGTAAATTGTATCCGCAAATCCAGATATAAACACCGTAAGTATATTCTCTGTCAGCAGTGTGCCCGGACCAGACCACTGTACTAATAACTTTTCCACTTTTGCTCTAATATGTGCTTATCATCCTAAATATCTTTGGAGCATTGGGTATTAACTACTCTATCTTACAAATTTTCTGTTAGGTTGAGCTCTGTGAAGATGATGAGTTTCTTGTGCTGCCATGTGATGGAATCTGGTATATTTATCTAATGCTTTTTCCATTTAGATTCTAATATAATTAGAATTTAGTATGCCTCACTTCAAAACTTGATTGGTTATACCCTTCGCAGTTCACTCTGACAAGATCTCGATCCTGAATTTAATATCTAATGCCTTTTCATTTTCTTTTATCAGGGATTGTATGTCAAGTCAGATGGTAGTAGACTTTATTCATGAACGACTACATTCTGTATGTGCATAAGCCTCTTTAACTTCGTCCTTTTCTTGGCAAATTTGCTTGATCATTCCGCACCTTTTTGATGTATGTATACTAAACTCCTGCGTGCAATGCAGGAAAACAAGCTTTCCGTTATTTGTCAGAGGGTACTCGACAGATGCTTAGCACCATCAACAGCCAATGGCGAGGGTTGCGACAACATGACCATGATCTTAGTGCAGTTCAAGAAACCAATCAAGGCTGCCTCACCTGAAGAGCAGCAATCCTCCCATTTCAAATCAGTTAACACTGAGTCGACGCCAGAGGTAAATCGAGAATAGTTGCAACTGTTGATGGGAGGTACCTAATCCTCTTTTCCAATAAGATTTGAGAACCCATTTCTCAAATATAAAATATTGGAATATGCATTTACAGATGGCTTAGAGCAGGATTGAATTGATGAGATGAAAACAATACATATATGTTAATATGCTTTGTTTCCTGTTCTTAAAAATATACAATCATGTAATTGGGGGTGTGGTGTGTCACAGCAATACCACCATGACAATTTTAGTAATAACATTTATGGTTTTTAATGAGTTTTGTTTCTCGGTGCTTGGCCTGAAAAATCAAGTACCAGATTGCCATGTTGATTACTTAAAGAAATTTAATACCAAACCGAGCAAATTTGCCCTGATTTACAGTATTGAAGAAATAAGGGTAAGACAATGATAGTACTAATCTGTAGCAATGCCAATAAAAAGGTTTAACAGGGAGACAATTAATCCTGCTAACCTGTGAGTGAAAACAATTCTCATTATTACATTTAGACCTTCAAAGCCACCTCATCTTGCCATGAGATTTTCCTCTTCCCAACCCTTTTTCCATTGATCAAACGCTTTTTGGGCTTCTTCCCCTTTCTCAAAGCCGCCTGAACATCTACATGACTTCTCCCACCCTCTTCCACATGAACCTGCCATACGGAAAATACTCAATTGATTCCAGTATGCAGACAGATAACGGCACAACAAGTTCTTGAAGTTATATATTTAATGTTGATTACCACATTTGGACATGAATCAGGAAAAAAACTTGGTCTCCTCTCAATAGATTCATTGACACCATGCTTCTTAGCCATTTTGCTTTGCAGGTAGGGGTATTGTGATTGAACAAAATCTTGTTGTAGTTCATATTCTTGAGACTTGATCATTGATAAGTAGTTGTACCTCTGTCTCAGAAATCTACAATTCCGAAGAGAAGGAACATAAGTTTATGTCATGGAACCTTCTTCTTGATTATTGTTTAAAATATACAAAAGTTCATATATATTCAGGAAATATATATCATACCGAACTTCATTCAAAAGGGTTCCTTGCATCTGGTTAACCATCTCCAATTTGTTCTTCTTCGAAACAAATTCCTAGAAAGCGATCGACACAAAATAATCAATTGCTATCTCAAAGTACAAACAGTTGGGATCATTATAACTGGTCATGTAAACTTGAACACTCGCTCTACATATTTTGTGAGAATTAAGTTTGAATATATTTCTAGTTGAACTATAAACATTCCAACAATTAGCAAAGTTCTCTATCGTTTTTCACCCGTTTGACTGAAGAAACTAGAAAAGATCTTGGGCTGAAACAAACTCAATATCATTATCGTGCAGGCTATAGCATCAAAACAAGAGACTAGAATCTATTATTTGATGATCAAAGAATGCAGCCTAGTTGATTAACAACGCAAAACTAAATAGAGTAATTGAGGCAAAGAACTAACCTTTTGCAAATCCAAGAACTCCTGGAGTAGGTTTTGATGCTTTCTTCTAGACATGGCTTCCTCATCAACAGAGTTATTGTTATATTGCCTTCGAGAATTTCGAGAATCCCTTTTCATCTTTTATGGCTTCTTATCAAAATCAAAATTTGATACCGAATAGCAAAGCTTGTAAACTTATCAGAAGCTATATCAGAGATTCTGCAACCAAAAAATTAAAAAACTCACAGGCCCTTCTACCCTAGAAAAATAAATAAATTTTTGCCCAGATAATTTACAATCCATCAAACATTATTTAAACACAATTGGGGGGGAGCCCTTGTTTTTGTTATATTTTTGACAATACAAAACTAAAACTTGGACAGAAAGCAAGACCCGGAAATCCAGAATTGATTCAGATTAGATGAGATGAGATGAAAATTGGGATTCTAAAGAATGAAAAGGGGGGAAGGGGAGAGAGAGGAAGAAATGGAAATAAATTAAAATCAATAAAAATACTAATAATACACCTCTGAACTGGAAGGAGAGAATGTGAGAGCCCAAAAAGGCCAATGAAGAAATGGGGAAGAAGAGCCTGAGAATGATGGAAGATCACGAACTACGGAGAAGGGTAAATATGGGGAAAATAAGATAAATATTTTTTATTTCGAGGACAACTGAAAACATATCTATTCCCACCTATCCATCTTTCGTTCTCTCCGTCTTGCTTTCCACCCATGTTTCCAGTTTCCCTTTCTCCTTTTCATTTGGTGTTTGGTTCTGTTTTTCTATTGTGCAGAACGTAAAGTTTTGGTCCATTTGGGATTTTAGTTTTGGACGATTTTCGGGTAGGGATTATGGAAGCAGAAAAGGCAAGAGATAGATAAATGGCAACTCTTTATTTTAAGGGGTTGCAGTTATTTCCAAAGGCAGAACCTTTGACATGTCCTCAAATGGCGTTTCTGTTGTGTTGGCAACAAAACAACTAGTCAGCTTCAGTTACAATTATATCCCCACTTGCTTCTAACATTGAAACCCTCCAGTTCCGTAGTCGCATGCAACGGAAGAATGTTGTTTGCTGACGAAACCGCAAGTGCGTGTACATTCAAGTGCATTAAATGCAAAACGACACCTTCCAAATCTTCTCTCTGCCTCCTATTGTTTCTCAATGGTTGTCAACTAGTCAATAAGTAATCAGTTTTACTTTGCATTTTCTACAAGCAAAATTCCTCAGGTTTTTACGCCTTAAAAAGAAGTTAGCAAGACAAATGCATCAAAATGCACAAGACGATCGATTGACTATGGAGAAAATACAGATGTTTTCCATATACATATTACACCAATAAAACGGAATGATCTAAAGTTCTATTTTCTTTTTACGTGGAGCAACGGACAATGGCACAATGCAAGCCAAAGGCAACACAGATGAAAGGTCCTGTATGGCATCTATACTTACTAAAACCATTGTATTACATCATAACATGATGTACATGAAATATTCAGTCTCCATGACACTTGGATAGGAAACATCAACGGCCACAGCTAAAAGATAGAGTCTACTCTCTGAACTGCTGAAAGGCTAGTTGAAGCCACCACGAAACTAACCAAAAACCTGAAATATATGAAGGGAACTTAAACACTTTAATAAGTGTGTTTGACATCAAATGGAAAATTCACAATAATATCTAAATCAGCACGAGAAGCATTAAAAGAGGGAAGTACCTGCTCCACCCAGTACACTGAGGTCACCAGCCAGGTATAATGAGTAGCATGTAAGGATCTATATATTTCAACTTTCAAGATTGATTAGGAAGCTGAGCAAATGTTCCCTTGTTTGGGCCGTAGCCCCCAACCATCATCTGTTTGTAGATTGCATAGGCATCGTCTGAATTTCCACACGCTGTACCCTCGAATTAGAGCATTGTAGGTGAACACATTGGGTTCAAGACCCATAAGTTGTAGTTCTTCATAAAACTTACCTGCTTGCTCCGTCATTCCGACAATCCCAAGATTGAGTATTAAGGAATTATAGGTGTAAAGATCAGGAGTTATACCCCTATTCCGCATTTCATCAAAAAAGAGAGAGAGAGCTTCATCTGTCCTACCAGACCTCCCAAGCCCATTAAGCATAAGGTTATAAGATACCAAAATGGATCAAGGCCAGTTGACTTCAGTTCCTCGAAATAGTGCAAAGCATCATCGACTCTTCCCACCAAACAGAGGCAGTCTACAAGAATGGTGTAGGACTTCAAGTCTGGCCTTATCCCCTCCATAGCCATCTTTTTAAATAGCTCACAAGCAGTATCTACATCACCAGCTTTCCCATATCCATTTATAAGAATATTATAAAGAACACAATTTGCTTTGCATCCGTATTCTTCCATTTCCACAAACAATTGCTTTGCATCATCGAGTCTTCCCAATTTTAGTAGTCCATCTATAAGAGGCCCATATGTACAGGGAGTCGGACGGAAATCGCCACTTATGAGATTATAATACATATTCATAGCCTTTTCTAGGTTGTTTGACTTTGCAAGACCTGAAAGGACTATATTCTGAGTTATAGTATTAAGCTTGCATCCGCGAAAAGTAATATCTTCATAAACTTCAATGAGTTTATCAATATAACCAGACTTCCCACAAGCATCAAGCAACAAATTATAGGTAGAAATATCCAGAGAACAACAAATTATAGGTAGAAATATCCCAAGCCATTTCAGTGTTATGGACTTCAAGTAGTCCATCAATTAACAAATTATAAGTTGTTGGTGTTGCGATAAGCCCCATATTTTTTTGTGAAATTTGCAAACAATTCTCTTGCAACAATAGCTTTTTTATGCTTACACAAATTTCTAATTAGAGACACCAAAACAGACTCATCCTTATAGATCTTATTGCATGCCAATATCTCAGCAAATTGAACAGCTTTATCCATTCCAGCTTTAATCAAAATCCCACTCATTAAATCTTCCCAAAATGACCCGTTTGTATAGATCCCATCTTGATAAATAAAGTCCCGAGCAATCTTGAAGGCATCCATAACCTGCCCATCCTTTACAATGCCGGGAAGAAGGGTGTACAATGTCACATTGTCAGGGTAAAGCAATTTCTTCATCTGATGAAAGACCCAAATAGCATCCTTAACTCTGTCTGCTTTAATAAAGCCATAAATAACAGTGTTATAAGTCAGAACATCAGGCATACAGTTCTTTGGTATCATTTTATACAGCATTTTCAAAGCCAAATCAACCTCATTGTTCTTGCAAAGGCAATCCAAAAGGATGTTGAAAGTTATTGTGTTAGGGTGACACCCATATCTGGCCATACTCTGGAACAATTCAATCGCCTTTTGGACTTGACCTTCTTTCCCTAGTCCAGCTATTAATGTGTTATAGGTCACAACTGAAGGAGCAAGTGACATTTCCTTCATTTTGTGGAACATTTTCCACGCCTCGTCCACTTGGCCAGCCTTGAAAAGCATGTCAATCATGGAATTAATGATCATTATATAAGGTTCATACTGATTTTCCAAAATCTCAGAGAGTAACTTAATGGCTTTATCCACTTGCCAACTTTACTGTAGCACTTCATCATCATGTTGCAGGTCACTGAATCTAGAGCAAGCCCACTACTTTTAAGCTCACTGAAAATAGCTTTTGCTTCATGAAGCCTCCCTGCTTGAGCGAGACTATACAAAGATGTATTGCAACCAATAACATTAGGACAATTCCTAGTTAATGAAAATTATGTATGTATAAGCAGTAGGTTTATTGCCTAGAGATTTCAAATTTGTGAAAAGTTCCAATGCCTCATTAACCCTATTTAGCCTCAATAGTCTACAGATTAATGTGTTGTAAGTATGAAGATTGGGGGAGACCCCTTGCTTTCTCATGTCCTCCATCAAATCAAAAGCTTCATCTAAATTTCCAACTTTGCAGAAAGCATCAATAAGTATGGTGCAAGTAACCACATCTGGAGCATAACTATCAGCTTCCATTTCATTCCAAAATTCTTTCACCACGTTCAAGTCTCCCCGGTCACTAAACTTGTCCAACAAAGTAATGTATGTTATTCTGTCAGGTTTATGGCTGCTAGATTTCATCCTTAAGAATATTTCCTTGGCTTGATCAAGTCTCCCAGCATTACAAAGAGCATCAATGAGAACAGTATAAGTAACAACATCAGGTCTGTACCCTATATCATCAATTCTCCTCAAGATCCCAAATGCATCATCAATTTTCCCAGCCCTACCAAGCACTCTAATACATATTGTAAAAGTGTAAACATTTGGCTTCAATCCCAAAGATTCCATCTCTTCTAGAAAATCCATAACTGTTCCAGTATCCCTTCTCTTCCCAGACGCTACCATGAGGGCTGAGTAAGTTTTAAGACTAGGCTTTAGACCTTCAGAAACCATTCTTCTATAAATCTGCAGAGCCTCCCTAAAAACCCAGATTGAAGCAGCAAATAGATCAATCCATTATATGAATAAGCATTCAGAACAAACTTGGCATCTCTCATTCTTTCAAGTCCAAATGGTGCTTGCCTAAGACCACCTCTGATATCAAGACCCTTCAAATAGTTAAGTATGTATTCAAATCCCCCTGATGATTGCTTTTGCATAAATTCAAATTCAAAACTCATTTCTCCCACCATTCTACGAACTTTCAAGACTTCAAGCATATGATTACAAATCAATTAATGATATCCTAGTGTTAAAGTATATTTTTAAAATTTTCTATAAAAATATTAATCCGCGTTTATAAATATATGTTAACAACCACAGCAAAATCACGTCAAAACCAAGGCTTAAATGTACAAAGGTGTCTAACCTATGTCAGTTTTCAGTTCTAATTTAGTGTCTAACGTTTCATTCTGTATTAAAATGAGTCAACCCATAACGGACAGTTAGTTTTATTTTATAAGTGACATATGTCACAATCTGATAATTTAAAGAAATTATATAAAATTAAAAAAATTATATACTTTTTAAAAAAGAAAACACATAAATTTTAAAATAACCCTAAAACTTTAAAAACCTTCATTTCAACCCCTAAACCCACAATGACCGTCACTCCTTGCTATCGACGAAACTCCACCTGACATCACCATCTCGGTGATCAAAATCCTTTGAAATCATGATTGATCAACAGTCGATCGATGGCGAATCGATGTTTTATACCCCGCGAACCCTATGATGAAAATCGCAATCCTAAGCGATTTTAAGAACAATCGACGACACTACGAGACTTATAACTAGGATGATGACAAGGACTACGTCGGCGGTTGTTATCATGGCCGAAAAGGGTGACGAAGAGGGTTAGTATTAGGATTTGGGGATTTTAGAGATTTTGAAGATTTTTTTTAATTTAAAAGAAATAACGGGTTTTTTATATAAATATAATAATATCTTTAATATTTTTTAAAAAATAAATTTTAAAATTATAAGATTGTGGCATGTGTCACTTAACAGAGAAAACTAACGGTACATAACAGCTTGATCATTTTAAGTAATGAAACGAAACATTAGGCACCAGACTAAAACGAAATAAACATTAGACACTAAACTGAAAAACCAGATATAGATTAAAGATTTTTTTTTTTATGTATATTTAAGTCTAAAACCAAACTGCCGCAATGAACCACTGGCTTAAGCTCTAAGCCTCTAACCCCTTCCTTAGCAATTTTCGTTAAGCATTTTTAGATAGAGAAGAGTAATGTTTCAATCTTGAACCTTCAAATATGGAAAGAGGTGAAAGAGGGATCAACCATCCCTGAATCTGTGATGAATTCAGTGAACGCAACGCTAATGAACTTTGAAAACCTGAGGACCCATTTGCTCCAATTCTTGTCTCTCTCTGACCCCGATGTCCTTGCTGAAATGCCCCCTCTTTAGCGCGCTCAGGCTTTCTTCACGCTTGCCAAAGCCACTACTACTCTTTTCGTCTGTAAATTCAATTTCCTTGTTTTTTCCGGATTTGATTTTGGCGTTAATTATTGTTATGTGCCTTTTAAATGCTTAGCTTTTTATGGTTCTTTTCTTCCTTTTTCTGTAGTGAGGTTGAGATGCAGTGGAGTGCACCCCAGATGAATATCCTGTTAAGTTAGAGCTTATTCGTCGTCTAAATCTGCATTTTTCTTCTCTCAAACTAAAAGTATCACTTTTTCATTAGGGTTCATTTGTTTATGTGTCTTTTGTTGGGAGGCTTATTCAACCTTTTTGTTTGGTGATATTGATATTGCTTAATTATTTGCTGTAGCACTAGGATATCATTAATTGATTTGTCTGTTGTAAAGTTCAATGGGCATGTCTGACTGTCTTAACTTTTCTATTCTATTTAGGTTTCTGTATGAAGGAGAGATTAAGCTTGTACCAAGACAAGTTAGAGCGGTTCATAGACTTAGTAAAGGTACATTGTTGTCTCTCATTCCTTACCATAAGCAGTTACATCAATTTGAGAGGTTAAGATTCCATTTCTACTTTTACAATGGTTTTGAAATGAACTAGAAAACCATTACATCAATTCGGGAGGATAAGATTCCATTTCTGCTTTTACAATGATTTTGAAATGAACTATTTGTGTCACATTGTAACTTAAGTATGAATCTGTTCTTGAAGCGCCTTTGCGACCTTCAACTACCTTGAACTCTCAGACAGCAACCCATTTCATTGAGTATTCTTTACTTGACCTGACCCCTGGTAAGTGATAATTCACTTCTTCCTCTTCATTTTGTTTCCTGTTACTTTGGGTGTTTGGCTTCATCTTGTTTTCTGAGAGTTTTTATTTCTAATTTTGCAGAGCAGAGACTAAGTATGAGGCATATCAGTAAAGGAGAGGGTTCAAGAATCAAATGCTCTGATAGTAATGTTAAAACAAAAGAGAAAATAACAATCTGAAAAGCAATCTGTTCAAGATGCTGCTAAAGAATTCCTTGAGAAGGAAGCCCGTGAACTTTTTGGTGATAAAAAGATGGTTTAAGGGACCTATACAGGTTGATGCTTTAGATGATGACCTGCCTGTGAGCTAATCCTTCAGTCAATCATGGTAGATATGTGTTTCATATTGATACATTATTTTTATTTCCTCCTAGTTTCTTACTCGTAGCCTATGCATGTATGCAGTTGATATCTTTATTAGATATGCATATCAAAAAACATGTTATGTGGGTGCCTAACCATATGGTCTATAGATAGGTTCAAGGTTCAACCTTAAATGAATTAAAATTATTACTAGGATCAGTATGCATATTTCCTTACATTCTGAATAGCCAAACAACTTTGATTTGTATATTTTTACCTTGAAGCCTTTTCTCTCTCTTGACCGAGCTGATAAGACACCCTCTTACTATTGGGAAATAAAACGAGTAACAAGTAATTTCTTTATAACCAGATTAGTGAGAATGCGAAATAAAAGCGGAAAAATAATACCCGAAATTGATAACGGAGTTCAGCCATTTGCTTAGTCTCCGGACTGCTGCAAATCTTTTACTAAGAGAGAAAATTACAGGTGTTACAAAACACTCACTACTCACAAGAAAGCTCTCTAATATTGGGAGAAAGAAATGATTTTTGGGATGATTTTGAAGCTAAATGAGCTAAGGTATTTATAGTTGAAGTTTAGGGACTAATATTTGAAAATACCCTAAAATCCAAGATTAAATGTAATTAATCATATTTTATTTTCAACAAAAACAACACCTAACTTTGAAATCAAAGCATCCCCATTTGAATGCTTTAGCCGCCCCATTTGCTTTTGTTTTTCTAGCCGCCCCTGTTTTATTCAACAATCTCTCACTTGAAGGCTGATTTTAATCTGTCTCACACCTCAATCATGCAACAATATTATAGTCTTTTTATTCTAGCATGCCAACTGAAGCTGAACACAACTTCAGTTTGTCTGTGGTCATGTCTGTTGGATTTTGAGCTCCACTGATATTTTCAAGTTTCAAAATCCCATCTTCCAGAAGAGATCGGATAAAATGATATCTCAATTGTATGTGCTTCGTTCTGGAATGAAAAGACGGATTCTTTTCTAGATTATAGCACTTTGACTCGCAATACAAAACATGTTCTCTTGTTTCTTGCCTAACTCTTTATTCTGCTTCAGTTGTGGAAGAACAACTATCTTCTGTAGTTGAGAAACCCAACTCACTGCGGTTCCTCCTAGAGTATAGACATACCCTGTTGTGCTCCTTCTGATGTCAACATTTTTTATTAAGTCAGCATCTACATAGCCTGTCAGTATCGTATCTCCACCTTTGAAATAAAGTGCTTTGTTTGTGGTACCCCGCAGATATCTGAGGATCCATTTGACTGCTTCCCAGTGTACCTTGTCCGGATTATTCATGTACCTGCTAACAGCTCCCACTGCTTGAGCAATATCTGTTCTGGTACAAATCATGGCATACATCATACTTCCAATTACTAAGGCATACGGCACCTTCACCATGTGTGCACGTTCTTCCTCCGTCTTTGGTGACTGTTCTTTGGAGAGTCTGAAATGAACACCTAAGGGTGTACTTACTGGTTTAGCATCTTGCATGTTGAATCTGGAGAGTACTTTGTTGATGTACTCAACCTGTGATAATATCAAAGTCCCCAACTTTGTGTCTCTCTTGATCCTCATCCCAAGAATTTGCTTTGCAGCGCCCAGATCATTCATAGCAAACTGCTTCGACAATTTTTGCTTCAAGTTTATAATCTCTTGCATGTCTTAGCCTGCAACGAGCATTCATCAACGTACAACATAATATATGAAGTTATTATCGAACCTCTTGATGTAGCAACAATGATCTGCTTGGCATCTGTAAAACCATTGCTACTCATGAAGCCATCGAATTCTTGTACCACTGTCTATGAGCTTGTTTTAAACCATACAAGCTCTTCAACCGTATACCAGGTTTTTCTTGCATGCCTCTAAAGTCTTCTGGTTGTCTCATATATTTTTTCCTCCAAAATCATGAAGGAAAGTTGTATTCACATCTAACTGCTCAAGATGTAAATTCTCTGCAGCTACAATTTTCAACACCAGTCTAATTGTAGATAGCTTCACGACTGGAGAAAATTTCATTGTAGTTAATACATTCTTTTTGCTAAAAGCCTTTGACAACCAATCTGCTTGTAGCGTTGCTCCATCGCGCTCTTATTTGATCCCGTAAATCCACTTGTTATGGAGTGCTTTCTTGTCTGGTGGTAATTCAGCTAATTCCCAGTCTGATTTGGCATAAGCGAGTTCATCTCATCTTCATGGAAGACTCCACTTGACTGAATCCTCCACCTGTATTGCTTTATCATAGCACGTTCACCATTGTCAGTCAGCAAAAGTTTGCTCCCATCGCGCTCTTATTTGATCCCGTAAATCCACTTGTTATGGAGTACTTTCTTGTCTGGTGGTAATTCAGCTAATTCCCACGTCTGATTTGGCATAAGCGAGTTCATCTCATCTTTCATGGAAGACTCCCACTTGACTGAATCCTCCACCTGTATTGCTTTATCATAGCACTCTGGTTCACCATTGTCAGCCAGCAACAAGTAGTGCAAAGAAGGTGAATAACGCTGGGTTGGTTTAGGAATTCTGAGAACGTCTCAGTTCTGGTGTGTCTGGTTCTTCTTGAACTGCTTCAAGACTGATTTGAACATCATTTCCATAAATCTCCTCGAACTCGGAAAATTCCTTGTTTCAGCTTCGGTATTGGAGCTACTTGATTCTATGGTTGCCCTGTATTTGTACATCACATTCTCATTGAAAATAACATCTCTGTTTCTGATGATCTTCCGATTTTCATAGTCCCCAAAATCGGTAACCAAACTCATCATCACCATAACCAACAAGACACATTTGTTGGACTTGGCATCAATTTACTTCTTCAGCAGAATCTATGTACATAAGAAATACAATCAAACACTCTTAAGTGTGAAAGGTTTTTCTTTCTGTCTCCAAACTTCCTCTGAATTCTGTTTATGCACTCTGCTACGCTATTCTGCTGCGGTATCATGGGAACTGTTGTCTCCATCTTGATCTCATTGTTTGCGCAGAAATCTCTGAATCTACAATTTTTGTACTCTCCTCCATTTTCAGGCCTCAACCGCTTGACTTTCAGACCAGTTTCATTTTCCACCATGGCCTTCCATTTTCTGAAGGTATCAAAGACTTCTGATTTCTTCTTCAGAAAATAAACTCACCATTCCTTGTAAAATCATCGATGAAGGTGACATAAGAATGAGCATGCAAGAGATGGAACTGGAGATGGTCCCCATACATCATTATGAATCAACTCTAACTTTTCAACCTTGGGTGTCTTACCAATCTTTGCAAAGTTGACTTTATTTTGTTTGCCAAAGATGCAATCCTCGCATAGTCCGACATCTACATTCTTTAGATCTGGCAGCTTTCCTTTTGACAAAAGTGTCTTCATCCATTTTTTCGCTCATATGACCAAGCCTTTGGTGCCATATTGATTTTTCCATCAGTATCTGTTGCAGCAATGATATTATCTAAGTTTGAGGTTACATAGAGAGTATCAGTCTTCTTACCACGAGCAATGACGAGTGCTCCTTTGGTAATCTTCCATTCACAGCCTGAAAAGATTGTACTATAACCTTATCTATCAAGCTGTCTTACAGAAATCAGATTTCTTTTGCGGTCAGGAATATGTCTCACTCCTTTAAGCGTCTAGGTGGTCTGGCGTTGCATATTTAGTCGGATGTCTCCTTTTCCGACGATCTTCAAGGTTTCATCATCAGCTAGATGAACCTTCCCAAAATCACCAATGACATAGTTCTCCATGATTTCTCTGCATGGGGTAGAGTGGAAAGATGCCTCTGAATCCAAGATCCATGATTCAATCGGACTGTTGACGCTTAAAATCATGGCATCACCTGTCACGTTGGCAGATTTCTGTGCGCCGGTATTTTTCTTCGGTGCTCGGCAATCTCTTTTAAAGTGACCATTCTTGCCGCAGTTATAACAGGTAAAATCTTTCTTTCCCGTTCTTGATTTTTCCCTTCTAGATTTGGATCTGCCATGATTTAAATTTCTTTTTGAAGTTCTCCCTCTGGACTTCGTGTGCAAGGCTGAGGAGGTTGATGCTTCACCTGATTCTCTCCGTCGAATTTCTTCGCTCAGTACCAGATCCCGAACATCGTCGAATTTCAATTTGTTGTTTCCCGAAGAGCTGATAACTGTTGTAACAGTAGCATTCCAACTGTCTGGTAGAGATGATAAGAGAATTAAAGCTCGAACTTCATCATCAAATTCAATTTCCACGGAACTCAACTGGATTGTGATTGTGTTGAGTTCATTTAGGTGTTGAGCCACTGATGTTCCTTTTCGCTATCCGCAAATTGAATAATCGCCTCATCAAATGAATTTTGTTTAAGGCCGATGGCTTCTCATACATACTATAGAGAGACCCGCCGTGATCTTTTCCTTTGCTATGATGAAAGCAACATTTCGGGACAATGTCAGTCGATACTCCGAGGGCTTATCTGTCGAGAAGAGCTCAGTCTTCATTTTCATGCCCTCTTGGTTGTTTTCTGAGATGTTGATTTTGGTATAGAAAATCTTCAATCTACATCTTTCAAAAGTCAAAGTTTGCACCATCGAACTTTTTAATTTTCACATTCCCTTCGTTGCAGTCATCGCTCCCCACTTGAATCTGTCTTCTTCGGATCGTTTCTGATATTTGTGCGAACCACTGTGTATTATATACCTCCGTCGACAAACTCGTATCGCCGACGAAATTCACTATTCACATGAATAGTATGAATATCTCGCAAAAATTGACAAAATTCACACCAAAAGTTCTGATACCAGTTGTTGGAAATAAAACGAGTAACAAGTAATTTCTCTATAACCAGATTAGTGAGAATGCGAAATAAAAGAGGAAAAATAATACCCGAAATTGATAACGGAGTTCAGCCAATTTGCTTACGTCTCCGGACTGCTGCAGATCTTTTACTAAGAGAGAAAATTTACAGGTGTTTACAAACACACTACTCACACGAAAGTTCTCTAATATTGGGAGAAAGAAATGATTTTTGGGATGGTTTTGAAACTAAATGAGTTAGGGTATTTATAGTTAAAGTTTAGAGACTAATATTTGAAAATACCCTAAAGTCTAATAATTAGAATATAATTAATCATATTTCTATTTTCAACAAAACAACACCTAACATTGAAATCAAA